GAGAGGTTGATTAGTTGTAGGCTTTAATCGGTGGTGCAGAGTGAAATTAACAACAACAACAACAACAATAATAATATGGCACAAACACAGTATCTTAAGCCACATTATGGTGTAGCTCGGTCATTTCATGACCGTCTTCGCAATGCTTGTAGTTTTGACACAGAGGTCCATCCATGGTACGACCCGGAATATGTAGAGGGCGTCATGGCAAATGATAAATGCAAAATTGGAAAAAAGGCCCGTTTACAGCCTCTGGCGTATCCAGGCCAATAAACCTGATCTTGCTCTTTTTGATAAATTCAATGAAATAATTTATATTATCTGTCCCTGTGAAACTTATGTGATTGGCAAGATTCAGGAAAAAAATGGCAAATAAGCGGACCTCGCTTTCGAAATGTCACACTTGCATCCCAAGTACCAAGTTGTCCGACTCCCCATTGTTCTCGGTGCTATAGGTTTGGTACCTCCCAATCTGTTAACTGACATTAGGAGAGAACCCGGGTTTGCTGTCAGGAATACAGCCCTTCTGACAATCTGGGTAATGCAGAAGGCTGCAGTGTTGGGGAGTCTTCACATTCTCCGAAAAGTTCTGGGTGGGTTTGACTAGGCAGCCCTTCCTGGGAGAAGTCCCATTCGCTGTCTGGGCTGCGTGTAGAGGGGGCAAGGGCCCTGAGCTGATGATGAGCCGAACCAGCCTGACTATGCCAGGATCATCCAAACCTTCTTTGCTGCATGTTATATTTTAATCTGTAAATAATAATAATAATAATAATAATAATAATAATAGAGCATGTATACATAATTACCATAACGACACAATTTTACAAAGTTTACAAACAGATAATGAAACGTGTACATCATGTATATATAATAAATAAACAGGCCTAACAAGTCAAGGCCTCAATACATAACTAAATGTTACGAATGCATGTCTTTCACACCATGGTAGTTGGCAGCAGTTTATCGGCTGTAACCATTGACAATTGCGGCCATCACTTAATATTTACAATCCGGTAGGTTACGGCCTTACTGACCTGCTCTTACTACCCTGGACGTGGAGTCAACACACCAATCACTGAAAGCTGGTGTTATAATAATAGCTATGACATATGCATAAAGAAATAGAGTGACAAAAGGCGCTCCACACCTCGTTATAGCAGTAGGGATGACTTTAACGTTCCAACTTTCCCTTTATATAGAACAATATACCAGCAACTTCAGCCTTAAGATTGGTTTCAAATTTCACTTTTGAGTTAGAATTGAAATGAACTTTCTACTAAAATTTAAAGAGAAACATAGGGACTCTAAAGTTGTTTGATTAGGGTTACAACATTCAAGGACTCAGAAAATCTGTAAAAACTTTTTATGGTATAAATGTGGAGGACATATCCATATTTGGCGCATGGATGACCAAAGTGATGTCCGATAAAATACCCTATTGTGACTTGTACCGTATGTTCCTGTGTTGATCAGTTGAGCAATTGACTTGCCTTTGCGCGTGTTTGTGACGGGTGCCACCGTTGGGACTGGAAGCGCTCACCTTTTTGCGAACACCAGATGTCATCACTATCTGATATTGTCGTGTGTCGGACTTTCAGTTGAGACGTTGATAATTATGGAAATGCCTCTGTCGCTTATATTTATGTGGTTAACGTTTACGGAGGATTATTTAAGGATGGTCACTCACCCAACATGGTCATCTGAAGAATGCCAGTAACCTCACAGGCTCATCATAGGAAGGTCAGTCACTGAACAGGCTCAGCAAAGCTCAGTCAATTTAGCTCTATGATCAAAGGAAAGGCGTTCCGCTGCATGTGCTCGTTTTAGGTCAGCCAGTCTTCAAAAGATAAGAGGGGGGCACGGGTGTGTGTGAACAATTAAGGCAATAAATGTCATACTATAAATAACAGTAATTAACGGGAAGTGATACAGTAGCCTAGGTTGGCTGTCAGTCAATATACGGGTGTTCATTAAAGATTTCCCCTGACCCACTTCCGATGGACCTAGTGGAATGAAACTTGGCATAGGTTTTAGTCTTTCCCCACATAGGAACCACCAAGAGTTACACACTTCTCCCATCGTTTTATGCAACTATGGAGACCTCGCTTGTAAAAGCCCTCATTTTGCATCTCAAACCAGGACTTGACTTCAGAAATCAGTGTTCCATCATCTGTGAAACGTTTTCCCTTCCAAAATGACTTCATGGTTGGAAAGAGGTGGAAGTCAGATGGTGCAAGGTCAGGAGAGTAAGGAGGATGTGGAAGGATTTCATAGCCACAGGACCGCGCATCTGTCTGGGCAACATGAGAGTTGTGTACTGGAGCATTGTCTTGCAGGAGACGGACACCCTTGGTCAGCATGCCACGCCTCTTAAGCTTGATAGCGTCCCGCAATTTCCGCAGCAGTGAAGCATAATAAGCTCCTGTAATTGTGGTACCCTTTGCCAAGAAATCCATCATCACTACTATGCTGGTCCCAAAACACCGTGAGCATGACCTTGCCTGCAGAGGGTTGGACACGTGCCTTCTTTGGGGGTGGTGACTCCACATGCTTCCATTGCATCGACTGAACTTAGTCTCAGGATCATAGTGATGGACCCATGTTTCATCCTGTGTGATAAGTCTGTCAAAAAAATTTGCCTGTTTTTTTTGGCACATGTCCAAAAGATCCTTTGAGCAATTGACTCGTTCCTGCTTTTGGAAAGGTGTGAGCAACCTGGGAATCCATCGTGCAGACACCCTATGCATGTTCAAATTGTCATGGATGATTTTTTCCACAGACCCTACACTGATCTTGACATCTTGTGCTAACTGGCGAACAGTTATACGTCGGTCTGCCAAAATGGCGGTCTCCACTTGATGGATAGTGTCCTCATCAATGGCTGAATGGGGGCGACCAGGAATGGCAGCTGTTTCAACAGATGTCCGACCACACTTGAACTGGAGATGCCAGTGTTTAACAACGTCATATGATGGGGCATCTTCCCCATAAGTTGCTTTCATTTCATCGAAAGTTTCTTTTGGTGTGCGACCTTTCAAATATAAAAACCTAATCACTGCTCGGTATTCTACTAGCTCCATTGTCACACCCTACTCGATCATAACACCTGTAAAAGTAGTAAGATTAATAGTTCGGTGCTGCAAATTCAGACATAACCCATAGATACATGTATCATTACACATGTGAAATTTCAATTAAATATGATAACCCTAAGTGGTTTAGGGGAAATCTTTAATGAACACCCCTCGTACAATGAAATGTTGGTGAGGATTAACAACGGAGATTAGCGCCTAAAACGTAATTACAATCAAGTTATGGAGACATGGCTACAGGGTAATTTGCCTTTGGAGTCAAATGTACTTCAGACAATGGTAGTCATAAATCGGTCGCTATGACAATATGAAATGTCAGTAACCTATATTATCTGATCATTTGAAAAGTAGACAGTTGATATAATTCAGGCATGTAAATGTTCGATAAAACAGCCTGAATACAAGTTCAGGATCAATAATTGTAATTGCTCGGACATGTCTGAAATGCGTTTGTGTATCAGCATCTTCATCATATCGATCTGAGTGCCATCTGTGTTAACCATGTTTAAATTCACCAGTCCTTCAAGTTTTAAGATGTAATCAGTTAAATGGGGCTTAGAGTTCCATTCGATTCGACGGTACCCAATAGCCTCTAATGTTTACACCCTTAAGGTTTTTCAAGAAAACATATTTTTTTCACATTGCATGTACACAAATACTTCTTTTTTTATCCCTTCTAATACTCAAAGCTAATGGTCTGTGGTTAGAGGTTAAAGCGATGGCTTGTCGAGCCGGTCCCGGGTTCACCACATGGGTGCAATGTGTGCAGGACATGTGTTGTGTGTTCCCTGCCGTTATATTGCTGGAAAAACAGCGCTGTAAGACCATATTCACTCACTTAAAGCCTAAATGCTGTTGAAAGCGGCATTAAACCACACTCATTCAATCAATAGTTCAATCAATTAGTACAGAATCTGCTTTGTTTAAACTTTACGAAAATGGCAATGCGATATTTGAAAGAAAATGAACAGACAGAACCCGTTCCATAATTATATTGTACGATTCCGACTCTATCATGAACATGGGTTATGAATCACTATGAAAAAGTGAGGAAAAAATCGCGGAATCCTATCCTATCCACCGGTGGCACAAACACATGCAAAGACAGCTCAATTGTTCACCTGAAAACCAACAACACAGGAATATATGGCACAAGTTAAAATGGGATGTAGGCTGTCATCCTTGCTATTCCAAAACAGTTGAAGAGGTTTACAAACAGTATGGTACACGTCAGAGTAGGATGTGGGCTGTCATCCTTGATGGCCTCGGACAACTGAAGAGGTTTTTAAACAGTAACGTATCCAGACTGATAAAACGCTCTGGGTATAATTATCAGGGAACCCGCTGAGCATTGGGTAAAATGTGGATATCCCAGGGTGTTGGTGGGTTAACACATCCTGTCAAAAGCCTGACCTTCATCACGTGGGAGATTTAGAAAGATATGAGTCATGACGGGCGCGGCAGGCGGAGTGGTTTGGGGTGGGGTGGGGTGGGGTGGGGGAATCGGTTAATTCGTGGGGAGGTGGGGTGAAGAAATAGGGGGTGGGGGTGACGGAAGGTTGTATATTGGGGTCAAGGACATTGGAAATATGTTTGGAGGTGTGGCTAAGGTTGGATCTGGGATGAGGGTTGTAAGGGAGAAATGGTGGGATGTAACAACTGACGGTGGATAATCTGCTGACGGGTGTGGTATGAGGGTGGAAAGGTGTGTTCAAGGTTAGGAAGAGTAGGAAGGGTGGTGAATAACTGTTGTATTGGTTGTTTGAGTAACGGGGAAATGAATATAGGGCGGGGATGGAGGGATGAGGGGTGGGGAGACTGGTGGCAGCCTCATCTCTTATGGCAATACATGTTCCGGGCCAGGGCCCGATGTCGTCACAGTACCACCTGAGATGAATTATCGCCTGCACGAATCACTCAAACTCCTATCCAGAACCTAGCAACAATCTATACCAAACACAATACTCCACCAGTCTCCACAGCCGATAATGCTGTAACATATTTTACTGTCGGCGTGATAGCCGTTGATACAGCAGGGGAGCGTTCTCATAGGAAATACACAGCCATCTGTCCAGTGCGGTAGGTATAGTCAACTTTTTCATTTGTAATCAATTAATTTATTAACTTAATACTTAAACATTTTTCATCAATATGTCCTAAGGAGACAATGCTATACAAGATCACAAATAGCCTTCCTTGTATCATCACAGGTATCGTCAATATTTGATGCTCACACATGCTCGAAATGTAGTCGGACACTGCTTTAAGGAAAACAAATGGAAAACTTCTTTACCGCTTTATTGAACAATTAAGTGAAAAAAAAATAACTATGTGCCTACTTATTTCAAGAATAAATTACTAGCATTATTTTGAGTTTTTGATTTGTATTTCCCATGCTGTGGTTTCCTGTCACGAGTCAATATGAATACAAATTAATATTAAATTCGTAATGGTTTCAAAAATACCGAATACTTTATCCGAATCTTTGTTCATGATTTGTTTAGTACTGGTATAATTTTCAACTCGTATTATTGCTTCAACCATGTTTTATATCATGGTAACTTCGTACATGATTATGCATGAAAAGAATAGGTTGTTTACACATATATTTCAGAAAGACAACGACGACCTTAACATGGAAAATAAATGTGAGCAATGACGCTCTAACGTCCACGACGTCCCTATGGTTAGTCGTCGGCTATCATGGTTTAATTATGTGTTAATATCGGTCCAAAGTCTACTTTCTCACGGTGAGTCACGAAGCAAAGTGTATCACTTTAGTGACAGGTGGCAACAGACTTTATCAACAGGTCGATTTGGACCCGTTGAGGTGCCTGTGATGAAATACAAGTATTGTTTCAAGGATCATGGTCAGGTTCTACGCGACTAGGTTTTTCTGGAAACGTGTATGGTACCACGTAGAAGAAGCTACACACTATCAGACACCAGTTATGTTCATAGGTCTCATTACGGCTAATCATTTATATTATTACACGTATTAGATAACCCATCCTGTTCTAAAATGGAAGTGTATTTTCGATAGCTCTAAATATTATCCAGGCGTGTTTCGACCATTTCTTGGAAATGGATGGAATCGCCCATAGGGGTGGAAGGTATTTTGCTTTCTGTGTATTTACCTGTTTCCCCTAAACAAAGTGGGCACGCTTTAGATCAATTCTCGGAAATTGGTGTATTTCGCAATCATGTTGTCATATTTGAAAGCGATATGCATGCTTTGCTTGAAATGGTTTGCCGGCACGTTGGATAAATAACGTTTTCTGATCAAACCATCAACTTGTGTTGTATGACATACAATGCGCCCCATACTCAACAATGTTAGGATGTTTTGGATCGAAAATATCCTGAAAGTGGATTCCTAGCACAGTTTCTTGTAATTTGTCAGCACCAAACAGCACCTGGCAGATTAGCCGAACTGTGGAATACCCGAACACTATTATGTAAACTGGGCGGCAAAAGAAAGTATAGGTCGAGTTCCATGATCGATAAAAAAATAACAAGAAGAGGTGTTGTTGTGAATTATAATATAATCTAGGGAGGGGTAACAAATGATTGATCAACCACAGTTTGAATGAAATTGTGCAATCACAGGTAATGTAAGCTCAAGGTAAACAATTGTTGGGTAAGAAATTTCAAAAGTTGTCTGAAATGTCACCAAAACATTGTCAGACACACTACAAGTTCATTGTCGACACAATTGCCTTCAATAGCGTGTATGACCTCCAGCTGCCTCAATGCATGCTGTGATACGCCGCCTCATCGATGACGTCAGTCTTCTGATGACGTGGACTGGAATCCGTTGCCACTCGTCTCTCCGGGCCTCCTGCAATTCTTGTCTGTTGACGGGAGGCTGATGGCGTGCTCTAGATCTGTCTGTCAAGATGGTCCCACAGATGTTCAATAGGATTCATATCGGGTGAGTGGGCAGGCCAGGGCAAAACCTGCCTCACCATCGCAGTCTCAGGCGTCGATGCTGCTGCCGTCGCCGTCGCCGTTACGAATCTGTTTCGCAGGTGAATGATCCGTATCTGACCGTCTTCCAGTGGTGTTGTCACTCGGCGTCGTCCGATTCTAGGCCTGTCCTGTGTCCTCCCTGTCTGCCTGTACCGTTGAATCAGCATGGCTACTGTCAATGATGTACAACCAAACCTTCTGGCAATTTGGACCTGTGTTGCCCCCATTTCGGCCATACCGATGGCTCTCTCTCTCTGCTCCTGTGACAGTCGTGGCATTTCTTTTGTGTGCTTTCATCACGTGTGGTTATACCCTGCAGACGAACGCATTTATACAGCTAACATGCACGTGCAGTTTATGCCATAGGCGGGAAACCTGTTTCACCATTTTTTGTCACCACACGAGCGCCGTCAAAGGTGGCGCGTTCGGGTGAGATGTTTTTTGGTACCTCTTCCTGGGCAGTCAGATTCCAAATGATCAGAGATACAAATATGACATGTTGGAGCTCGATAGTCACATGTTGTCGTTGTACAAAGGCATTGAAAACTGTTCATTGTCATGTCACATAAGGACACAGGGTTGCGCTGAACTCAGTATTTCGTGTGATCGCCCCGGTTAGCAATCACGGCTCTGCATCTCCTTGGCACTGACTGACTAAGTGTACGGATTCTGTCCTGCGGAATTCTGCGCCATTCTGCTTGTAACGCGTTGGCCAGTTGTGGGAGTGTCTGAGACTTGTTCTGACGTTGACGTACACGTCGATCAAGTTCATCCCAGAGGTGTTCGATTGGGTTGAGATCTGGAGATCTCGACGTCCAGGGCAAGACGTTGATGTTGGCAGGAGGGTAGTCTACCGTGACACGAGTTGTGTGCGGTGGAGCGTTGCCTTGTTGAAACAGCTCCCTCAGTCGGGCAATGATCAAAAGCAGGTGAGGTTGAAGAATTTGATTCATGTAGCGATTTGCTGTCGAATTTCCCTGAACCACAACCAAGTCCGATATCGTGGTGCAGGATATGCCCCCACCCCCATCTCCACCCCCACCCCCGACACCATGACACTACCGCCATCGGAATTGTCGAATTCACGTACACAATGTGGGGCAAAACGCTCATTTCGACGACGATAAACACGTTGTCTTCCATCTCGCCGGTGAAGAAGAAATCGGGATTCATCGCAAAACCACACTCGTCTCTTTGGATACGTCCGATGGCGATGTTCGGATAGGCATTGAAAAATGTTGACAATTGAATGACAAATTATTGGCTTATGCTTGCCTTTTTATAGCCACTACCACGAGTTACGAATGACATAACTTGCACGTGCATTTTGCTTTACTGTCTTCCTCCATGACATTTTTTAACAAGTGTGAAAACAATGCCTTTAAAGACATTGCAAATCGACAATAGCTGCGTTTTGACGCACCGTTTGTGGAATGTCAGGCCACCAGCTTTTTCCAATAACATATATCCAATTCATATACCGGATTTTTTGTGTAGTCAGGTGCAATGAACTACATACTACCTGTGCGTTCCTTTTTTTGAAGAGTGTATAAACTGGGACTCTATGTGTTATAACCATACATCCCTGTGATTTGTATAAATAAGTTTTCTATGTGGTATAAACATGAATTCCTGTCAGGTTCAATGAACTACAAACTACCTGTGCGTTTATTTTTTTGAAGAGTGTATTTAATCCCCAGGCCCTGTTTCACAAAGCGATCTTAGTGCTAAGGTGATCGTAACTCCCATACTTTAACACAGGCTTACGATCATACTAGTGCTAAGACCGCATTGTGGGCTTCGTTCTGCATCGCAATCTTAGATATCGTAAGTCAGTGTTTAAGACTGGGTGAGGTGAAATGGCGTTTTAAGTCGCGTTCAAGATTATAAGGGTGTCTGGCTGCTTGTACTGAGGCCGGTGTTATAGTGCTAGTCCACTAAGATACCATGCCGCAGTTTAACATGGATACCCCAGCCAAAGACTCGGAGCCCACCAGTCCTTGTTTTATCCCCTCACTGACAAGAGCCAAGCAGAGTAACAACAAGTACCATCTCTTAACAACGTTTGGTATGACGCGGTCGGGGTTTGAACCACAAGCCTTCCTCACTCCGGGCAGACGCTCTACCACTAGACCACGGAGGTATTTACGACCTGGAGTTTTCAGACAGTCGTTGTACTGAGCTCGCTTTTATATATGAGGACTTCAAATTAGTTCTTCTCTTTATGTGAGGTGAGGTGAAATGGGGTTTAACGTCGCTTTCAAGATTATTGCACTTATATAGCGACGTGCATGTACGTGCGTGTGTTTGAGTGGTAGCTTGTACTAGTCCGGACTGATGCCGATTTATAGTGCTAGCTCACTGAGATACCATGCCGCAGTTTAACATGAATACCCCACTCAGACACAGTATACTGACTCCGAGCCGTCAAGTCCTTGTTTTAGCCCCTTAATGCCGAGCGCAGACAGGGTAACAACAAGTACCATCTTTAACGTCTTTTGGTGTGACGCGGTCGGGGATCGAACCCCGGACCTTCCGCTCTCCGGGCGGACGCTCTCACTTTATGTAATAATATAGTACGCATATGTTCCTTTTACTCCAAAAAAGAAATATTCATTTTCCTGCTTTGTGTTCAAACTTTCGCGTTTTCGGACAAACAACCTTCTCTGAAAAAAAACAAGTGACTCCTTGCAATGGCCTTTGCAGGAAGGTTCAATGGTATGTTCTCATGCAATTTGATCTTTCTCGACAAACGTTGACGACCTTTAGTCTCTTAAAATGAAAAAAATGCTTTATTTATGTTTCCTGATCTTGTTTGTCTACACAACAGAACCATTGACAGGCAAGTGAAATGTAATCTGACCATAATTCCTAATTGTGTACATGCCCTTAATTGCACTGTGGGGCATGCCGTCTTCATAGCATCGTTGTGTGTATGTGCAATACCTACAAGGTCCATCGAAAAGGATTACCCCCTTGTGAGAGACCATCCCTTACCGTACCATGACTAGGCATGAACGAAGTGGCCTATTTCTGTCCGGTAGCAAACAGCGTTGTCTGTTTCTGTATTCAGAATAGTCTAAGTCTTTGTACAAACAATGTGGAATTCTTTAATACATTATATTGAAAAACGATCTTCCTGTAGCTATCATTCGCACGTACCGTTTTCGCTCAACAGACTTGGCATGCCAAGACAAACTTGATGGTATCTTTATGAATAATAGCGACAAGACCTTGTTTATTATCTCAAGAAATATTCATTGTACACTATACGATTTTGACTTCATCATGAGCAAGAAATATTCATTGTACATTGTACGATTTTGACTTCATCATGAGCATGTGTTTATGAATCACTATCACAGTGATGATACCGGGTGTTCGCGAAAGGGTAAGCGTATGCTGCGTCACCGGTGGCAACCGTCACAGACACATGCAAAGGCAAGTCAGTGTTTGATCTGAACAAACAAGGGAACATGAGGTACAAGTAAAACACGGGTATCGCATCGGACATTATTTTGATGCACATGTCTAGCGCGTCAGCAGGTTGAGTGAGTGGCACAAGCGAGCTATGTACACACACGTGTTTCTTGACGAACTACCCCGTACGCTACGACTTTCATCTGCTTATCACGAGGAAGTGAATGACACAACACTTATTGGTGTTCAACTAATGTTTCAGCGGTATCCAAGTCATCGAGTTGACGACGTTTACATCTAAGTCTTTATTAAAAATGTACATATACTAAAGGACAAAATGACATTTATAAAATATGTTTACTGTTATGTTCAATAATACAACTGTTACAATTTCCTGTGATCTTGAAATACACCTGCAGTTTCATGGAAGACACGTAAATCTCTTCACAATCGTACATTTCTTTCTGTCAATACATGACTTTACGTGTAAGCGGGTATATAATAGATGTAGTTTGGCAATTTTAGAAGGTCAGCTATGCATTTTGACAGCAACAGTTTAGCGGTGGGATCAGTCATGTCGAAACAATGACCCCTGATGAAGGTGTCAGTCCGACCACAGAGTAATATCACTGGTTGTGTGTGTTTGAATCGCTTTGTTACCATGCGGACTCACCGCCTGTCATTGTCAAGTATTGAACAAACAAGAGTCTGAACGACGGATCAATAGGGAGCGACAGGAAAGGAGAAAGTATAGATAAGGATGTATGGCTGAAAAATAGTCACATTTATACATTCACGTATCTGAGGCAGGATAACTATTTGTATTTCAAATTCTATTGAAAATTAATGGTGTAGTTGTGTCAGTGAGTGAGCATTGTTTTACGCCGCTTTAGCAATATTACAATACGTGCTTCACACATTGTACCCAAGTTGGGAAGCGAATCGGGTCTTCAGCGCGGCTACCAATTCAAACAGCCCCTTGGTGGAGGGAAGAGTCACGGAGTACAGCAGGGGGATAGGGGCGGGCGGGGATTGGGGTTGGGGGATGGAATTTGGGGTGGGGTGGGGGTTGATTGGAGGGGTCTAGGGATATCTTTATGTTGTTTTGATACGATTATGTCCTTCATAGGACGACAGGCGGAATGTAGGAGTGGCGTCAGCTGCCTCAGGGTCAAAAGTGGTTTCTCCGAAAATGAACTGCAACATAGAAAAAGACTTACGCAACATTTGTTCAGACTTGTTTGCGACCACGACGATTTGTACGAACCAGTTAAGTTGATCTTGGGTTCGGAGTTTTTTATTTTGTGAAAAGAAAGGTTACCGACTCACTATGTTTCATTATGTTTATTTCCGTTTCTGATCCTTGCAATGCTTCCATTTGAATAGTACTGGTAGAATTTAGAAAAAATGCAATATTTCAATATGTAAATTTTGGAAAAGGACAATTAAAAATTTAATGAAGGGGTGAAAGAAAATTAATTCCATTGTTCTCACCATTAATTATATTCGTATCCTTAAATTCAATTCTTGTACATTTTGATACATTGTATTTCACAACTGTCAATTCACTTTTCTCATTATCTGTGTGTGTGTGTCTCCTTGTGTTTACGCCTCTCTCTCTCTCGCTCTCTCTCTCTCTCTCTCTCTCTGTATGTCTCTCTCGCTCTTGCAATGCAGTGAAACTGCATCGGAACATCATAGCAAGTTGACATACAGCTAACTGCATGTGTTGTCATTTATTAAAAAGTTATTTTGTAATGTTTTAAATGATAAGATACTTATATAATTAAAAGTTCAAGAGACCTTGGGTCGAAACCTAACACAAAAACACAAATTGGATCTCACCAAATGGCAGGTAAATGGTTTTGTGATGAAACGTGAATATCAAAATTGTATATTGGAATATGAATCTTCATCCCTTAACCACAGGAATCTCATTTAATTCAGTTCATGTCATTGCAGTGGTCCCGGTTTGTTTTCTCATTTCATCTTGTAACAGTACCACGTGGCCTGGTTGGTCCAATACATTCCGGATATTTTCATACCCCACCGTTCAGCTCATAAATATTGAATGTTTTCTGAACTGCCATTACATCCGGGGAACATTCTTGAGTTACCTTGTTATGTCGCAATATGATAATAAAAATGTGCAATTCTAAGAAGGAGCTGCCATGAGTCATTCAAAAAATGCATATGCATGTCTGAACTCACACCAATTGATAACGTTTGTCACCAACTCCCGCGTAGCATCACGTGATAAGATCATATAACACACATTGAAATTGCTTTATCTAAAAGATCAACAGCAAATCAACAGCAAATCAACAGGCGCTTGAGCTCAACCCTATCGTGCCCAAACTGATTGTTTAAGGTATTACAACACACCTATCCTTTTCGGTGTGTCTTGGAGATATTCATCAGATAGGTTATGTTTTTCTTGTCTCCATGGAGGCTACAGCCAGTATATAACAGACACCTTGATCATTTGCTGTGTGCCTCGCAAGTAATATAGGTAGGCATATTGGCAGTCTCAGAACATGGGTATAAGTAATGTTCTGGTGTAATAGATTTGATCCACTTTAGAATCAAACTGTCAAGAAAGTAATTCGTAAAGGAACATGGCTAATGGTACGTTGTACCATCTGTTTTATGTCATGAACATTTAAAGCGAAACGGTGGTGTACAGTGAAGGTCTTTCTCTGGATGCCGCTCTGTAGGGTCATCAACTGTGGCAGCTTTCTGTCAGTTTCACCAACATTTCTGTTTTTAAGTAAGGATAAGAATTTATGGGTGAACAACTTCTTTATTACAATTAAGAGCGACGTTTCTGTGTCGGTTCTAACACCGTTATCGCGCAAGCTTGAACCTACACCGAAACCTCGCTCTTAATTGTAATAAAGAAGTTGTTCATCCATAAATTCTTATCCTTACTTAGTACTCCAACTTCTAAATGCCTATCAAAGAAGTTATTTCTGTTTTTGTTGGATGATGTTTAACTGTTTTCTGTCGCTGCAGATTGACACTGAATTCTTTTAATATGACGTTTTATACACCATTGCAGGATAGCAGCCGAACGACATTTGAAGCATGATCATGGGGAACCAAGTTCTTTTTCTTAAAAGTGAGTATGGCTAGTGGCTAAAAGTAAAAACATCCTACCTTTTTTTCTGTGTTGCACATATCATTCTCTCACATCCTACCTTTTTTCTGTGTTGCACATATCATTGTCACACATCCTACCTTCTTTTCTGTGTTGCACATATTGTCTCACATCCTACCTTCCTTTCTGTGTTGCACATATCATTGTCTCACATTCTACCTTCTTTTCTGTGTTTCACATATCATTGTCTCACATCCTATCTTCCTCTCTGTGTTGCACATATCATTGTCTCACATTCTACCTTCTTTTCTGTGTTGCACATATCATTGTCTCACATCCTACCTTCTTTTCTGTGTTGCACATATCATTGTCTCACATCCTACCTTCCTTTCTGTGTTGCACATATCATTGTCTCACATTCTACCTTCTTTTCTGTGTTGCACATATCATTGTCTCACATTCTACCTTCTTTTCTGTGTTGCACATATCATTGTCTCACATTCTACCTTCTTTTCTGTGTTGCACATATCATTCTCTCACATCCTACCTTTTTTCTGTGTTGCACATATCATTGTCACACATCCTACCTTCTTTTCTGTGTTGCACATATTGTCTCACATCCTACCTTCCTTTCTGTGTTGCACATATCATTGTCTCACATTCTACCTTCTTTTCTGTGTTTCACATATCATTGTCTCACATCCTATCTTCCTCTCTGTGTTGCACATATCATTGTCTCACATTCTACCTTCTTTTCTGTGTTGCACATATCATTGTCTCACATCCTACCTTCTTTTCTGTGTTGCACATATCATTGTCTCACATCCTACCTTCCTTTCTGTGTTGCACATATCATTGTCTCACATTCTACCTTCTTTTCTGTGTTGCACATATCATTGTCTCACATCCTACCTTCCTTTCTGTGTTGCACATATCATTGTCTCACATCCTATCTTCTTTTCTGTGTTTCACATATCATTGTCTCACATCCTACCTTCCTTTCTGTGTTGCACATATCATTGTCTCACATCCTACCTTCCTTTCTGTGTTGCACATATCATTGTCTCACATTCTACCTTCTTTTCTGTGTTGCACATATCATTGTCTCACATTCTACCTTCTTTTCTGTGTTTCACATATCATTGTCTCACATTCTACCTTCTTTTCTGTGTTGCACATATCATTGTCTCACATCCTACCTTCTTTTCTGCGTTGCTCATGAACATAAAAACTGATTAGTGTTATGCATTAAATTCACGACGGCAATTGAAGCCGAAATCGCATCCTATCTTCTTTTCTGTGTTTCACATATCATTGTCTCACATCCTACCTTCCTTTCTGTGTTGCACATATCATTGTCTCACATCCTACCTTCTTTTCTGTGTTGCACATATCATTGTCTCACATTCTACCTTCTTTTCTGTGTTGCACATATCATTGTCTCACATTCTACCTTCTTTTCTGTGTTGCACATATCATTGTCTCACATCCTACCTTCTTTTCTGCGTTGCTCATGAACATAAAAACTGACTAGTGTTATGCATTAAATTCACGACGGCAATTGAAGCCGAAATCGCAAACGAAAGGTTAATCGAATTTCATAGGAGCAATGCCTGCTCTTGTTTGGTGAGGATTTCCGATGTCTCCAATACACCTCACGTACGCTTATTTTAATAGCCGATTCACGAGGATCAGTTGTTTATCGTGATTGAACATCTTCACTCATGATTGCTCAAGCTGTTAACCACTGAATTGCTCAGCCAGACTAATTTATTCAGGTACCGCCTTGTTTTAACCGGGATTCCACTGGCTGGAAACAACATTATTGCATTCAATTCAATTCAATGGTTAATTGTATTCAAAATCGACAGTTCTTTTTCGTAGTTGGCTAGGGTCGTTTTAAAACAAGGTAAATATAAAGTGTTGTTTATTCATTCGTTTTGTAGTTGCCGTGGTAATACTGTGTCTCGACTTTGCAAGAAGCACCTCCAGCACTGTGAGTAGCACAAACGCCACTTCTGCTGCAACCGAAACCACTGCAGTGAACAATACAACTGATTCGACATCAGCTGCTGTCGCAACATCGACAGCTCCTGCTGTCGCAACATCGACAGCTCCTACTGTCGCAACAACGACAACTCCTGCTGTCGCAACATCGACAGCTCCCACGGCGTCCTCATCCACCTCGGATGCAACTTCACCTGCATCTACAGTAGCGTCTAATACAGCATCAACTTCACAGGCGACTACTGCGTCGACTGTGACCACGTCAACCAGCGCTGGCGGGGTGACCGCGTCATCTACCACTAGCGGGGTGACCGCGTCAACTAGCACTGGAGGCGCGACATTGCCGTCTAGCGCTGCCGGAGTGACCTCGTCGACAGCAGCTGCAACGTCTACTGGCGTAACATCATCTACATCACCAACATCAACTGCGGCGCAGACATCGACTCAGACTGTGGTGAGGTTCCTACATGAACTGATTTTACATCGTGTCATTTGCCACATCCGAATTGTATCCACGCGAATGTTAGAATCGAATAGGATTGATTTGAACACTGATTGTTGAATATTTTACAAACTTAATACACAAATCCGGCATATGTTGAGATAAGTCCGCCCACTTCATCAGTTCGATCATATATAAAACCAATATACGCGTTCCCAAATTGTGATATCTTAAAAACAGAAGGATAAGATTATTGTCATGGCTATGCTATGTATTATGATATTATACCTGTGTTAACGTTGCGCTTTTTTTCTGCAGATTCAGTGCTTTGAGAGCACTTGTGCTGGTGAGGGATGCGTCGCTAACATTACCAGTGATAATGGGACTTGCAGCGGACCTGCATGCAAGGTAAGAACCTTACTGTTTGTATTAAGACGTGGCATCATGTTGGGTGCGATCAGTAGTTCACTACATAGTCACAATATATATTTTCATAAACAATTTGTAGGTGGACAATTGACGTGCCTTTGCACGTGTTTATGATGACCCCACGATAGGGCAGGATACGCCCATCATTTCGTGAACATCTAGTAGCATCACTATAATGAATCGTGCTTATGATATTCGGAATCGTATAATGGACACTGCTTATATTAATATTAATAATACTTTTATCATTGTTATAATTATTAGTAGTTTCGAAGTAAAATATGTTTTGCTTATGACGTGGTAACACGTCAGTGAGTCAGTGAGCAAATGCTGTTTAAACGCCGCAGTCAGCAGTATTGTCAGAGCCCTGTTTATAACTCAGGATATGTCAGGCACACCAGCAACTGGAAGCATGAGCAACGATCCATTTTTGTCGACTCATCCGACAAGCATTGATTATAAGGGACCAGTTTGGTCCAGTAGGCACACATGGCAGCACAAGCACAATTTCAACAAGCACTATAAGAAGTAACGTATTTTTTACAATACATTAAAAAAGCAAGATTTAAGAAATCAGGACTAATTTCGAGGAAAAAAATAGGTTTTGTACACTAAAATTGCCTCCGAACAATGGCAAGTGAGATCCAGTGGTTTAAATAACCGCAATTTGCTGCGCAGAATTGTATCCTTTAGTCCGACAAAGATCCGCAGATCGTTGTGAGTTCTGGTTTGTCAGAATCACCCAGTATTCATTGGTTTCATCAAAGTGGTAAACGTCTCCAACCTGCTTCATTGTGAACCTTCCTCGTATATAACGATGACACGCCGTGATACATAAAGCTTAAATATATTTTAAAGCGGCGTATACCCAACTCAATTTCACCACCATGTTCTCCACCGTTTCAGCTCCAGTCGGACAAGTCCGGAAGCTCCTTCAATTATACGATGTCGTGCTCTGACACAAACTGTCCCTTCCTGACAGCCAATGGCGCCATGACGGAGAAGTGCTGCACCACCGCCTTCTGCAACAACAACACAGCAATCTTAATCCAAAACTCGGGGACGGTAGTTTCTTCATCCGTCACGTGGGCGTTTCTATCTCTAGCTGCCACCTCTTTGTCACTGATTTAACTTCTCAGACGTTAACCTAGCATTTATCTGAGGATATAAAGATGAATTGAAAATCATAAGGTCGAAATAATTTGATATTTTTGTTTTCGGAATTTTTCGTCCTTTTTCAGTTATTTGATTATTATTCTCTTGTTTTTACCTTTCAAATAATGCACAGTTACTACAGCTATGTTATCATCTATCATGTCGATGTTGATCAGTTTCCAACTATAGGGATGGAACTAACTTTTGTTAAATTTCAGTGAGTGCGACAGAATGGGTTTATGCTTCCGTATCGTTAAGCAATATTTCAGCAATATCACAGCGGGTTTTTAAATTTCAGAAGAAGGGTAATATCTCAGTCCTTGGCATTCAGCTTTTTGAAAGATGAAGAAATGTTTTTTAATGTTTGCGGCTAAATATAATTGTCATTAATATGTTTATATACACCTTGATGGCCAATTAATTCAAAACATTTGTTGTTACTGATGAATGGCATTTAAAATATTTAAATGATATCCGCTGAGGTTTATGCTTTGGTCCTGTGGTTAAGAGTTTATGTTGTACGCACATATATAAAATGACAAGGGCAAAAGCTTGCTGAAATGAAATATTTATGTGATTATCCCGATGTTTGCTGGGAAACTCATGTGTGTATTATTGACGTATCTGATGCAATACCAATATGCATGTTCACAAATATTATCGTTAATCACTTGTAATTAATTCTTTTTTCGAAATACGGTTATAATTTTTTTTATTAATTATTTGCTTGTAAATACGTTTGTTCGCTTCAGTGTGTCATTTCATCCCGTCTTGTCAGCAGTAACCCTGCCAGGGATGGTCCAAACTCCCAATTAAGAATTTGGAGTCTGTTGGTGATAACCCATCTATACTCCAATGCGCGTTTCGCAAAGCATTCGTAGTGCTAAGGTTGTCGTGGGTCATTTATGACGGATAGGAGTTACGGCAGTGGGGTCCCCGTTTCACAAAGCGATCTTAGCGTTATGACTATTGCAAATCTATGTTAAAGTATGGCAAATATGACAGTTGCTGCGCAAAGATTACTTTATGAAAAGAGACCTGGGACACCGATCCTTAAAAATGGTAGTAGCGCAACGGGTTCTCTATAGTTTAACACACACTTACGACTGACGTACGCTACAAACGTTTTGTTGATCAGAAATCTGATTTTTACATGTGAAGGCAATTGGGCAAGAATGTTTATCCATACTAACACAAAACAACATGCAGTTTCGCACAGTGCACCGAAGAAGTAGTCTAGACCAGGTTAATATGAGCATCGGGTACAAACTTGTTACCATGGCTACGAAACTTGTGAATTCTTTTATAGCATGTTTTAAAACGTATTATTTGCTTTGAAAATATTTCAACTTCTATAACCTTTGAATTCATTTTAATTTCCAAGCGATAACACTTAATGAACCAACTCTGATTGGTCGTCCCTATGACGTCATTGGAAGTGAAAGTTGTTGTCCATAGCAACTCCTCACCGAGACAGAAGGGAGGTAACTGTTACCGTTTGGATTTTACCATGGGACTATTATTTGAAACGTTCTGTGATTTATACGTTGTTGGCCCGACACGATAAAAGCAGTAGTTTCCTGGTGTTGACTACATAAATAAAATTCCGAAACGAATTTGAAAATCGATGTATTTACAAACACAAATTACATGATTGTTTTTTATATTTGTATTATTCATTCTTGAATTTCCGCCCAGTTTTACATTTGATCGTGTTACCTCACTGTAGTCATGTGTCATAAACTGAGAGGCAAAAGAAATTATACACAAAATATACGAACGCTATCAAAGCGTTACCAGGCTGACGACAGTCCCCATAACACTGCAAACCTAAGGTCCAAGGCCCCGTTCCACAAAGCGATCTTAGCGCTACGATTGTCGTAAGTCAGTGTTAAAGTATGGGAGTTACGATCAACTTAGCGCTAAGATCACTTTGTGTAACGGGCCCAGAATTGTACCCGTATTAAATACATCACGTCGAATGACCATTTCATTTTTGTTTCACTTTTTAGTCACCATGGAACATAATTGTGTGATTTCCCGGTCTATGCGTGTATTCATGTTCAGGTGTCCGTCCTCTTCAATTGTGATACATTTATTACTGTTCTCATATATACATATTCATGTATATTGTTTGTTAGAAATAAAAAATGGAACATACTGTATTATTTTTTCTGATAAGTTGAGTACGTTGTGCTTTACACTGTTCTTATTCTGTCATTTAACGCTCGGCTTCACATATTGAATGTGGGATTCGAACCTGGTTCTTTAGCGAACAGGCGACAGCATTAACCACTAGGCTATATGTATCGGACGCCAGACTGATAAGGGAAAGTCATGTTATTGTTATGTTTTACGGGGATTCAAATCTAATTTGTCAACAAGAAACAGGCAAGAACTTGACATGCGAATTTTATGTTTATTTTCTACAAAGAGAGTGTTGTATAATAATGTTTAAAACATATGAACACAATGCTGGCTAATATTAAACGCAAAGGGGTTCTTTTAACTTTTCATAGTGGAGGATTTGCTGCAATAATTTCATTTGGCCCAGAAAAATATACATGAAGCTTTGACGCAGTACAGAACGAGTGTACAATGAAACACCGTTTTTCCAAACTGTACAATTTCCAAGAATAATTTCAGGATAATTGTGACCCTTTGTGTATTCACCTGGAAAGCGAGGTTCCTGTACTATTTGTTCTTATTTTTGTTTGTTGTTTAACACCTACCTCAGCAATATTTCAGCTGCATGACGGCGGTCCGTAAACAATCGCGATTGGACCATATAATGCAGTGACTGACATCATTAGCATCGATCTACGCATTTGGTTAACGATGACATACATCAACCAAGTCAGAGAGCCTGACAACCCGATCGTGTTAGTCGCCTTAGGGGTCCAGACTGGTTTCCTAAACCTGTACCGTTTTCCGTTTTCGACCTGGGATCGTTAGTAAAAATGTATCTGTATTTGCGAGTAAGTGATTAGGGTAGAGATAGGTACACTACTGCCTAAAAGTTCATTCCCCTGTACCACGCATGTGACACGGGTGCTCAACGGGTTCGCACACGGGTTGAGCACCCGTTGGACACGCGTGCCATGCCAGTAACACGGATCGGGTTTCAGTTGAATTTGACAAATATATCAAATGAACAGTGAGAAAAAACAAAACAGTGAGATGTGAATCTTGAGTTAATTAGCGGTCATTGACCTGTGTTCACCAGACCATAAACACAAGGTCGGCCCTTCAGTTGCTGGACTTTTATGGCATGAACCATTCCACGAGGGTCCAGTCTATCCATTGTTGCTAGCCGACACTTGAACAGTTAACCCCCGAGTTGACACGATTGTCGCGGGTTGGTAAATGTTCGCCATTAATGAAGTGAGTGAGTGAGTGAGTGAGTATGGTTTTACGCCGCTTTTAGCAATATTCCAGCAATATCACGGCGGGGGACACCAGAAATGGGCTTCACACATTGTACCCATGTCGGGAATCGAACCCGGGTCTTCGGCGTGACGAGCGAACGCTTTAACCACTAGGCTACCCGACCGCCCCCATTAATGAAGTGATTGTTTGAGGATTGCGGACATATTTGTTTTAAATGGGGCACTGATCTAAAGCAATTCCCCGGGACTGGTTGATGCCTTTGTTATTGTTTTTTTCCCGTGAGTACCCGGATGATATAGCAGAAATCTAGACTAGTTCACGACCTGTGCTACGCCATTCGGAAGCGCCTTTGTCACTTTTATTGATAGTGTAAGGGCGTATGGTCACATTGATCAACAAAATGAAATACATTTTTGGAAATAATAAGGAAATGTTGGTATCTCTGTGGGTAGCATCGGTAATGGTGACGAGTCTCTTGCTTGGAAACGATGCGATTTTCGTTGACACTATTTTGACTTGCAACACAAAGTAAATGTTTCACGTGAGCATTGCTTATTTTATCGTGTTTATATTTTTACAGCCAAAATGTGCAAAATTTTCACCTATATATATATATATATATATATATATATATATATATATATATATATATATATTCACTTATTCACTTATTATATTCAGTTATTTCATAAATTGACTGAAAAATATGTCAATCTGTATTGTTATGATAACGAATTCCAAACATTTTTTATGTTTCAAGAGACTGAAAATGTTAGTATTAAAGGTACATTTCTACATGTTTGGCTTCTAATTCTTATCTAAAGCCCTTTTGATCGTCTAAATCATTTAAATAAATGGACAGCATTTTCAGTCAAAATGAATGAAATATTAAACATTTTATAAATTGCCTGAGAGAATCACATTTTACAAATTGTTTGTAATATATACACGCTATATACACGCTTACAAAGGTAAAGACTTGTGAAAACAACGTGAATCGCGCATCGAAGAACTTCCAGAAACCATGGCGAAGGGGAACTGATCACTTAGTTTGTTTCAGGTGTTTCATATCGGTGTCAAGTCTAAAAGGTCAGCTGAGAAAGCCAGCGTGACAACTATTTTCATAATGTCCACGGTTCTTAAAAAAATACATTGAGTTAGATAACAATTAGCAACCAATCAACGTATTATCGGTTAACCCTTTGAACAAAGTATGTTGTTTTTACATCGGCACTTCACGCCATGATATGAGTGTATTCCCTTTGCTTTAGTAAACCTAGACATGTAAACACTTACTTTTGACATATCCACTGTGCATGATAACAGTGATTAATCAATCAACGTATTTTCTGTTAATCCTTTGATGGCTAGGAATTGTCCGTTGATTTACAAAAAAAGTAAATTAACTGTCAGGATCATTCATCTCTTGCTGGGCTGCCACGTGCATATTCCATAAAACACATTTCACCTCATTTCAAACCTGGATCTAGATTGAATAATTACCCCAGACACGAGAAATGCCAAATGGGAACCTTTATCACTAATTATACCTGTAATACATTCATTAACTGAGCAGCAAGTGAATTACGACAAATACTCAAGTGTAGAGTATACCAGAAAACGTGGATGGCAACAAGGTAGTAGTACAGTAATCTATTATCCACGCAATCCGAAATTCGAAAATGCTTTCACTGCACTGATGCTTTTTTAAAATATATGATTAAACTATAACCATCAGGGGTATTTCCAAATGACGACATCCGATGAGCTTCCGCCGTTCTTTTTGTCTGTTTGTTTTGGTTGAAGAAATTAATTAACATGCGCCTTATGTCGAAATCTTTATAGATCACAGGTAACCAATCAGCCCAGCTAACACGAAACTGTTATAAAAACATCCGTAAAACATATTACGAAACGTTCCGGAAATGTTTTAAAACACGTTTTCTTCACGTGATTTTGTATGGTTTTAGAAACATTTTCCGGAAACATTTGGTTATAACGTTTCAAAAATGTTGCAGAAATGCTTTTGAAAACGTTTTATTCATGTGATTTTGTATGGTTCCGGAAACGTTTAGTGAACCTTTTGCTGTGAACATTTGGCTATAACGTTTCTATAATGTTTTGAAAACGAACCAGAGTGTTGGTAAAGCTCAGAGTTTTGCTGCCATTGTTCAAAACGTACAACACCCACTCACTGTTAACAAGATACAAATAGTCAGGGACAGTACATCCTTCAGGCATGTACTGCAGAAAACACAATACCAATGACCAACATGGTAATCCATGCCATGTCTTCAACATTTAATCAACAAAGAACTTCAAGACTCATTTCTGTTGAGATTTTAATATTTTTAGAAACCTTTTACAACTTTCTAAATTATTGATTGTCAGAATCTTCTTTCTTTGGTTTTGCCTTGATTCACTTTTCAGAAACATAAAACAAATTCTGAAAAAATCTAAAACAGGTATTTCATATATATATAACAGTATCATGCATGACATTGAATACAAAAAGTGGTACACCAGGAACACCCCAACCCACTTTACGGTCAGTGGCTGGGTGGAGATACAAATCCAATTCTTAGCATTAATTTAAAGCCACAAAACCACCAAAAGATCTAGTAGCTCATGGTATTTAACAACCGTTTCTGCACTTACGTTTGCATCATTCACAGCCCCTGGTGTATTTGGTGTAGTCCTCAATGCACCTAACATTTCCGTGTGTATCTCCTGGAATGCTGTTGTATCCTTTTGCCACTGGCTGCAGCGAAAACAAAAATGTTCCACATTATAACAAAGTTATAACTTGAACTATATTCAATAAGCATTATATTGTTAATCCAAAGATGAAATATATTATGTAGGTTCATCACATTATTTTAATTCTGGAAACCCATTTATCCAGGAACGGTCCATGCTGTGGCCAGTTTCGGTCACATATATTTCCAATTTTCATCTTTGCTGATTTAATTGGGACCATCAGTGGTCCACACTAATTAATAATTATAAGAAGAATAAATGAAAAATATTGTTTCGAAATCTCGAAATTGGAACTATGTCGCCCATGGGCCTGCCAATGTACACACAGGCTGACATGGGCTATGAATACTAAAGTGCCCTCTTGCAAACGTCCTTTGTGAATGTTTTGAAAGGTCTTCATTGGTGATATGAATTTAATTACGAGTTTCCGGTTGTCGTATGATCACATTCTCTACTTTAGTCCCGTCACATCTATCTTTAACTGTTGTGCGTGTGTGTGACAGGTACAGTTGGCAAGACATAAAACATGTTCTCTACAGTATTCTAATATCAAGAGGTGTGCAACTCCATGCGCAGCTACATATATTTTCATGATTGTTTACACAGGGCGTTTATGCATTGTGAACATCATTTCAATGCCACATTTAATAATGCGACTATTACTAACAATAGATAGCAACGACAGATCATGTTTGAAAATAACTTGGTATCAAACAAACCGTGACATTAACATAACGAGGCCGTGAGAAACACCTGGTTGTATTCGCCAACTTAAGTACAACAGTGTCCCTCTGTATTTCTACACACTATGATATGCCACAAGCTGACCTCTGGAATGCGCTATACGCTACACGCTACACTGCATTCAACACGGGTAAAAGTCATTCATTGCTGATGTGGATTTGATGATTGTTCAAATACATAAGGGAATATAATTTCCGCATATGTACATTGAAGTTTTCACTTCGATCACTGCGTATTGTGCAGGTTGGTGTCTGGTGCAGTTGTTAGGCTTTCAGGAATGTTATTGTCTAACCCCCTCAGCCACCGAGGCTTCCACAAAAATGAAAATCCGACAACTGGTAGTGTAGGGGCGCGTTGTAAGCAACTAATCGCTTAGAGAAAGCAAATTAATCGCTGCAACAGTTCGAAGCGCATGCGCACTCTACCAAAATGGCGGCGCAACTACCGCTTGGTTGCCCTGACGTAGAAGAACTTATTAACAGAGGCTCGATGATGAGCTGATGAAATTTATGACTACTTTGAAGATGTGGAGCAGGCTTAGGATGATGGGGTGTTAGCTCCCTTTGCTCATTTCCTCGTTGATCCAATCAAGAATTTCTTGTTCCGCTGTCAAAGTCAGCCGCCATTTTGGTTTGAGAACGAAGCGACCTCAAATAGTTCATGATCAATTAGATTTTTTATTGTGTAAACAAATCAGTCAAGTTTGTAACAATAGATGAATAAGTTGATTAATTTGGACCGCAGTTACCGATTAACAACTTAAGACATAGAGACAGGGAAGTGATATATAACCAAAGTGATGGGACGCCCTGTTGGGACGATGGACATTTAGAACGATGGAGTAAATGACAGTAACTAACTTGAACATTTCCCAGTAATATTTTAGAATACATCAATACCCATAACAGTCCGAGAGACAGCTTCCAGCCATATTGTATCTATCGATTTTGACATGTCTAAGAATAAACTCACTTTGTGGCACTTGGCAAGATTTAGGTTTGACAGCAAAAATGCTGGTGGATTTCAGAGAGAGATTTGATTTGTTACCTATACATTATTACATTGAGCGAAAATTTCTTCAAAGTCAACAGTTTGTTCAATAGTACCAAAATAAGTTTGTTAAAAATCTATCAACGTTTTCTCATATTGAACACAATATTTGCACTGTATTGCTGCAAATAATCTAGCCTGCTGCCCATGTAACTTAAACATATCTATGTATGATCTTCATATGCCACGATCTGTGACCAGAAAAGCAAATAAAGTTATGTCCTATGACCTCTATTGTCCCTGCTGAGGCTATCATAATGTTCAATTTCTGCCACGTCACGCGTGAATAAGCGTTATACTTCTGTTGATAAACCACACTGACAAATTAAGCAAATACCAGTATATAGTTAGTGTGGGCACATATCTAGCTTGTATATATTTTGTCAATATGAAGCATTCTAGATAATTGTGGATACACTGGGCTACACATACAGAACAAAACCCCATGACCGATGAATTGCTGCCTTGAAATGCAACAAGGAAGAATCTCGTTTACTTCCAGGTTATCATAATCGCCGTTTACTTCTACTACATGCATGGTTGGGGGCAAGATCAAAGTCGCCGCCCAACATTAATTAGACAGGGTTGTCCGTTTTGCTTTGAACCACCACCCCACCCTGTCGGTAGGAGTTATCTTATCGGTGTGCAAATAATTGTGTCCAGTTTACCACGGGGTTTGAAGCGGTGTCAGTGTCAAATTATTTTGTGATAGTGAAAAAATACGTTGTATACCGTATATTTTTGGTTACTAACTATCCTCTTATTTGCCAAAAGAACATAACAAAACCCCATGTCTGATAAATTGGTGCCTTGATATGCAACAAGAAAGAAACGGATATTACCAACAGAAAATCAGCTAACTGGAAGATCCACTGGCTGCTACATTCCTTATATAGGCTAAACGGTCCTGTTTGTGTGCACTAGACATAACATCCGAAGATTAATAAAGTCAATTTTAAGGCTGTACAGGCCATGGAACCGAAAGATAATATGTCCAGAACGCATATGTTGTGTATAAGAGGATGTCTATGCTAGAACGTTAGATCATGAGGGCGAAACATTAAGTAGATACACGAGAGTTGGGACACTGATTGTGTAACACCAACCATGCGGTCACATAAAGCATCATGAGAACTGGTGACCCAATATGCAAGTTTTACACGCATTCACACACGGAAGCAAATTATACACTGGCCAAAAAAAGAAATGGATAACAGAATAATCAGTGTTTCATTACATGTTTAATGAAATAGGATTACACAATAAATAATGAAGATACAACAACCACATTTACACAGGATGAGGCACATGTTTCTTACACTCAAAACAGTCTTTTAAAGTTCTAAGGGACGTCTGTGTCTGTGATGGTACTGTGCCAAAGTCAGTACCGGGTGTTACCACCACAATCATCGATCACAGCTCTGCACCGCCTGGGCGTGGACTGTATGAGTCGTCGAATCTGGCGTTGTGGAATCCTTCTCCACTCATCTTGCAATGCATGGTTCAGCTGTTGAAGCGTCTGTGGTTGAGGCTGTCGGCGTCGTACACGTCTGTCTAGCAGATCCCACAAATGTTCAATGGGGTTTAGATCAGGCGATTTGGAGGGTCATGGCCGCACAGTAACATTGTTGTGGGCAAGATAATCCATGGTAACACGTGCAGTATGCGGTCTTGCGTTGTCTTGCTGGAAAATCTCTCTTCTGACGTCAATGGCGGGGATAGGGTGACGTTGAAGAATTTAATCACGGTAGCGTACAGCAGTTAAATTTCCCTGCATGTGCACTAGATCTCTCCTACCATTCACGGATATGTCTTCCCACATTATGACACTTCCACCGCCGTATCGGTCGACTTCATGAATACAGTGTCGAGTGTAGCATTCATTTCTCCGTCTGCAGACACGCATCCTACCATCATGGCGATACAGCATGAACCGCGACTCATCACTGAACCATATCCTTCTCCAGTGCACTAGGGTCCATGGTCGAACATTTCTGCTCCATTGCAGACGTGCACGACGATGATGTTGCCGCAGAACGGGCGCAGTATATGGTCTCATTGGCCGTATCCCATGCTGTCTTAGACGCTTTCTGATGGTGTGCGCTGAGACTCTACGAAGACCAGGAACATTGTTAGCTGTGTATGCTGCACTGATTGTCCGGTTGCAACACCCGGATGAAGCGGTCCTGCGCCGCAGTTGTGACCCTGGGTCTTCCACTTCTCGGTCGATCTCTTGTCGAGTTGTGGAGTCTATAGCGCTGCCACAGACGAGAAATTGTACCCTGCCTCACGCTACAGTGCCTGGCTACTGATGTCTGACCTTCACCAGCTTCCAGACGTCTAATGGCTCTGTTTCTACAGTCTTCATTCAGTCTTGGCATCACGAGAGTCACGTATACAGAACATCGGAGAGTGATTCGCAGCAGGACTGCCAAATTTGTTATACCCATCGGTATAAAGGTTAAGTAGCCGTATTTGCACGTGCAGCATGCTTACAGCTTTTTCTCCATGCAATTTCTCTCAGTTTGGTTTCAAGATGCTGTATTTTGGCGACAAGTCACCAAATGTTGTGTTCGGGTGCAATAAATTAGTGTTAGGTCAATATTCACAGTTAGAAATGGCATTTATATTGAGTTCAAGCCTTCATCTTTTATAACAGTCAAGTTTGAAAAACAGATTTCAGCTATGCGTTTCGTCTTTTGGCCAGTATAGTTAATGTGGTATAGTTTTAATTAATCTGAACACATGTATAGCAACAGTAAGCAAATTAACAAGTCCATGGAAAATGCTTTGTTGCACGTTAATGTCTGTTGTTTTCACTTTGTCACAATATATCATAACTGAGTAAGAGAAGGTTTAGGATTCCTTTTGAAAGTACTAAAATAACAACTGTTGTTTACCGAACAGAGAGTTTTTTATGATAAAAAACATTGACTATTAAATTCTTCTCTCATTTTCCAATGCAGTTCACGTCAAATTTCTTCTCTTTCAATTGTTAAGGTAATGAGCCTGTTGAATGTTACCTACAGGTTCAGCCATTTCCAATTTCCTCCACTAGTTACTAGAAACTATTTCCCTTCTACCTCAATCCCACCTTTCATGCACTCAAAATGTAAAACATATACTTAGTGAGATCTTTATATAATTCATACAATAAACTAATGTTCATACATGAAGATATTGATGGGTGTAGGGAACAGTCCCTTTGAATATTTATGATTTAACACACACAGTTATGTACAATTTGACAAATTATAATAATATGAATATCAAAATTCATTACCACTTGTCACCAATTGGAAGTTGTCACAGATATTATATTTTTATCATATAATGGGTTGGTTTCTCGGCAGGATAAAGCCAACGGATAAAAACGATATCCGTTGGGGTCATACGCGGATAGAGATGCGAATATAAAAGGTCAAGTAGGGACTACTTTCAGTGTTTATAAACAAACATGGCGTCGCCCTCGTCATTCGGCGATCGAGTCAGAATTAACCATCGGGAATCTGGATAAACTACAGGGATAATTGCTATCATTATCAAACAACAGTCTAATATACTGAAAATCTGTGTCTAACTGTGACGTAGCTAAGGCATTTTATAAGTTTGGGCAACTTTAGAGATATAAATTTCGAAACAATTTTGCGAGGGCACGAGGCCTAGCCAAGCGGGACCAGTAGCCATATATCTGTGCTTGTAGACCTCTGCGGCTTGAAACCTTCTCCACAAATTAAAATAGTTGGATTTGGCCGAAATATGTTTGAATTGTTACCTTGTTTCGTTTTGGCGCTGTGTGTACATCTGACTGCACTGCTTAACGTTATGACAGGACAGGCCGACTGTCAACAACGTCTGACCGTGGCCGTGTGACGTCTCATAGACTAGGGTTAGAGTAGCTTCCCTTTGACAAAGGGCAGTTACTCTAGCGGACAGACCGATGGATTGCCGCGAAAGACAATTAAAAACAACTGTTGTTTTGCGTATATGTTGCTTCGTCACTGTATAAGAAACAGCTTTCAGTTCGAACTATATTGGCTACTGTCACTGTCCGACTGACACACCACTTACCCTGTGACGTAATTAATATCAATGCGCGCATTCCAGGAAAACTCGCAATGTTTCGGTAATGTAAGTGAGAGAGGGAAAGCGATTTTTAAGAATAGATTTAAATAATGACATTATATGATAAAGAGGTTATCACGCATGTGTGTTTGGGGATGGTAAATATCCTGTATTAGGAATAAACACTAATGAGTATGTATTTAGCTCGCCAAGGCTCGCTAAATACAATGTTTATTCCTAATGCAGGATATTTACCATCCCCAAACACACTCGCGTGATAACCTCTATATATCATATTTTATTATGTTATGTTATGTTATGGAATGTTATGGTATGGTACGGTATGGTATGGTATGGTATGGTATGGTATGGTATGGTATGGTATGTTATGTTATGTTATGTTATGTTATGTTATGGTATGGTATGGTATGGTATGGTATGGTATGGTATGGTTAGTTTTATAGGTATATATTTTGACTATAAATTATAAATCATTTATATATCTATGTAAATACGGCTAGATTAAATATAATACTAGAAACTATGGCTTGTGTAACAGAGGGAGAAAGTTTCAAATAAAGATAAGATTAAGGCCTAATATAATAGTAATGTATAGCTTTGTTAGATGTAAAGCATAGCAGGATATAGTAATGTAAACAGTTAGGCTGTTTTTTAGCATGAGGGACCTGCTAAATAAAGGAAAACGAAAGTGAAGCCTATCCTTAACATTGCGCTTGTACAAGAAACATATTCCCGAGCAAAAGTAATAAAGCATTAAGAAACCTGACAGACACTTTTGGCGTTCAATCCGCAATCTGTAAGTTTGTTCACAGTTTCAGTTTATTTCTCTGGAAAAAAACCACCAACGGTGGTACACAGGGACAGGACGTCGATCTTTCTGAAGCGTTGTTTTCACACAACAGCCGATAATCCCCCAGCTTACTCTGCTATACTCGCCCTATTTCGCGTGAGAAGTTTCTCCTCTATTGACCTACTGCAAGAGTAGGCTTCCTTCCCGGGAATACTCCTGCCTTCTGGCTTCAAACGACCGAGGCATTTTTTTTTTGTTATCTAGGTTTACATACATTTACATAATTTACACACGCACGCATGCATACATAAATACACACCCATGATTTACATACATACATCCATGTAATGGTACATACAGCCATACATACCATGCACACATACAGCCATGTTATCACACGTACATACTGAATAGGTAGAACGCGGGTGTATTGATCTGTTGTCTTAATCACTGGCCCATCAAGAGTGTCAGTGAGAGAGAGAGAGAGAATATTGTTTATGAAAGTGTCACATGTTATATACACTTCGTGATAAGATATATACAAAACAGTGAAATATAACATCCGGCCAAATATGACCTACGAGACACTATAAAACGTAAAACTATTCAGTTGAAACAGAATAAAAAAATGTAGCACACGTACACATACCTACGTGAAGCAACTTTTCAGCCACACGGAGGCGCGTATTCATACTAAACATACACCGCACATATACATACATCCATAGACACATAAACATAAATACATACCTCGTGATGCAGGCGCGGAGCACGGCCGGCCGTGGGCGGCTTCAATGAGGAGCGCACCAGTATGCCAGAATACAGGGCAACTGACTTCGAAAGTCCTAAGTTAAAAAGTGCGCTCCCCCTTGACTCCCCCCACCGCGTTGCGCCGTCCCCGCTCCCCGAGTGCGTGCGTGCGTGCGTGCGTGCACACACACACACACACACACACACACACACACACACACACCACACCACACCACACCACACCACACCACACCACACCACACCACACCACACACCACACACACACATCACGTCATACATACATACATACATACATACATACATACATACATACATACATACATACATACATACATACATACATACATACATACACACTTGGCTTAAAAATGAAATTGCCTTCTGTTGTAAATTGATTTGGCTAAAATACATTGGAGCGATTCTTCGTTCATAATAAAAATAAATTTTTCTAAACTACTCATATAATGAAATGCTTTATCTACTGAAGTTGCTTCTTTAGCTAAGTTGTATCTTAAATCATCATAAAATGGACATTCTATTAAAAAGTGACATTCATCTTCAACATAATTTACATGATCATTTATAGGATTGGCGTGACAATATTTACAAGTCCTATCCAACAGTGGGGTAGGTGGCTTGGCGTAGCGGCCGGTCTCAACATGTAAAGGTAAAATACCACATCGAAACGATGCTAAAAGTCTCCGATGATCTCTAAAACGTACATGACATAAATAAGGCTCAGCAGTAGGTAATGATTTGTACATTCTGTATGTGCGTAATTTATTGCCATTTGGATTATTCTTGTCATTCCAAAGCGCAGTATACCACATATCACAATCTTCAGCAGTTAAGAAACACTTTACACGGTCAACACACTGTTTAATGCTGTATCCACAATGAAGTAAATATGACAAATTATAGTGAGCTAAAATATTTAGTGAGCTAAAATGTCAGTCAGCATGTATCAAATCTTTATAAGCGGTGAGATTGTGATAACTGTCACACCTGACTTATTTGTCTGAATGGCACGTCTGAAAACAAGGGGTGAACCGTTACACAGTAACTCGGGGTAACGGGTGCTATAGAATCAAAGTACCGGCGTGCTACATCTATACGATACATATATGTTACGATGATGTGTTATTCCTTAATCAGTACTTAAAAGTAAACACATGTTAACGATAATAATGATAGAGAGATAGATAAACACAGGTCGGGTTAGTATTATTTCCTTGGTTAATTATAAGTTGATTTTTAAACGCTTTTTCATGATGAAAGAAATGATGGTGCAAACAAAACTCGCATTTAACACTATAACCGTGATGCAATCGCGTTGCGCAATACAATCCACAAAGAACACTATATAGGGCGCGTTTTTACTATTTATTCCTTACTTGATATCAATAATTCATTTATGGATACCAAAGAAAGAATTTATATCACAAATTTGTTATTATATCATGAAATGCTTACTGATATCGCAAATTAATCTGTAGACATCAATAACTGAATCCATTATACCAAATAGTGTACTTTATCATAAAAAAAATCGAATATGGTACAGTATCTATAGCCTTCGTCTCCGTGACCTTATGCCCATTTTTTAATAGAACGTGCAGATAGCTACAGTATCGTATCGTAAAACACAATTGACAAATACTCTAAAACACATGATAAGTAAACTATTAATGTGCATTGAAAAAATATATATTGTAAATGCCAAAATGATGTATCAAAGATCAAGTAGAAGATATATTGACAGTAGCGCTAGGTGACCAACGGGTTGCGTAACGCGTTGCCCATGTGTGTAAGGGGAATGAACTTCTAGGCAGTAGTGTATATATGTTTTTAAAATCCTTTATGATTTGTACCTAATTTGAGATAATATAGAAGTGCGCTGTAAATTGTACTGCACATTGACAGGGTTTCTAACGGTTGATCCGTAGTCCCCAGTGGTGACTTATAGAGCTGGTGATGGCAAACAATGAACTGATGAGGGGATACCTTCAAATAATAAGCTGTAACATGTTCAAGAACTTTCTGAGATTATTAAGACAATTTGACATCCAAATATTTTTTAATTCCCACAGCAACTCCAGGCGCAATGTTGCAGAAAGAAGTGAATTATATAAAAACTACCGCGAATATTAAATATGTTAAATTGAAATAAACTATTACATTTTTCTCGACCCTGTCACCCGATGATGATGATGATCATCATCATCACAAATCGCTTTAGTATTGTTGGAATGTACAGCGTATACACCACACAGCCGCTCCTGTCATTGGGAGCTACCCTTGACTAAATGGAACGTGTGACTTAGTCTATTTATGTCATCAAGGACGGTGTACGTTGCTCACAATATCAATCACTGGTTTCTCTGGTCTAGACTGCATTCGTATAATTAAGCATGGCTTATGTACATGTGAACAACGCGCTTCATCCCACATGGTAGAGAACTTAGTATATATGGGCTTAACGCTTATCAACAAGCGCTAGAAAAAACACTAATTGATGATATCTATATCTACATTATTGCGTGAAATAAAATGTGTAAAGACATTATTGCGTAAAGTAAAATGAATAAACACATTATTTAGTGGAATAATATGAAAATACATGTCTGTGAAATAAAATGAATGAATGCATGTGTGAAACAAAATTAATAAATACATAAATGTGTGAAATGATATACACAGTTCCGGGACTTCCCGTGTTTTGACTCACGCGGAATTACGCTCATGGGCCGCAAATCGTAAAAATATTTCCGTATGTCAAATCTTAATGTACGTTCAACAGTAAGTGCAAGTTCCAGTTTTGCATTCTATGAAGTTATTTCCTGTTCAAACGTAACATCCATGCATTATATTTTCTGAGTTAAAGCAACGTAACAGTTTCTGATATTTTTCAGCGAAGGGCGTCCCCTATTTAGGTAAGATAGCGTAAGCTTCCGCAATTAACACCTGGGCTTAAGGTCGGATAATATTTTTAAATGAGAAACTGCTATTTTCCGAAATTAGGCCCGGGGCTTAAATACGGGAAGTCCTGGCATGTATGATTTACGGTATTTCTGTGTGACTCTCAACATGTGAATAAATACATTATCCCAACACATATTCTCTGTTTACCCTACGAATCTTGGCCCTTTTCCTACGGTTAACAAAATATACGTGACACCGTTTGCTCTCAGGGATTATCTCGCTACGCTATTCAGGAACCTTGAAACAGTAGGTGCTAGGTAAGAGAGAAGACCCCCTCCAATTTGATCCTCGTCACACGGTCACGGACTCTGTGCTGGTATGATCAAGGGGAACTAACTCTAGTTATGTAAAGACGCGTTACCGATTCATAAGGATCGATGCTTCCTGAGTGTTAGTGTTGTACGAGTTTTTTTTAAAGATGAGGTGAGGTGATATTGGGTTTTACGTCGCGTTCAGAAATATTGCACTTATACATTGTATATCGACGTGCATGCAGGGGTGTGTGTGGCTGCTTGTACTAGTCCGGACTGATGCCGATTTATAGTGCTAGCTCACTGAGATACCATGCCGTAGTTTTACATGAATACCCCACTCCGACACAGTATACTGACTCCGAGCCGACCAGTCCTTGTTTTAGCCCCTTCATGCCGAGCGCCAGACAGGGTAACAACAAGTACCATCTTTTAACGTCTTTTGGTATGACGCGGCCGGGGATGGAACCCCGAACCTCCCACTCTCCTGGCGGACGCTCTACCACTGGACCACTGAGACGGTCAGTTTTTTTTTAAAGAAATCAGGCAAGTGGGTATGAAACAATTCCTTCTTTGATGCAAAAAGGCCAAGATGTTAAAGATTTGCACTATTTTATATGTATATCCGCGGTCTATAATAATCCAGCTATATTACAGCGACGTCAAAACGTGTGAGCCTGGGCCACCCAAACCTGTGGTTAATAGCATGAGCAAAGATCCATGTCAACGGGATGCGGTTCCAAACAATCACCCAGGTAACACATTATATTCACTCAATCATTTTTCCACCAGTCCTTACTAAGGAACTGCGGAGTCAGTGATCTTAGTTTTTGACTTACCCGCGAAACGTGAACTTTTCCAATGTAGTTGTACTCTCAATGTGCCTACGGGGCGGTCGGGTAGCCTTGTGGTTAAAGCGTTCGCTCCTCACGCCGAAGACCCGTGTTCGATTCCCGACATGGGTACAATGTGTGAAGCCCATTTCTGGTGTCCCCCGCCCTGATATTGCTGGAATATTGCTAAAAGCGGCGTAAAACAATACTCACTCCCAATGTGCTTACACATCAAACAAGTTCAATATTTTTGCCACAACAGGGAGTAATAACATAACCCAAATATGGACAAAGAATAAATTTATTAAATAAAGTTAAGAAGTATACTGATAATGACTTAACAACTTACGTACTTACATCCATTCAACTAGCGTCCACTATCTATCCCCCTTCACACTCTTCACACTCTTTACACTCTTCACATACTTCACACACACTGTCACTCTAACATACACTTTCCAAATACTTAAGGTTACTCAACCCTACTAACAAATACACTAATATTGTACTAATACTCTCCTAAATCCCTACTAATACATTGATACATCATTGCATCAACATCAGAACATTAATACATCACAACATCAATACCTTAATGCATCAATACTTCAGTACATCGATACATGCATGTCAACAATCAATTATCTCACATAACACATTATTATGTAGACAATATGTACAAAGTCATTTTCTTCAAGTCTCCCTCAACATTATCGCACTGTACACTGTACATCGTTTATGAACCTCACACATGTCTCATCCAGTTCAGATGTTATCATATGCTTGGGGTCGCCCTGGGGTCAGGATTCATAAAATGATTGTCCCTGCCCCCTCATATTCCGCGCAGGTGCCCCTCTGGATCCTGGACAGCCACGAGTTTGGAAAAAAACACACTCCAAAACCGAAACCGTCGAACCAAGGACAAAATTCTCATAGAATTATCACAGAATTTTAGTTGACAGTCTTCCTAAATACCCTTTCACACAGCTCATACAACAAAAGACGTTCATTCCTCTCCCAAGCAATCTTACATGCCATCTTTAAAGCACACATTTTCACACAGTCCAGCCACACTCTAATACATTCAGTCAAACCAACTTAGAGAAATATATACCATGTGATCTGGACAGTATTTGCAACAAAAAACGTGAGAGGTTGGAGATGTTAAGTGACAGTGGTTCTCTCTATATGTTGTACGTGCATTTGGGATGGAGGCACAATGATACCAAACCAGCAAGGGACACAATTATATTACGAGAGGTGATTGATAAGTTCTGAGTCTCACACAGAAAGATTTGACCTGAATACATATAAACGATTAATTTTTCATCGGTCGAGTCGAAGTCGAACTTTTTTCATGTTTGGGAACAGGTGAAAGTCTGAGGGGCCCAGGTCAGGGGAGTAAGGAGGGTGCTAAAGGAGTCCCAAGCCACATTCGTGGATTGTAGCCACAGTGCTGGCGCATTGTTCCTTGTGGAAGAACCCACGTTCCCGTTTCCCGTGTCTCTTTGTCTTCATCCCGTAATTGTCTCAAAAGTGCAGCCTAATTTTCTCAAAATTTATTGCAAATGTTTCTGTGATGATACAATGTACTCTATCCTGGCAAATGCCTACTGTACTAGCTATATGACGCCGAGTCATTCATCTGTCGGTCATCGCCATATTTAGATTCTCTGGATAATTTCTGGTGTTGCTGACGTCACAGGCCTTCCGGGATAGGGGTCGTCTTCATGGCTCTCCCTGCAACGCTTAAGCTTATCAATCAACCCTCTTTCATATATTAGATTAAAAGTAAAAGATGTGACGTAAACTGGATTTAGATTTGGAATATTTGGGAAAGTCATCTCTCTTGTCATACATGAATATTTCCTGTCACTCTGAATCTTTATGCATAGATCTAAATATGAGTGAGTGAGTGAGTTGGGTTTAACGCCGCTTTTAACAGTATTCCAGTTATATCGCGTGTCAGCTTAATGTGGGAGGAAAGCCCGAAATGATGCAGGTCTCAGACGTTTACCACTTCGGTGAAACCCTAGAGCACGTGTATGGTGCTGACAAACCTAGAAACATAATCGGGGCGAACCGGGATTCGAACCCACAATCATAGGTTTCTGGCGTGCCCAAGGGACGCAACTCTGCACAGCGAATCGCGGCGCCTCAGACGACTGGGCCACCCGTGCCCCCAGATCTATATATGAAACAGAGGAGGCGGTCTCACTGGTCTCCTCTATTTCAAGTTCAGGTGGGTAAATCAGTGGAAGGGAGTTGGCCATTTGATGGATATTGAATGATATGAGATCATTTATATGCCCGAAGCTTAAGTTAAACATCGTGGCGGAAATGCCTTGTTTTGACTTTGCCAATCCGAGCAGAAATTACGATCATATGCATAAAGAAACAGATCAGCAAGAAGGGGAGCTCAGTTTGTGCTCATGGGGATGTCTACTTCTTGCCTTAATGTCTCACCCCAAAAGTTTACATAGATGTTATCGGGGAGGAAAACGTCAAGCGTTTCACACACTGTTTTCTCTGTAACCTTCAGATGACATATGCTTTCATTTTTTGGACAACTTTCCCTCAACCTCTGGGGCACGGCTGGTCCAGTCGTCTAAGGCGCCGCGATTCGCTGTGCAGATTTGCGTCCCTTGGCACGCCAGAAACCTATGATTGTGGGTTCGAATCCCGGTTCGCCCTGATTATGTTTCTAGGTTTGTCAGCACCATACCCGTGCTCGTGGTATTCACCGAAATGGTAAACGTCTTAGACCTGCATCACTTTGGGCTTTCCTCCCACATTAAGCTGACACGCCGCGATATAACTTGAATACTGTTAAAAGCCCTCATTAAACCCAACTGACTGACTCACTCCCTTAACCTCTGAAGATAGATATGTAATGGTCACTACATTTTGTAACAAAAGCATGATGGATTAAGGAATGAAGTGTTCCCTCAAGTTTGCCATATGGGATACTGGTGTATAAAAAACCCCCAATGTGTTGACAGAATTAAACTTGGCTCTTTTCGGGTATTCTAACAAATTCAAGCAAATCTTTGAGTTATTAAAACTCCACATGGGTTTAATCCCACCTGTTCTTAATTACTTTCAGTGAATATAAAGAAGTCCTTCCTTGATTGTATTAAGGAATATGGTTAATCTTTGAAGAGGGTGCACGGGTGGCCCAGTCGTCTAAGGCGCCGCGATACGCTGTGCAGAATGGCGTCCCTTGGCACGCCAGAAACCTATGATTGTGGGTTCGAATCCCGGTTCGCCCTGATTATGTTTCTAGGTTTGTCAGCACCATACCCGTGCTCGTGGTTTTCACCGAAGTGGTAAACGTCTTAGATCTGCATCACTTTGGGCTTTCCTCCCACATTAAGCTGACACGCCGCGATATAACTTGAATACTGTTAAAAGCCCTCATTAAACCCAACTGACTGACTCACTCCCTTAACCTCTGAAGATAGATATGTAATGGTCACTACATTTTGTAACAAAAGCATGATGGATTAAGGAATGAAGTGTTCCCTCAAGTTTGCCATATGGGATACTGGTGTATAAAAAACCCCCAATGTGTTGACAGAATTAAACTTGGCTCTTTTCGGGTATTCTAACAAATTCAAGCAAATCTTTGAGTTATTAAAACTCCACATGGGTTTAATCCCACCTGTTCTTAATTACTTTCAGTGAATATAAAGAAGTCCTTCCTTGATTGTATTAAGGAATATGGTTAATCTTTGAAGAGGGTGCACGGGTGGCCCAGTCGTCTAAGGCGCCGCGATACGCTGTGCAGAATGGCGTCCCTTGGGCACGCCAGAAACCCATGACTGTGGGTTCGAATCCCGGTTCGCCCCAAAACCTTTTGAAAGCCCTTAGGCTACTAAGACCTTGGATGAGAGTGCCTACACGGTGTACGCCGGGTTGGGTACTTCTTGAATGCCGTACCTTGTAGCCCCGAGAGACTCAAACCGGTGTTAAACTCAAATATATATACAGTATATTTCCATTGTATTATGGGCCGGTGGCCTGAAGTACCCAATAAATTTGTCTGTCTTGTCTGTCTTAACTCAATCAGAATCATACACTCCAATCTTTAACCGTCCTCATATGGGAAAATGAATATGCATACAACTTACATAAGCGTTTTTAATTAGTACTAGTCGCATAGCAACTGTTACAGAGCGGCGTTGAAGCGATTTCACTCACTCACTTGTGAAGAGTGTTTTGTGATCAGAAAATATTCCATCTATTCCAAATGTTATGATGTGGAGGAAGAACCGAACCGATGGGGGTCTCAGACATTTAGCACTTTGGTGAAAGCTCAGACATGGTGTGGTGGTGACAAACATAATCGGGGGGGATCTGGGACTCGAACCCACGATGATGCATCAGTGCTATGAAACAGAAACACAGATACACACAGAAACCTCTTACATCTTGAGTCACACAAACCTGCTCCTTAATCCGGATGTAATGCTCTTAAATCCCGAGTTAATGCTCTCCAATCCTCAGATAAAGACAACTCCAAGTCACGAGTGACGAAATGCCAATAAGATCAGGAGTCAGCGTTATGCCAATATTTCCATTCCTTTTTTTTAAACATGACTGAGTAATAACGAGAAATGCGACCGTTTCATGCGCCCGGTCTCTTGTAATTGCATCCTAATGCGGGGTTAACTGATTGTGTGGTTGCGGGCTCCGAAACATCAATATGCCAGAATATAATCTCCCCTGAACTAATTTGAAAAAAACACATACACCGGATTTGTTGCTTATTTGATTGTTTACGATGTCCATATCTTCAGTATTATGAATCTCGTAAAAGCGGCAACCACAGGTGAAATTAGGAAGCGATTTTCCCATGCTTATCTAATAATTCAGATGTTTGTCGTATTAGCTGATCATAAGTCAACAGCAGTACCGGGACGTCTTAATTAGTGCGTGGTACTGCATGGCCCGTGTCAACATTGCCCAGTTCCTTAGTGGCGAGACGATGAAGATGAATTGGGGCCTGGTGGGAACTTGACCAAAGGTAGGCTCTCTCCTGATACCACGTGACCGGCCGAGACTGCTCGTGTTTGCGTATAAAATCATATGAACATTAACGGTGAAGTGAAATTAAATAAGAAAATTGACCTAAATGAAATTGATGAAATTAATCTCATGAACCATGGCGAATTAATGCTGTGATTCCAGGTATGGGATTGTTTTAGATGCATGACGTCTCGTGCACATGGTAACGGCGCCACATATGCGTATAACTGCAGACTAACAGGGAACTGAATATCATAAGTTCGCATACCAGAGGATGAGTGCTAGAAAGGTTGTTGAGTCGGCGTCTTTAAGTTTTGGAATTGATCGAATTTTGGGGAAAACTTTTGAAAGGAGAACGGACAACGCCACAAGCCAGAGTCTGGAGTCGCCGGGGAGAAATGGTGAGATAACATTTAAATGAACCTTTCTGTTGTTTGTAAACACCGGGATGGTGTTTGGGGATAGTTGAGGAATTAACTGTCAAAACCTTAAAACATGATTTCAGGATTTCGAGTGAAATACGAACTGTTCAGAAAATGTTTTTCTAACTATAAACGTATTGAAATAGATACAAAGAAAGCAATTTATAACCTTCAACTACCTTTGTGTTTTCGGATTCCTGCATTTTTGCATTTGATATGTCTTATTCAACTCCTGGTGTCATCAATGGTGTTCAGAGGTTTATTCATACAATTTTCACTGCTGTTTTGCCTTTCACGACAAATGGAATCTGTTTTGACGGATGATGAAGAGTAACTATTCTCTTGCCTTGCCTTTTTATATTTACTGTAATTATCGCGATTATGAAGTTGGGATAGTATGTGTTCAATTATTCACGTCAGCATTGCATTGATGTAGTTTCTACGATGAATACTTTGTCAAACGTCTTCCTGATCTACTCAATAATTCTTCGTTGATCACATATATATCAAATGTAAGAAGAATCTATGTAAACTTCTGCCACCAAACTGTGCTGTCTTTTCATGCACTGTGTGTTGTGTAATCGGCAAATGTAAAATTGAACTTTGTATTTTGCGTCTCTTTGCGTCTCACGTTCCTCATTGTCAGTGTCATGAATAGGACCGCCTCCGTGGTCTGGTGGTAGAGCGTCCGCCCGGAGAGGGGAAGTTCCGGGGTTCGATCCCAGACCGCGTCATACCAAAGACGTTAAAATATGGTACTTGTTGTTACCCTGTCTGGCGCTCGGCATTAAGGGGCTAAAACAAGGACTGGTCGGCTCGGAGTCAGTATACTGTGTCTGAGTGGGGTATTCATGTTAAACTGCGGCATGGTATCTCAGTGAGATCGCACTATAAAACGGCATCAGTCCGGACTAGAAAAAACAGCCACACAAACACACACACGTACATGCACGTCGATATATAAGTGCAATAATCTTGGAAGAGACGTTAAACCCCATTTCACCTCACCTCACCAGTGTCATGGACCCAATCCACTCATCGCATGTTTGTTCTGGACTTTTCCAGAAAGGCACATTTCTTCATGTATCAAAGATTTTAAGCATTTTTGGGTACCACCTGGCCAGACGAATCCATTATTCATAAAAAAAATACTTAAAGAAAATGTACTCATTTTCAATTATTAATATGTATTTAGTGATGAAATACCAGATTTATCTGAACATATCTCATATCATTCAAGGGGCGGTCGGGTAGCCTAGTGGTTAAAGCGTTCGCTCGTCACGCCGAAGACCCGGGTTCGATTCCCGACATGGGTACATTGTGTGAAGCCCATTTCTGGTGTCCCCCGCCGTGATATTGCTGGAATATTGCTAAAAGCGGCGTAAAACCATACTCACTCACTCACTCATATCATTCAAAAATAACATTTTCACTCGAGGTTGCCGTACTCATCAATGATGGAAATGTAAACAATACGCAGTGGTATGCGTAGGACTTCTATGGATCCAGTAATGAGATGACATGAATGAAACCACACCTAATGCACCTGAGAGTATTGTAAGCAACATGACATGTACAGGTTGGTTCTCAGTTCAGGAAGACTTTGTCGATTATGCGTATGTCAGTGAGTGTGAGTGAGTATGGTTTTACGCCGCTTTTAGCAATATTCCAGCAATATCACGGCGGGGGACACCAGAAATGGGCTTCACACATTGTACCCATGTCGGGAATCGAACCCGGGTCTTCTGCGCGACGAGCGAACGCTTTAACCACTAGGCTACCCGACCGCCCCGATTATGCGTATGTAAAAAACAGGCTGTTTCAAAACCATCAGGAAATGCTGCATTTTATTGAAGCAATATGTATTAATAATTCTATGGTGTTCTATTTTGCACACCTTTCAAACATATGGGCTATTACCCATTCTTAGAAATCATCGTAACAAGCCTGGCAGATTTAACCGATTTGTAGAGTTATGGTAGGCTGAATATTACATTTGTGACCCCAGTATTTGTATTGCTAGCAAAGACCCAGGAGTACGAAGACACGCAATTGATCAAGTCTCATCAGCAAACCCATGCTTGTCGTAAGAGGCGACTAGCGGGTTTGGGTGGTCAGGCTTGCTGACTTGGTTGATGCATGTCATCGTATGATTCGTATCCAAATTGCATAGATCGATGCTCATGATGTCAATCACTGGGTTGTCTGGTCCAGATTCAATTATTTACAGACTGCCGTTATATAGCTGGAATATTGCTGAGGGCGGCGTTAAAGAACAAACGAATATTAATCAAGTCATCGGGCTTGACCATCCGATCCATTAAGCCTCCTCTTACGACCAGCATAGGTTGCTATGGATTCATTCGTTCGATAAATTCCCATAGAGAAATCACAATGAGAGGCATATAAATGATAAGAATTTAAGTACATGTTATGGACTTATGCCAGTGCTGAATACATCAACCTCAATGATCTTTTCAGAAGGCCTTTTGTAATGTTTAAACATGAGCAGGTATTTCGCCCAGGTTGATATATTTAGAAGATGGAAGTTGGCAAACATGTTATCAACGATCACACACATGCTTACAGTTAGATTAGTGATGCTTTTGTCCTTGATCCTGCCAGAAGTCCAGAACGTTCAAGTAAAAGAAAGGCCGCTTATTCTATATCATCCTTTTTACAGGAATCATCCTTCTCGTTGGAAACAAGTCCGATTAATCCTCCATCAATATTGTATCAAGTGAAGTGAAGGTGTCCCGTCGTTCCGCGGACATAATGTGATTGAAATAGTGTTAATTTCAAATTTAAACAAGAGCATAATGACTGACTAAATACTTCATAGATAATATACAGCATATTTTTGAGAAGTTATGGAAATGATTAACCAATTTGCATATGTTTTCGCAGAACATCTTTTATTAGAAAATACAACCAAGGACAATTCGTCAAAATTGGGTTGATAGTAGTACAATTGTTTAATATGCAGTAAATGTGGTCATTACGTACTCGGTTGACTCTCAGCGTTGACACGCCCATGTGAACGAGATGTAATTGTTCATGGACAGAGTTCAAGCCTTGCTGTACAATGTCCTTGTCCCTGACTACATGCATGATGCTTTCACTCGTAGGCGTAATTATTTGTAAATGTGAAAAGTTGAGAAAGAAACTCGTGTTATACCTGCACGTATGGTTTTATATGCAACTGGAAATATGCTGAGCTGTGTTTATTATATATTTCAATATAAAATGGTCATTTAAAAAAAAAAAATGATTTTCTGACCAAGCTCGTTTTATTTTTTGTACAAAGCGTCGTATATATATTGAAATAAGGAAACCGAAATCGACAACTGCTTCATTGCAATTGTCACTTTCCGTTTGTTTACTTGCTTCTTTGTATCAGATGATTTGATTCGGTGTTTGCGACCATCTGGAGAAACATACATTGATCTTGCACCATTGATCTGTTTAAGTATCGGTAGACATTCATCAAAATGTGATCACATGTCATGTATAGATTTGTCCAAATGAAAAAATGGAACTTTAGTATACATGCCAATAAAAAGGGGCGGAATTGATTTCCAGATGCATACAAATACAGCTTCAGTAGGGGTTCAATGACAAGATGGACGAGGGTTGGGTACTCGAATAAGCCGACGAAAACGAGGATTGGATGGTCACAGTGTGAAACATGTCTGAAAGTGTTGACTCGTACCCCGATGGCGTTAGTCCTTTCTCTGAGGTATACCTGCATCAGATTCAAGTATTTCATATCCGCGATGAAATAGCTGCGCTACTGCTGACTGCGTCTTAAAACAACATTCATTCACTTGCAGATACATCAACGTTGAACGTTGCTGTTGCAGATGTTGGTCCGCCCCTGACCCAGCATCGCGCCCGGATGAGGACGAACTTTAGTGCATGGCAGTTGGAGGAACTGGAACGCGCGTTCCGGGTGACCCACTACCCTGACATCTTCATGCGGGAGGCCCTGGCGTACAGGATGGAGCTGACAGAGGCTAGAGTGCAGGTGAGTACACTGTACGGGATGGACCTGACAGAGGCTAGAGTGCAGGTGAGTACACTGTACGGGATGGACCTGACAGAGGCTAGAGTGCGGGTGAGTACACTGTACAGGATGGAGCTGACAGAGGCTAGAGTGCAGGTGAGTACACTGTACAGGATGGAGCTGACAGAGGCTAGAGTGCAGGTGAGTGTACTGTACAGGATGGAGCTGACAGAGGCTAGAGTGCAGGTGAGTACACTGTACAGGATGGAGCTGACAGGCTAGAGTGCGGGTGAGTGTACTGTACGGGATGGAGCTGACAGAGGCTAGAGTGCAGGTGAGTGTACTGTACAGGATGGAGCTGACAGAGGCTAGAGTGCAGGTGAGTGTACTGTACAGGATGGAGCTGACAGAGGCTAGAGTGCAGGTGAGTGTACTGTACGGGATGGAACTGACAGAGGGTAGAGTGCAGGTGAGTGTACTGTACAGGATGGAGCTGACAGAGGCTAGAATACATTGTACAGGATGGAGCTGACAGAGGCTTGAATGAAGGTGAGTACATTGCCCAGGATGGAGCTGACAGAGGCTAGAGTGCAGGTGAATACACTGTACAGGATAGAGCTGACAGAGGCTAGAATACATTGTACAGGATGGAGCTTACAGAGGCTAGAGTGCAGGTGAGTGTACTGTACAGGAAGGAGCTGACAGAGGCTAGAATACATTGTACAGGATGGAGCTGACAGAGGCTTGAGTGAAGGTGAGTACACTGTACGGGATGGAGCTGACAGAGGCTAGAGTGCGGATGAGTACGATGTACAGGATGGAGCTGACAGAGGCTGGAGTGCAGGTGAGTACACTGTACAGGATGGAGCTGACAGAGGCTAGAATGCAGGTAAGGAACACTGAACAGGATGGAGCTGACAGAGGCTAGAGTTCAGGTGAGTGTACTGTACAGGATGGAGCTGACAGAGGCTAGAATGCAGGTGAGTACTCTGTACAGGATGGAGCTGATAGAGGCTAGAGTGCAGGTGAGTGTACTGTACAGGATGGAGCTGACAGAGGCTAGAATACATTGTACGAGGATGGAGCTGACAGAGGCTTGAATGAAGGTGAGTGCACTGTACAGGATGGAGCTGACAGAGGCTAGAATACATTGTACAGGATGGAGCTGACAGAGGCTAGAGTGCAGGTGATTACACTCTACAGGATGGAGCTGGCAGAGGCTAGAATACATTGTACAGGATGGAGCTGACAGAGGCCTGAGTGAAGGTGAGTGCACTGTACAGGATGGATCTGACAGAGGCTAGAATACATTGTACAGGTTGGAGCTGACAGAAGCTAGAGTGCAGGTGAGTACACTGTACAGGATAGAGCTGACAGAGGCTAGAATACATTGTACAGGATGGAGCTGACAGAGGCTTGAGTGAAGGTGAGTGCACTGTACAGGATGGAGCTGACAGAGGCTAGTGTGCAGTTGAATACAATATACAGGATGGAGCTGACTGGGGCTAGAGTGCAGGTGAGTACACTGTACAGGATTGAGCTGACAGAGGCTAGTGTTCAGTTGAGTACAACGTACAGGATGGAGCTGGCAGAGGCTAGAGTACAGGTGAGTACACTGTACAGGATGGAGCTGACAGAGGCTAGTGTGCAGGTGAGTACACTGAACAGGATGGAGCTGACAGAGGCTTGAGTGAAGGTGAGTACACTGTACAGGATAGAGCTGACTGAGGCTAGAATACATTGTACAGGATGGAGCTGACAGAGGCTTGAGTGAAGGTGAGTGCACTGTACAGGATAGAGCTGACAGAGGCTAGAGTGCGGGTGAGTACACTGAACAGGATGGAGCTGACAGAGGCTTGAGTGAAGGTGAGTACACTGTACAGGATAGAGCTGACTGAGGCTAGAATACATTGTACAGGATGGAGCTGACAGAGGCTTGAGTGAAGGTGAGTACACTGTACAGGATAGAGCTGACTGAGGCTAGAATACATTGTACAGGATGGAGCTGACAGAGGCTTGAGTGAAGGTGAGTGCACTGTACAGGATGGAGCTGACAGAGGCTAGAATACATTGTACAGGATGGAGCTGACAGAGGCTTGAGTGAAGGTGAGTGCACTGTACAGGATGGAGCTGACAGAGGCTAGAATACATTGTACAGGATGGAGCTGACAGAGGCTTGAGCGAAGGTGAGTACACTGTACAGGATGGAGCTGACTGGGGCTGGAGTGCAGGTGCATGAACTGTACAGGATGAAGCTGACAGAGGCTGGAGTGAAGGTAAGTGCGCTGTACAGGATGGAGCTGACAGAGGCTAGAATACATTGTACAGGATGGAGCTGACAGGCTAGAGTGCAGGTGAGTACACTGTACAGGATGGAGCTGACAGGCTAGAGTGCAGGTGAGTGTACTGTACAGGATGGAGCTGAAAGGCTAGAGTGCAGGTGAGTGTACTGTACAGGATGGAGCTGACAGGCTAGAGTGCAGGTGAGTACACTGTGCAGGATGAAGATGAACCCGGGCTTTCGCTGAACGCATTAACCACTGCATTTGAGTCTAAGGCAACGGACAGGTGGGAATTTTTGAACGCTTCATAACGCTACACATATCCGTACACCTGCTGACTGCAAAACCTGACGTTTGAGTCGACGTGATTGTTAATATGTTTGTTTGTTGGTTGGTTAACGCCGTACTCAGCAATATTCCAGCTATATGACGGCGGTCTGTAAATAATCGAACTTGGACCAGACAATTCAGTGATTGCCATCATGAGCATCGATCCACGCAACTGGGATACGATGACATGCCATAAACCAAGTCAGCGAGCCTGACAACCCAATCCCGTTAGTCGTCTCTTACTACACGCATAGTCGCCTTTACGGCAAGCATGGGTTCCTGAAGACCTATTCGACCCCGGATCTTAACGGATGTATTGTTATTATTATTACTGTTATAATAATTGGCCTGTAATGTATAATGCGAGAAATTATTCATCAAGCAGTCAGTGCAGGTCATGGCTTTTTACATAACCAGCTCACCGTGTTGTAGGTCTGGTTCCAAAACCGCCGGGCAAAGTGGAGGAAACAGCAACGGTCATCGGGCTGCCGGGAGCTTGGGTGCTGCGATCATCACGCCAGTGAGAGCCCAAACTCCGCCACCACGCAAGGGAAAACCTCCAGCCCGTACTTACAGGTCATGCCCCCTGTTCTCAACTCACCGGAATCATTGCAGCGAATCCCTAACGCCGTGTTTGGAGCTTGGCCGTTCTCAAGAGAGGTACAGTTGAGATGCAGTATATCGTCCTTGAGAGAGAAAGCGAGAAACTTCTACACCAACATCAGCAGCAATGGACACTTTTCATATAACCCATTCCAGTGAGCCAGAGCGAAGGATCACACCAAGATGGCACCAGCGACAGATGAAGACATGAACACTACAGAACGTCATTTCATATGATTGCGTTTCTGATTTGCCTCGCGTAAACAACAAACAAACACTAACAAGAATATAGCGCTGTCCTCCGTGATCGTTGTCTAGATTGACATATATACACTGTAGCACTACGTTGAAAATGCAGCAAATAGGACTAACATTCATATATGAGTGGGTCGAAGACCTGATCCCCGTGGTATCTGGGCAGAATAAATCCCTGTGTCCATGTCGTTGACCGTCAGGTGGTCACACTGTGTTGCCTGGTTAAATGTCATGGCGTCGTGAAACAGTATTCATGCTATCAACAAATGGTAAGCCAAGTCAAGACTCGATTACGTACGGGTCGTCGTGATACAGGTGGCAAATGTTGACCGAGAACCCGACAAGTTGAGGTGAAATTGGGCTTAACGTAGCGTCCACGATCACTGCACATATAGCTTCGGGCATGCACGTATGCCTGCGTGTGTGGTTGCCTGTACTAGCCCGGACTAATGCCGGTTTTATGGTGCTAGCCACTTAGATACCATGCCGCAGGTTAACAAAGATACCCCACTCAGACACATACTAACTCTGAACCGACCAGTTCTTATTTCAGCCCCTCAATGCCAAGAGCCAGGCATGGTACCACCTTTCAACGTATTTTGGACATTAAGGGACCACGAGATCGAACCAGGTACCTTCCGCTTCTGGGCAGACGTTCTGTTTGCTGTACCACGGAGGAGGTTAGTGGCGATGAAGGACAAGGCATCCGTTTCATACGTATATGTTCTCAATAATAATTGCATGGAAAAAGGGCTTCCTTGACGAACGGGATTGGGATTAACGGGGTCCCTGTATTGTGATGTCCCAGGTTAACTAGACTGGAGAGTTATCATGAGCTATGACACATTGTCGAGCTACCATCTGAAGTCTGAGGTCAGTTCCAATCCACAAAGTACCCAATGTCCTCAACGTTCAACATGAGGTTTGTAGTGCTTAATAATTATGTAATCATACATCGTAGGAAGATTATTGTATGTGGTACCTGTTCATAAATATATTACCTCATACATGTATACATGTGAATAAACAATTCCACAAAAGCAACTAATATTATCCCAGATTGCGCGCTTTGGTTTCGAGCCACCGTTTTCCGTTTACGAAAAGGTATACATAAGTTTTACGGGTATTATGAGTACGGGTATTATGCTGACAAACTAAGAGTCCCAACCAGAGCGAAAATAGAATTCGAACCTACGAGCAAGTACTTCACAGCAATAAACACACTTTTTAGAAACGGACGGAGAGAGTGATGTGGGTTGAAGTGATACCCCCCAAAATACAATCTCTACTTTGTGTCTTTATAAGAGTATCACAACACTTAATTAATTGATAAACGCCATTCGTACACCAACTGTTCCCGGTGTAAGTGCCGGTAGGGCAAGACGTACTTACCCTTTTCGCGGTACACCTGGTATCATCACTGATTACAAGTGATCCATTCATACAATTTTCGCCGCTATTTTGCCTTTTACGCCCAATGGAATCTGTTTCGTGGAAAATCGAGACGTTGGTATTAACGTTGTATGGCGATACATAAAAACAACTGCTCGATGACCATATTAAGAAAATAATTTATTTTTGTCTTCTCACACTGCGACCAGTTTGACTGCATCCAGTTTATGTCAACATCTCATTCATGATATTTATCATATCACACTGATTCAGATGAACGTCAATAACATAACAAACGACGATCCTATATGATTTGTCATCGATCAACAATTGACATGCATGATTTAATCATGTTCAGATACCAACAATGATAACGTTCATAAATATCCACATCATAATACTGCCTGTGCCTTATTTTAATACTGCTTGGCAATTGTTACCCTATTGCACCAATATCTTATTTTGATTTTTATCCTGAGGCCATAATAAATTAATTATATTTTTTTATCCTGCCTGCCTCACATCATTTTCATCCTGCAGATGAAGAAAATTACTGATTCCGATCTTTCTTTGCTTGATTAATTACACCATAATATAAGTCCTGCCGAGCATTCGTGTTTCATGTACACAGATGCCTTTATCAGTTTGGTTTCAAAAGTAAAATGCATTAAAATAATTCATGCCCCACGTTTTCTTTATAAATTCCGATGAAAATAAAATAATTAATATATTGTGGTCTCGCGTACCTGTATATTTGCTGATCAACAGCTTGTAACGTACCGAGTTCCCTTTAAAGCACATTCGTCTAGCAATGACATGGGAGTTACATCAATATAAAAGTACAAATATGCATATATTATTGACACCATTTCATATGCTGGTGATGTCAAACAACTGTCAGCAATATGTTCGTGTATGTGAACGAAGAGCTGCAGATAACAGTAAGCACAAAACAAGAATTCGTACTGTTTTCAAACCATAACAACAATTAAAAAACAAAACAAACTAGCACTTAGACACAACTCAATGTCAGCTATGTGCTGATCATACCAAAATGGAAACTATTATCGTGGCTACAATGTTTGACCATACAGTGAAACTCCCTTAATCGGCACGGTACATGTACAATTACCAGTCAAATCGTCCGGATAAACAAATGTTCGGAATAACATATCAGTGTCACGGAGTCATCTCTTTTTTATGTATGTAGAAGTCGTCCGGATTGACGGGGTGACCGGATTAGCGTCGTTCCCGGATTAATGGGGTCGAGACTAAAGAGGTTTCACTGTATATAATAGTCCAAGACAGATCAAGTCAATAAATCATAATTACCACATGTACATTCGGTACATGCTCTAGAAGTTCATGTGAGTACTCCAACGACAACAATATGCTGGGAATTCATAATTGAAGGACAGTCTGTCTTCAAGGCACAGCCTGACGTTGTCATAACAAAACATCATCACAGCACACAAGTAAGTACCAACAAAGAAGAAGTTATAAAAGAAGGCACTGACATAACGTAAAAGGAGCGTGTACATACTGCAAAGTATCGTCAAAGTATGTTTCAGTGTCATTTACCTACACAGAATGTATTCCTTCACGTATGTTTCTGTTGTCTAGGGTCTTTTCACTTCAGTTCATTGATCAGTGACACTTTTCAAATCTCTGTAGATTCCAGGTCATCGAGATCTCCCAAATTTTGTCTTCTTCCAACGACTAATTTGCCCTGTGTTTCCCCTTGTTCCGAGCTGGAGCTGGCAGAATCCCCCAAGTCGTGCCCCCGTGTCCCCATTTCCTCGTCGATGAAGTCGTATTGCCGCAGCACCTCCCCAAGAGCGTTGTTGCCGTACCGGATCTGCTGTTTCTCGTCAAAGAAATTGACTGTGATCTCCTGTTCATCGTCTTCCTTCGCCCGACCCTCGTCGAGGACCTGGTTGTTGTCCAGCGAGTCGCCTGACGCAATGCTGGGGAAGAGGAAGGTTGTATCTTTACTGTTTCATCATGACATAAGCATCAGGACCCACTTGCACAAAGCGATCTTAGCGCTACAACTATTGTAAGCCTATGTTTAAGTATGGGAGTTACGATCGTCTTAGCGCTAAGATCGCTATGTGCAAATGGGCCCTGGTCACAATCATTACTGGTACACATAGAACGCAGTGAGTCAGTGTGTTGGGCTTATCGCATCCCTATGTCGCCGGCACCGAACATGCCAAAGTCCTGGATACACAACGGAATGATAACCAGGGCGAATGTGAGATTCGAACCCTGAGGGGGGATCCTGAGGGGCACTAGAGGTGAAATGGGGTTTAGCGTCGCGTTCAGGATTATTACACAAAAAGAGCGACACGCAAGCACGCGTGCGTGCGTGCGTCTTCTTGTTGGTTGGTTGGTTGGCTTGTTGTTTAACGCAGCACCCAGCAATATGTAATGTAAATAATCGAGTCTGGACCAGACAATCCAGTGATTAATTTTGGGATCGATGACATGCATCAACCAAATCCCGTTAGTCGCCTCTTACGGCAAACATGGGTTGCTGAAGACCTATTCTACCCTGGATCTTCATTAGTCCGGACTAATGTAGATTTTATAGCGCTAGCCCACTGAGATACCATGCCGCGGGTTAAAATGAATACCCCCACTCAGACACAGTATATTGACTCCGCTATGGAATATTGCTAAAAGTGGCATAAAAACGTACTCGCCCTCCAAACCCACCCACTCACTCACTTGCCGATCCACTCACTGTTCTTCATGTAGCTTTGCCTGTGGGACAACCACTCACCTTTGTGTTTCCGTCTCCTGATGAAGGGCGATTTCTTTATTGAACAGTGGATTGATACTGGAAGAAAACAACAGATCGCAGGTGTAATCAGTAACGACTTCAGGGCAGATTTTTATGTGTTGTGTAACGCCGCACTCAGCAATATTCGGCTACACGATGGCGGCCTGTAAGTGAACGAATCTGAACCAGACAACCCTGTGATTGATATTATGAACAACGTCCCAAGCCGGTGGTGTACGATGAAACAAACTCTACCAAGTCTTCCATTCTGATCACCCGATCCATGTTTGCGCATCGCACAGTATAGGAGACCTATTCTAGCCCAGAATCTCTCCACCCTCTCGAACTACATATTCTATCACAGGACTTCATTTACATACAGATGCATAGGTGATACAGACAAATTATGTGTGGGACAACAAAACCCGAGAAAAAATCAAACTTTTGAGTAGTTTATGTATTTACCGATAATTACACGAGAATAAGAATAGAAATACCATAGCAAGACACCACAACCCACGTGATGTGTTTGAGGTGATGTGAGGTGAAATGACGCTTAACGTCGCTTCCAAGATTATTGCACTTTTATAGCGACATGCATGCAAGTATGTGTGTGTGGCTGCTTGGCATGTACGGACTAATGCAGATTTCATTGTGCTAGCAGTATATAACAGTATACTGACTCCGAGCCGACCAGTTCTTATTTTAGATCCTTATTGCCGATCGCCAGGCAGGGTAACAACAAGTGCCATCTTTAAACGTATTTTGGTATGACGCGGTCGGGGAGCGAACCGTGGACCTAATGACCTTCGAGCGGACACTCTACCACTAGACCACGGAGGAGGTCGTGATTTGTTGTACTGTGTTGCATGACACTTACTTTACAAAGCCGCTCTCTTCCCCTTCTTCATGAATTGGCCCTGAAACATGAAGTAAAGGGATGATGTAACACAGGTGTTCAATCAGATAAAGCGTAAAAGAATATTCTTCTCTACCCGTGTGTGAACTAGTTACTTATATTGATCTTGAGACGCAGTTGCACTGTACACCCCCGGGCAACAGTTTTGCATGTACTCCTGTCGGTCTCGGTTTGTAACTATACTCTTTTCAACTTAAAATGTTCAACTTTCAACTTAAAATTTCCAAAATTAAAGACATATTCAAGTTAAAGTTATATGACAAAAATGAACGAATTGGGAACACATTAAAACCGGTAGTGAAGTATGACAGTAGCTGTTATAACCGTTATCGATCTTGATGGATAAGGATTAAATGGGAAATTTCAAAGTTAACGTTTTTGGATCAGTAGTGCGTAATACCGCTATGATTTGTCAAACATTCCCTCGTCTGTCCCCCCACTACTCTTGAAATGGCTGGCCAAGTTCAGCCAAAATGGTCGGCGGCCATTGACACTGACGCATATGCGTATCCCTATCATGTCAAGGACGTGTTCAGTGAAGTAAAGGTCTGGACTCATTGCTGGCCATGGCATTCCATGATGGTTGTGCTGCTGTAGGTGAGCATTGACGATTCGTGCACGATGAGCACGGGTTTTGTCGCCCTGAATGACAAAACGTCGACCGCACACGCCTTGCAAACTGGACAACGATGGTTGTCAGTAAGTTGTCCCGATAGTACTGTCCAGTGACCCCTCGTTGCACAATATGGAATGGGGTTTACTCAGTCATATGCCACACCACATTATGATCATAACCGATCCACCGCCAAATCCGTCATGGGGTTAACATTGGATTGACGTTCATGCTTGAGGAAAGGACTGCCTTGCAGGCAGCAGGACAATGATTACGAAATAATGTCTACTGTGTTGTATTTGTTAACCAACTTGGGTCTCGTTCCACAAAGCGATCCTAACGCTAAGATGATCGTAGCTCTCATACTTTAACATAGGCTTACGCTAGTCGTAGTGCTAACATCGCTTTGTGGAAGGAGGGTGCCTTCAACACCAGACACCACAACATCGCTGGCAGATATGTGTGGACCTCGGAGAAGATTAAGTTGAAAAATACTTAGGATGTGCATCAACACCGTCCACATCATAGCTAAGCTCAGAACATTTTAGCCTCCCCTCTTATCTAATTGTTGTGATAAAGAATACTGTGACATTTAATTTATATGCAATTATACATTTACCTTTCACGTCAATCGTCGCTGCCTTAAGTTTTCGCTTATATCTAAAAACAAAACATAATGTGGCACCATCATTTCCTTCTTGTGGCCATTTCAATTAGAAACATTTTAACAAGAAAAACAAAAAGAACTGAGCATTTGATCACAAACATTTAGATTTACATATATTTCCCGCTCGGGAAATACAAGAATTCTGACATTCGTTTCGTAAAATCATTATGACACACACGCTTGTATAATTATCTTTATGTACACTGACCTCTGTATCCTGTTACAGGAGATGTAGATGAGGAGGAGCAAGGTGAAACTCAGGAGACAGACGATGGCGATGAGGATGTACATTCGTTTCTCGCTGTCGTCGCGCTTAGCAACGGTAGCGTCAGCTTCCTGTGTTAGAAAAGCAAGCCCAAACCGTTACATGTATCTGTGTGGAGCCGTTGAATACGGACATGCTATAATTGCAGCTGTGTTCCTTACTTTGCATACGGGCCAGAATGTTTTTGGTCTTCACCATGAACATCTAGAAATGTCCACAACAAAATTTTAAAAGTACACTGACGATGTATATTGTTTCGTGAACAGATGATATAAAGATGATGTAAGAGATGCGGTGTTGCATCAAATACCACACAAACGGATTCTGGACGGCAATGATAGAGCTTTGGCCATTAGCTGTGCATATCCAATTCCTTACACAATTATTAACATATGTTAAAGATCACCATAATATATATATAGTCCTTAAAATGATAACATACAGCACAACCCTTAAATAGGGCAAATTGCAATTGGGTATGTATATCTTACCCCAACTTGTGTGACTTTGTACTTGTTAATGAGTTTGTATCCAAGACCTTGATTTCTGTCAATAATCCTGTAAACAAAAACAAAATGTAGAGGTCACCCAAAATTACCTTATGAGACACCATCAGTATGTCAATATGATAAAAAATCTCTTCCATTTATTCGTCTAATTCATTGTAACCGTCCAACATCAAGCACTGCAAGTGTTCAGCATCAAGCATCGTCACTGTCCATCACTGATCATAATAATTACCAATTACCATTGCTACATTTCTTCCCGATTGTTTCCCCAATATCAATATAAAAAATCTTGAAGTCTATTCTAAATCCGGTATTTCTCCAGCCCCAGGACCCGCTGTACAAACTAACCTTCCATTTTGCTCTGAATGTGGTAGTTCTTCATTTTCAGAATCCACTGAACTCAATAACCTTTCACTCTGCTCTGCATCCGATATTTCTCCAGTCTCAGGATCTCACACACCTTTCAGTCTATTTTGCATAATAATTTCTCAGTCTAATGGGTTCTACGTACCTTCTCGTGCTTTCTGCATCCAGTATTTCACCAGACGCAGGATCCACTGCATGTACAAACATGTCTGAGCTGGAGGGAAAGTGTGAGCATTAGAACTCTTTCATCAATCTTCATGTTGTTGATTGTTTCATCAGATACCTAACCTTCATCATCATAAGTACCGAAAATACTTGAATTGTGGGGAGAAAATAATCAGTTTTTTTTAAAGAACTCTTTCTTCGTGTTGTTGATTGTTTTATCAGATATCAAAACTTCATCATCATACCGAAAATACTTGAATTGTGGGAAAAAATAATCAGTTTTTTTAAGACAGAAACTTTTCCCATGATTACAAAATATCAAATTAACCCCTTATGTTATTGACGTGATAAACCAAACGTCCATGAGAGCTTTAAACTTGATACCAGACATGAGTTTCACACACAACACTCACTGGTAGGGCTGTACATTTCCATCCTGGTCAAGGTGAGACGCAACGTCATCATTGGTGAGAAATGTGTAACCTGTTGCGTTACTCATGTCACTGGTGAAAATAATGAAAGTAATTAATAAACACCAGTTCCTAGTTATGTAGCACATATCAAGCAAAGGTAGACAGCTGGACAAATGTTTGAAATTTAAGTTTTTGTTTTGGTAAGGGTTAAGGTTAGGGTTAGGGTTAGGGTTAGGTATAGGTTTAGGCTCAGGTTTTTAGGTTAGGTAGGGTTAGGGTTAGGGTTAGGGTTAGGGTTAGGGTTAGGGTTAGGTTTGGGCTTAGGCTTAGGTCTTTAGGTTAGGTAGGGTTACGTTTAGGGTTAGGGTTAGGGTTATGTTTGGGCTTAGGCTTAGGTCTTTAGGTTAGGTAGGGTTACGTTTAGGGTTAGGTCTTTTGGTTAGGTAGAGTTAGGGTTAGGTTTAGGGTTAGGTTTTATTTAGGGTTTGGATTAGAGTTAGGGTAGATTTTATTTAGGGTCAAGATCAGTATGTTTAACAGCCGTATCTTTACATACGTTTGTCAATTTGAAACAATCTATTACCTCTATTTCATTAATGTATTACAGTCATTATTCATCCAGATGACAGCACACGATTTTATAAAAAGAGGAGTAACCGATTCTGTCAAGAAGGAATTCTGTTACATCTCGAATATACATCACAATTAAATCCTCCTTTAATGGAAACAGTATCAAGGCTTGATTAATTCTTGAGCCAAATACAAGTATTGCGTCTTAGTAACGATGGTTACATTTCTGATAGACTTCACTTTTTTCTGAGTAATAAACTGTTTCTCTCACCTTAAAACATTGTCCTGTATCTTTAAGACGTCATCGATACTTTGCAGGAATGTGATTTTCAAAACTTGGAAGTCGGCAATGATGAAAATCTGCAGAATAATGTGTATTCATAAGAATAACAGCTTGGCTTCTTGGCACTGCAACGTATGCTGTTCTCATGCGTATGTTAACTGAACTGAGTTCCAGAAGAACCGACAAGCTAATGAAGGCAAAGGAAATTAATCGGGCACATTTGGCATTCGAACCAACACGAATCCAGCAGCCAAGAGAGCTCTAGTACTCAGATATGGTGGACGGATACCATGGCAACCAGTTCCACAACAACAGTTAGAAGTGAGTGAGTCAGTGTTGTTTTTAACACAATAAGTCAGCAATAAGTCAGCCCTGTCATGCTGGCCTGTATAAAATGGTGTTTGAGCCACGTAGATCAGCGGTTGATAAAAAGAGCAACGAACAATGGGTTAGATGACACACATCAGCCAGGTCACACATTGCAAGCACCTGTAACTACCTGATCCGAATTGATACATGTGGGGTACATGTGTGTGAAGTGACAGAATATGGTTTTACGCTGCTCTCAGTAATATTCGAGCATCATCAGTGGACACATGACATTCATGATGAACCTATGTGAAAAATGACGAAGCTATCTCGACGCCTCTAACAGCGTATAAATCTATGCAGTACATTCCGTACTGCGAAATCATCTTCTTCCTCAATACAGGGTAAGACACACTGTTGACAATATATCTGAGGAGAAAAGACAACAGGCATAATGAAATTAAAGCGACAAAACACTTTTCATATCCATATCAAATTTCAGCTAAACGCACAGTCGCTTGTACGATTCCGACTGTATCATGATCATGTTTTTATTAATAACTGCCAAATAGTGATGATACCAAGTGTTCGAAAAAAGGTGAGCGTATCCTGCCTCATCAGTTGGACCAGTCACAAACACATGCAAAGGCAAGTAAATTGTGAACCTTAAAAACACATAAACATATGGTACAAGTCGAAATAGGTAATTACATCATTTTTTCCACATACGGAAATGTCTTCAACATGTCTTAAAAGGTTTCGGAAGCTCTTTGAAAGTTTGATGTTTAAAGCATATTCACCTTCAGGTCTGCCACATCCATCCCCGCGCTGTCGCTGACGGCCACCTTCATGATGAAGAATCCGTACATGACAGCCGAGAAGGACATATTGGTGGCAACCGTGCCGTTTCCTGTCACAGAGATGGGGATGGGGTGTTTCTCAGAGTTATACCCCGTTCGCAGGAGGCTGGTGTCTGCTTCTGTGGAGTTGACCCTGTAGAAGCTATGTTGACTGAATTTAGGGCTGTCACGATCATACACCAGTGTCTGGAATACAAGCATGCATTTATTATCATTAAGGCGTTTCATTTTCAACGGTTGGTTATCGAAACCTTTGGTCGGTTGTGGAAATAACAATGTATATATACATTAGACACTGAATTATTTGTTTTGTTTTCTAAACACACAGGGTATAACACGGAAGCATAATATAATATTCTCTATTTACAATTGGGTATTTTGGTGAAAAGTGACAGTAATGTTGAAGTTGTATTATTATAATAGCGTATACTTTGAAACACACTGCTTGGAAAACCAGTCAAGCAGTGAATAGGATTTCAGCTTACAGCTTAGTATTATCTAAAACTTCTCAAAGTCAGCTGGAAACAAAGTGAGACATTTTTTTCATAAGCGTAAATGGTTGGCGGAACAATATTCCACGTCAACATAAATAAAGGATATTAAATGAGTGTTCATGTCATACTATATTTACGACACGAGTGTCTTAATTCCGGTACTTTCCGAGCCAGAGCGAGGGAAATATCGAAATTTAGGCATGAGTGTCGTAAACATAGTATGCCATGAACTGAATATAATGTTCTATTTATAACCGAAGATGTCTTCATATACATACAGAGACGAAACCTAGTGTTCACCCATGAGGACAGCAAGTCGCAACAGCAGTGCAACCACGATTTGTCGAATGACGTCAACAATTTTAAACTATGCTGCCGTTTCTAGTGTGACGTCATTCCAACATCACGGCACAATACGGGGCTCATGGTTTCTTTGTGAATTAACAAAAAAACTGAAACTTATTGACGTCAACAATGTCGTCCGGAAGACGGAAACAACACACTGTTGTCTTGTGACGTGATATGACCCAAGGACACATATGATTTTCATGAACCCCGATATGTTTGCCCTGGTAGGTAATAAAACAGTCAACGCACCTTCCATCAAGCTTTGTTCATCCTGTATGCCGAACTTCTTAGTTCGGCTAAAGGTTTGTATTGCTGTACTGCTTCTACCATGATATAATCGGCGTTGCCAGTATCAAAACTAGTTACAGGCGACATAACAACACTAGAAAGCACTTATTGTACATGCTCTTTCAACTTACATCAAGATTAAAAATGGTTCTGCCCAAAGTCACAGTATTGCGTATTCCCTTTGACAAGACAGGCTGGCGGTAGACGGGTGGGTTGTCATTCACATCCAGCACTGTAATTGTTACGAGGATGGACGTTTCGTTGGTTGTGAGGCTGGAAGTCGAGTTATCACACAGCTTGTAGTAGTACGCTGGTGAGCAATCTGTGGCTGTGACTTTCACTGTGAACTCAGTCACATTCTCTCTGTCAAACGTTTGGATGACATCTAGGTGCAATGTCCTGTTGTCAGCAGAGATCCTCGTCTTCAGATTGACAGTATAAATCGTGTCTGTAAAAATAAATGATGTTTAATATGTCGACAGTTGCTTGGTTGTTTGTGTTATTCTTTTATTTTTTTGTTTAGTTCCTTTTCACAAACCATGAGGGTCTCTCGAAGTAAACGTTCAGGACCTACACCCCCAACCCCCGCCCCCCACAAACACACACACACACACACATCCTAAGCTTATATAAAGGAGGCGTTAAACACAACTCAATCACGAATAAGATAAACGGAGCGTTGTCTATAAATAGATTGCAAACTTGCAGTGAAAGACCCACATATTTACTTTAGTACACCACAGCCATTACAATATTTAAATTACACCCACGTGTAGCATCCTACATGTACTACTGTATAAACTACCAGGCAAATGCAAGTATACCCCAATGCTTGATGGTGACCAAAATAAAAAAAATAATAAAGTAATGGTTATTCGACGGTGTTGTATTTGATACGGGTATCATAGTTGTGATTTTGGACATTAAGTTTGCAGTGTTTCGGTGACTGTTTTCAGCCTGGTAACGTTTTGATAAGGTTTCTAATTTTTCGGCTGACGATGAAACACACAAGAAATGGTCATTCGATGGTGATGTATTTGATACGGATAACGGGTATCATAGTTGTGTTTCGGCTCTTTAGTTTGCAGTGTTTCGGCGACTGTTTTTAGAGTAGTAACTTTTTGATAACGTTCATATTTTGTCGCTAAAGATGAAACAAACAAGAAATGGTCATTCGATGGTGATGTATTTGATACGGTATCCTAGTGTAGTTTTCAGCCTAAAAAAGGTTTGTATTTTTTTGGCAATTTTTCAATTGTATACTTTCTTCTGTAAGGTAGTATATATGCACGGGTGTGTCTTGCTTCCATTGTTAACCTGATATAGTGTAGCAGATTTGGGAATCCTTGTCCGGGTCTACAGCTCGGATGGGTCCAAGTGAAGTGTTGATGACGTTCTCAGACACAGAGAAATGCTTCTGACTTGTGTCGGACTGATTGAACACCGGTGGGTTATCATTGACGTCCCTCAGATTAATAGTGTACGGACGGGAAATGGTAGACAGACTGGGGAGTCCCAGGTCATACGCCATAACCTTCAACTGAAACACCACATAGGATAAAGATTACACCTTAATTAAAACTCCATCTACTACTACTACTACTACTACTACTACTACTACTACTACTAAATAACTCTAACATCTACATTGACAAATCGTATATTGAAACTGATATAACATTTATCGAAATATTTTGTTACGTACATCGAATTCGAAATTGCTGTAACGTGTGTCGATATTAATTTTAACGCATATCAAAATTAAAGTTATGTTTATCGAAATTAATGTTTCTTTCATTGAAATAAGTGTTACGTATATCGAAATATATATAACGCAAGTGCAAATCGAAACTGGTATTTCATAAATAAAGAATATACATGTCTGATTAGGAAAGAATCAGCTGTCAGAATGTCAAAATCAGCTCGGATGGTTCGAAGGTGAGATTATATATGGATTGGCGTGATACAGCTTAGAAGATGCCGTCACTCCGATCATTTGATTCTGTGCACAACATGCAACTACATCGTATGTTTAATAAGATAATATAGATATAATATCTCTGAAATTAACAGTTGCCGTTAACTTTTACTGAAAAAGGGTAATACATTTTTTTATTCATATTGACATATAATGATGATATAACGATAATATCAACATGATATTCCACTACGCAGGACAAATCTACAAGGAGGCATGTCAAACATTTGATCATACGTATGCTCAAATGATTCACGTCATATTTGTTTGTTTGTTGTTTCACGCGCACACTGGCAACATTTCAGTTTTATGACGGGGCCTGTAAATAATAGAATCTTGACCAGACAAGCCAGTGATAGATATTTTGAGCAACAATCCTAGCCGTCGGTAATCTATGATGACACGCTATCATCAAGGCGTACCATTACCTCGTCTGGCACGCCTGGCTTCCTATTCTTAGCTGGAATGACAACGGGGGTATTCATGTCATAATACTTACTGTAAATTTACTCTGCGTTTCGCTGTTCAGTTCCCCGATAATTATTAATGATCCTGTAACCTTGTCTAGACTGAAGAGCTGTTTGGTGACGACTGGCGTGTCGTTGGTCATATTGAACTCCACCTTACCATTGTTAACCTTATCTTTGTCCGCATCAGTAGCGTAAAACCGGAAGATAGTCGAGTACTTCCGGGAACACTGGAAAGATAGTTGGATAATACGAATTCAATTTCAAAAGAGATTGGCTAAGGAGGGGTAGATAATTCTGACTTGGCAAGCCAGTGACTGAAGCGTCAGCAATGACCCATACCATCAGGGCATGATGAAGCGCTATCAGCGCTTTTGGGGAGTTTTGGGATCCTTTTGTAGCTCTGTTCCTAGAGAAGTGAACCGAAATTCATGTCTGTGACGTTAACCACTTTGGTGAAACGGGTATCGTGCCTACAAACCTAGAAACATTATCGTGGTGAAGCGGGATTCGTACCCACGATCATAGGTTTCTGGTGTGCACAAGGACGAATTGTGCATCAGATGACTGGGCAACTCGTAACCCAACAGATCTTTGACGCTTGCAGCCTTTTTTGATAGGCACTTAGAAGTTGGAGTTCTAAGTAAGGATACATTTATGGATGAACAACTTCTTTATTACAATCAAGAGCGACGTAGGTGCGAGTACTTGATAACGGTGTTAGAACATGCACCGAAACGTCGCTCTTAATTGTAATAAAGAAGTTGTTCGTCCATTAATTTATCCTTACTTACTGCTTACGGCTTTTTTGAAACCCAGGAGCACTGGCATCGTGTTGACAAACCAACAAGCATCTAGGGCGAAACTAGGATTCAAACCAAAGATACTATGATTCAGGAAACGCGAGGAGCAGATCTACATGTAGATCTCTGCACAGCGAATTAGGGCGCTCTAGATTGACTTTCAATGAAACAATATTTTAACATACCTCTGGAATTCGGGGGATATCGGTAACGTTGACAAAGACGGGGCTGTTGAGGTTCTCGTCTAATACAGTAACAGTCACAGTGGCGTTGCCAGTGAGGTTTCCAGTACCCTCGTCGGTGGCCACGACTATCAGACTATAAGTCTCGGCCAGCCCTAACAGGTCTTCCGCTGCTGTGATAGCTCCTGTGCTAGCATTAATGGCGAATAAAGAAGTAGCGTTGACAGTCTCGTCTTGAAGAGAGTACCACACTTTACCGTTGTCGCCAATATCCATGTCAGTTGCATGCACTGTTAGTATAGCGCCACCTTGCTTTGTTTTCTCAGTGATCAGGTTATGGTAGTCGCTGTCGAATTGGGGGCTGTTGTCGTTAACGTCTGTTACATTAATGGTGATGGTTGTCCGTTTTAACCTCGGTGTTTCGAATAGTGGGTTGTCTCGGGCTGTAACAGTTAGGCTGTATGTGCTCACGTATTCGCGGTCCAGTAGTCCTTCTAAGATGATCCCACCCTGTTGGACAGAGATTACAAGACATTTGCATGAGCATATTAAAAATACACCACAAAGAAATATATCTGATTCATTTTAAATCATGTTACTCTGACACATTTAATCCACAAAAACACGGTCATTGCATCCATGTGAGAATGATGTCTTATTTCATACAAGTTTTCGTTATAATTCAAATAATTTTGAGTGAGTGATTTGATGACGTTTTAAACAATAGGCAAGCCTTATCAAGACATGGGGCATGCTCTTTCTTCGAAAATTACAAAGAGCGTCATACGACTCTTGCTCAAACGTTGTTTGATCAGTGTTACAACATTCAGTGCCTCAGTGTAGCTTTCAAATTTTTTCATGGTAGACATGTCGAAGACATTTGACGTATCAGTAACAAAAGATTATGTCCTATGCAATTCCCTATTTTGACTTGTACCACACATGTAACTATACTCCGATGTCTCTTCATGTGAACACTTGACTTGCCTTTGCATGTGTTTGTGACGGATGGTACCGGTGGGGCAAGATGCGTTCGCCTTTTCACAAACACCTGGTATCATCACTATTTGATACTGATACTTAGACATAGGCTCATACTATAGTCGGAATCGTACAACGGGCTCTGCTTTCAGCAGAAATTTCTGAATATGTTTATGGAAATAGTTTTGTAGCTTTAATTTATTCATAAATGCCTTCACTTATCATATCATATCATATCATATCATATCATATCTCATACCATATGCGTGACGAAAATACACAGCCAGGTACAAACTTCAATAAGCTTTTATTGATAACACTAGTATATCTGGAATATTGCTGAGTGCTGCATCAAACAACAAACAAACGATAACACAAGTACAAACGTTTCAATATATTGAAATACCACTTTTGATAGAGGTACTGGGATAGGTTAGCTTGTTCCAACTGCAATTTTTTTTTACTAAGGTCTCTCTCCTTCCTATTTGACACATTAGTTAAAGGTGTTACTGTAAATGTGTTTGCGAATAAAAAAACAATTATTTTTTTAAGCAAATTATAGACTGGAAAGATAATAGTTTCATGGTGAAATATCCATTTGTCGTAGGGATATCACGGGAAACAAATGCTACCACTTTGATCTTGCTTCCATGGAAACACACAAACAAAATAAAAAATAGACAAATATCTAAAGGCAATTGTTGAGCATATGGTAATGGCACAATACACATGTATAGTTTCATGCAAAAATATTCATTAGTTTGAGAGTTATGGCTCGACATTCGACATTCGAAGTAACTAGTTTCATACAGTAATATAAAATACTGAAAAAACGTTAAAGAACACCAGATTCTTTCATATGACTATGATCAATCCGTCATGATAAGACAAATTAAACCTCAAAATGTACAAATCGGGTATTCTTTAACCTCTCTTGTGTGGTATATATGTCCCAGCCAAAGTTGAGTAGTATTTCACTGGTACTCACAGAAATGCTGTCCATGCGGAAAAGTCCCCCTTTGTCATCCGCCAATAGATATGTAACGTTAGCGTTGTGACCAGCGTCCTTATCCGTGGCGGTAACTGTACCCACCACCGTTCCATTGGGGCTGCCCTCAGATATGTTAAAGGTGTAGGTTGACTTTTTGAATTCAGGGTCATTGTCGTTGGTGTCCAGAACCACGATGTTGATGGTGGATGTAGATGTCAGAGGTGGAGAACCGTCGTCGGTGGCCAAGATCGTGAAGTTAACTGTCGACGCGGATTCACGGTCAAGCGCTCCAACCAGTGATATGCGACCTGTAATTATTTTTGTTCATTCAGCATTAAAGATCATATATAGAATGTTCCATTGTGACGAATCTGAAACCACTGCCATCCTACTGAAGCAATATTTCATAATGATTAAGTAATTACACGTGCCTCAAGTTTGCCCATTTTCCAAAGGTCACAGGTCCCTGCTTATTTTACTGATTTCCCTCAGTTGACTCAAGCTTTTGTGGATTTGCCCCAAGCACACCATGTAATATTCGCAACAAAAGTTTTCACTATTATGTAATTACTTCTATATGAGGCTTAGAGCTTATATTCGCTACTCTTCACTGTCCAGGGCGGCTAAAATAGTTCTTCACGGTGACAGAGTGAGTGCTATTTATATATTCTATTAACCCAGAGGACAAACCCGATATGTAATTATGTTCACAAGTAATGTTAGGACTTATTGGTGGAAATGATCCTGCTGCCACAACCTCATTTCCAACGGAACTACCCAAAAGTAGGACTGAATACCCCCGTTCCTTTAACTAAAGACGAGTCGGCAAACGACACGATAGAATCTGAGTGACTGCTCATTTCGGTGACCCATGTTTGCATGGCCCTGACATAGTAGTTAGGTTCTTTTTAATTGCGTATTTTCTGAAATAGATTTTATGTTGTTTGATAGTGAGCTTTTGTTATGCATTTCCAATGGGTTATCGGCAGCTATTGTTTTATGCATCGATGTATAAGATATCGATAGATCAATATTTTCACACTCAAGGTTTTCGTGTGAAAAGGCATGTTAATTTCAGGTATCGAATGAAATTAGATACCTGATTTTGACCAATCAAAACCATGCATTCTTTAGTGTCATGGTTGAATATATAGAAATGGCAATTATCTAATTTACTTTTGGCATCCTAGAAGTTGGTTAGTGAATAATAAAACATACAACTTCGTGGTTAACAGCTTTTGGTTTATTGAATAATAGCAATAAATGAGAAGTCGTTATCCATAAAGTTGTATGGCTAATGTGTTGTCTTATATCTTAGATTTTTTATACCATTATTAGCTGAACATATTATCCCATATTATCAGTTGTGTATTTTGTCCTGTGTATTTTTATGTGAAAACGGTCTTTAGTTTAAGTCTATCTTAACAGTCACTTAATGGGGTCTCATATTCTATGCTGTACGCATTTGTTTTCATTGTGTATTTATCGTACATATGGGTGAGATTAGGCTTATTCTGTATTTCACAATATCTCTCATTGAAGAGTGTAATTTGATTAACTGGCTATTTTTGCATTGTGCTATTCGAATCGGACCCAACGTTTCAGCAGCGAATGAATCCAGGTTATATATCGTTACAGAAAACGACGTTATAAAGCTGGGTAATGGAAGCTAGACTTAGACAGAAATTTAATATGAGTTTATTTACAAACCCTCTTGTGTGATGCTAAAATTGGTGGATTTGGTTGAGAAGGTCACTGTTTGTCTCTGGTCTCTGTCCGTGGCGTCGAGGGTGATGATGACTGTCCCCACCGGTGTCCCCTCCGACACGTTCACTGCGATGTTGCTACCCTGGACTATATGGGGATAGTTGTCGTTTATGTCCTTGATGGTCACAGGAACAGAAGCTAAAGTAAACAAAAAATATATATTTTTTTAACTTATATGGTAACAATATCCATAAAAAAAATACATGTACATTAAATCAAATCAAACCCACGGTTCCAAATACAGCGTACATTACCACATAACTTTTCAATGTGTAGTTTACAGATACACGGCTTTTCCATTGGACGAGAGGTCGTCACATGAACGCGAAATTTGCGATCATAAGTGTAGGAACGACACAATTTGAAGTTCATATGTTTTTCACGAGACAGTATTCTTGAAATGACGTAAACACTGACGGACTACTTACACATTCCTGAGGAAACCCCTGGGAAATCCCTTACACGAATACATTCGGAAGCGTTGTTTCTGATCATTTAGACCCTTTAATCTTGAACTCAGCGTTTTAGTATACATTGAGAAACGCTACAAAAGTTGACCGCATGATCGTTTACGAATATCCTCGCTATGACCCATTCTAGTGAACGAAATGACAAAATGCATATCCGAACTATGGTAGTATCGACTTGATCCGTGTCTTGACTGGCAATGACAGTCTACAGCAATCTATCAATTTACCTTAGAATCTATTTGACACATCTTTATATACCTTTCAATGATCGACCAACCAACTGATCCATGATGACCAACACATGTAACCGCCACAAGGAACAACTTGGGAAATCTCTCGCGTTTTGACGTCTTGTACTTGATGTACATATATTACGATGCGCTGTCATTCTGACTGACGTACTGAGGTACTTCTCAACAGACCTTTCTCAGTGATGATATTCTTTCAATACGTTTGCTGTAAACAAACTCCAAAAACTGTTCCTGTAGAGTAAGATGAACATTCATACTTTCACGTCACCTTTCGGATTGAGGAACTATTTATTTCGCGATACAGCTGGATTTTGTATGGCTGTCAGTGTAAGTCACACGTACGAAATATAATTGTGTATAGATCTACGCCTACATCGATCCTTCGAGGTAAAAAAATATTGACATAAAAAATCATAAGAATTGAGTAGTTGAGAAATTCATAGCGTGACCGCCAAACATTATATGAACGTAATCGCAGGCTCCGACGTTCATACAGTTTGGCCCTCACTATGTGAAGGTTCATACTCAAATGAACTCACACAAAGTGAAAGTCAGTTCTTAAATGAGTTGTCTTGTGTTTGGTGGCCATTTAATTCATGTTCTTCATATTACAATAACGCATTTGAAATTAAACATTAGCAAATAACATTTAGCTTCTATGTTGTGTTTAGGTGATGCTTAGACGATAACACATTTCATGCGTTTAGGCGCTAAAGGTTTTTTAGACCGAAAAATACAAAATGTGTATTCCGTTTAGGCGTTAAACATATTCCTAAACATGTTTAGATTTAAACATCTAGATGTAGATATTTAGATCTGACACATAAACATATGCCCATAGACGGATTCGTACAATCGACTCTGCTTTTAGCAGAGATTTCGTATGAAGGTCGAAAGGGTTTTGTCGCTTTTATATGTATGTGTTTACATTCTAAAGTTTAACATATTTTATACAATGTAGGACTCGATATGTTTCCTGCATATGCGTTGTTGTATCGTGTTTGAAGCGTACATTCTTAAAGGTTATATCCTAATGTTGTGACTTACCAGTAGCAGTTTGTGTGTCGATGTGTTCCTCTGCATTAAGGTCTTTGACTTGGACCATGATAGTGATGGACTCGGCGGTCTCCCTGTCTATCACAGAGGGCAGCGAGCACAAATCGCCTGTCGTTGCATTCACGGTGAACCAGTCCTGTTACATGTGATTTGTTTTCAATGAATGACCAAGCAAAATGATTGCAAATATTGAATAGTTAGTTTTGCTACCTTCATCAATCTGCAATGCCATGATTGACGTAAATTTAAATCGACACATTATTTGCAGGGAAAACTAATGCACAAGTTGGCACTAACATACTATTATATACAAAGGATACGATGGGTAATCATATGTTTGCTCCAGATGTGGAAAGATACAGTCCATTAATTTTGACATTTTCAAATTCTCAGAGAATGGAACTTCAAGCGTATTAGTCTCACATCTGAAGGAAAGTATCCTCTGCGTACATGATGAAGTGAGTATGGATGTCGATGTAAGTGTCATCTACATTGAAGATTTTGTAATATTTTAGAATGTGGCACTATTACTCTTCCATATCGGAGAGGAAATAATGCATTACAAATTTACTCTTGTGCCAAATAAAGTAATTGTTTGTTTGTAACTGAAGTAAGCAGGATATATCATGCCCTGTAAGTAATCGAGTCTGGTCCAGAGACTCCGGTTGCTGATGTTTGCCCCACGTCGTCCGATATCATAACATGCCATCAACGAATTCACCGAGCATGAAGACCAATCTATTAAGTCGCCTCTTACAACATGCACAGGTTGCTGGAATCTCCACGGGATGGGAATGTTCTCAGATGCATTTGACTTCAGTATTGCCTATGACCTTAAATTGCAGCCAATAACATACCTTACACTTATAATTGTATGCTGTTTAATATGAAGTGTCTGAAAAAGTGGTTAACAACGTTTTAAGCCAAGGAATAGAGTATTGGGCTACTATTCTTTCCCTGATCCCCACGGCGTGGTATTGAAAGACTGAAAATATGATTAATATTACCTTGACTAGTGAAATGTTGACGGTGCTTCCTCTTTCGTCATACGCATGGCTTCTATCCCACAAGATAGTATAATTGAGTAAATTGTCCTCATCTTGATCATAGGCATTGAACCTATAGGAACATTTCCCTGTACCATTTTCAGTAAAACTGGCTGTGTTGCTGGTCAAGTTAAAGAAAGGTGGTTCGTCATTCACGTCCGTTATTGTGACTGACACAGTGGTATTAGAAGATAAAGGGGGAGTTCCTTGGTCAATGGTGACAACAACGAGACTGTAGCTTTGTTCTCGCTCCCGGTCAAGCGCAGCTCCTGTTTGGACGGTGATGGCGCCTGTCCTTCCGTTCACTCTGAAGTTGTCCGAGCCACCAGAGTCTATGACAAACATCACCTGATTGTTGGGGTTCTCCCCGTCATTATCCGTCGCGGATACATCCACCACAGATGTACCTGGAACAAGACAGAGGCTTGTTACCACGCCTGCTCCTTTTATTAGGTAGGTTTCTTTGGATAGGCAAATGTTACACTCAGCAAATGTATCTTTTCTATGAAGGTTACATTCTCATAAATCTGTGATCAAGATTATTTGATAACTGGTGAATGAGAAATCTTGATATGTTAAACATTTCGCATGAATATCCAATAGGTGAGGTGAGGTGAAATTGGGTTTAACGTCGCTTCCAAGATTATTGGACTTATACATTGTATATCGACGTGCATGCACGCGTGTGTGTGGCTGCCTGTACTAGTCCGGACTGATGCCGATTTGTAGTGCTAGCTCACTGAGATACCATGCCGCGGTTTAACATGAATACCCCACTCAGACAGTTTACTGACTCCGAGCCCACCAGTCCTTGTTTTAGCCCCTTAATGCCGAGCGCCAGACAGTATGGCGCGGCTGAGGATCGAACCCCGGACCTTCCGCTCTCCACGCGGACGCTCTACCTCCAGACCACGGAGGCGGTTGAATATCAAATAATTGACAACATACCTTCTGTGGCGTTTTCAGGAATTGAAGCTGTGTATGGTTCGTTCGTAAACTGCGGTGTGTTGTCATTTATGTCCTGTTAAGTGAAAAAGGCATTCATTAAACATGACATGAAAACACCCGAAGAAAAACATGGCATTCCTTCAGAGGTGTGGTAGGTAATGTTTTCTTTTGGTCAAAGGTACGTTGATGCTTGGAGGATGAACATTTATACATTCAGGAAGATGACAGACACGACGACAGATATGTCACCTGCATGTCAGTGCATATCAGTCTCACCTACCTACCTGTAAGTACATGTCAGTCTCACCTACACGCACGTGCTTGTCAGTCTCACCTATCTGTACGTGCATGTCAGTCTCATCTACCTGTACGTGCATGTCAGTCTCACCTACCTGTACGTGCATGTCAGTCGCAACTGTACGTGCATGTTAGTCTCACCTACTTGTAAATGCATGTCAGTCTCACCTACATGTAAGTGCATGTCAGTCTCACCTATCTGTACGTGCTTGTCAGTCTCACCTACCTGTACGTGCATGTCAGTCTCATCTACCTGTACGTGCATGTCAGTCTCACCTTCCTGTAAGTTCATGTCAGTCTCACCTACCTGTACGTGCATGTCAGTCGCACCTACCTGTAAGTGCATGTCAGTCTCACCTACTTGTAAATGCATGTCAGTCTCACCTACATGTAAGTGCATGTCAGTCTCACCTATCTGTACGTGCATATCAGTCTCACCTACCTGTAAGTGCATGTCAGTCTCACCTACATGTTGGTGCATGTCAGTCTCACCTATCTGTACGTGCATGTCAGTCTCACCTACCTGTAAGTGCATGTCAGTCTCACCTACATGTTGGTGCATGTCAGTCTCACCTATCTGTACGTGCATGTCAGTCTCACCTACCTGTAAGTGCATGTCAGTCTTACCTACCTGTAAGTGCATGTCAGTCTCCACTACCTGTAACTGCATGTCAGTCTCACCTACATGTACGTGCATGTCAGTCTCACCTACATGTTGGTGCATGTCAGTCTCACCTATCTGTACGTGCATGTCAGTCTCACCTACCTGTACGTGCATGTCAGTCGCACCTACCTGTACGTGCATGTCAGTCTCACCTACCTGTACGTGCATGTCAGTCTCAACTCCCTGTACGGGCATGTCAGTCTCACCTACATGTAAGTGCATGTCAGTTCCACCTATCTGTACGTGCATGTCAGTCTCACCTACCTGTAAGTGCATGTCAGTCTCACCTACCTGTAACTGCATGTCAGTCTCACCTACATGTACGTGCATGTCAGTCTCACCTACTTGTAACTGCATGTAAGTCTCACCTACATGTAAGTGAATGTCAGGCTCAACTACTTGTACGTGCATGTCAGTCTCACCTACCTGTACGTGCATGTCAGTCTCACCTACCTGTACGTGCATGTCAGTCTCCTTTACATGTATGTGTATAGCACTCTCCCCTGCCTGTAGGTGCATCAGCCTCACCTTCCTGTATGTGTAAATCAGTCTCCCCTACCTGTACGTATATATCCGTCTCCCCTATAATTATGTGTATATCAGTCTCCCCTACCTGGATGTGTATATCTGTCGCCCTTGCATGCACGTGTGAGATTCTACATCTGTCTCCGTACCTGAACTTGTATGGTGACAGTCACATTAGACGACAGTGCTGGAGATCCGCCGTCTGTAGCTACCACCAGAAGTTTGATTCCCGACCTTGATTCGCTGGAAAGAGCCTCAAAGTCGATCGCGCCCTCAGGTGTCAATACTCCTGTACTGTTGATTGAGAACTTGGCATTTAGGTAAGTCGAGGGCGACTGTATGGAGTAAGACACAGCAGTGTTGTTGGTACCTTTGAGGTCATTATCCGTGGTCTGTAACAAAACATAACGTACCAAACTCCATGTCTTTCATATTAGAAAACATAAGAATCCAGGCGTAAAAGTATTCAACCTCGCTTCCCTGGCGATAAATGTTGGGGACGCGTATATATGGAGCCATTGATCCATATCCAAATGACCGCCTCCAGAAACCGATAAACGATGATGCCTGTTGTTACCCTGCCTGGCACTCGGCACATAGCGCTCGAAAACAGAGATAGGAAATTTTGATACTCAACTTTTTTTTAATATTTTATTTAAATTCAAACTAAATGTTCTTATCATTATAATTATGTGTACAGTGAAAACACATAAGCCAGACCCTCGTTGGTCCGGGGCCTTAGCTCCCAGGAAAATTATACAAATTTAGTTATACAAAGAGCATACAAAAGGACATTATTCAAAACGCACGATTTGTTAATCTGGAAATGTGGTGACACTGATGAATTCACTGGGACCTGTACTGTCCAGATAAACGGGAATTTAGTCAACATAAGGGTAGTATGCAAAATACTGGTTCCCCGACAAATGTTCAGAACTATATTGATTTTGATAAAGCAAGACACGTTCCTACAAATTCGACTACTGTTTCCTGATATCGTGTACACTGACAACTTGATTACCTTGATAAGTAAAGGTCGATCGAAATGTAATTCTCCTTCCCTGAGGTTTGCGCTGTATTCCACTTTATTGAATACAGGGGGGTTGTCGTTGAAATCAGTAACATTAACGGTAACATCAACTGATGACCTCAGACCTCCCTTGTCCACGACCTCCACAGTAAGGCTGTAAGTAGCTTGTGTCTCTCGGTCAAGCTCATTGGCTTGGGCTACCGACAGTATGCCCGTGGTGTGGTTAACGGCAAAGCTGCAGATCACGAAAATATCCACATGTTGTTACGCATTAATATATTTGTGTGGTTATGTATATATGCTACTCAAAAGACGTTATATTAGGACGACCCAATTCTTTCATATTAATTATAGTTAATCTGCCATGGCCCTTTTTTATATTGTATGACTCAAAGTTTGCTGAGACCAATTTTAATGATATCAAAACATCCCCTCAACAAATCAAGATTGAAATATCCCGGAACACTGATTGGGTCAACACGACGTCAGATGCAAACGTCTTTTAATGTCAGCCAAAGTATGACCAGCAGGGCATGGACTCGACACCAGACGTTTGGATCAGCTATCCAGCGACATGCAGGTGCTCGACAGCGTTCCACCACACAGCGGGAAGACAGGAGGTTCTTGATTGCAGCAAGTCGTCAGAACTTCATGACTGCCACTACACAAATGAAATGCGGTACGCCAGTGGCGTTAACGTTTCAATACATACAGTGCGTAATCGTCTCCATGAAGTCAGACAGGCAGGTTTGGATTAGGCTGAATATCACGTCGCTTGAACAGACCAGGACTTGGCTCCAGTACTTCTTAGTGATGAATCGAGAAACATAGGATTCCAACATAGCCGAACATGACCGCTGTGGAAGTGGCTGAATCATGTTTTGGGATGGGATCAGTAGAGCTGGAAGCACCAATGTCCTACAACTGGGCACGCAGACAGGTGTGGGCTAGAGAGATGACATTCTAGATGTAAACGTGAGGCTGTATAGTGGCGCAATCGGACCGGACCACATCCTCATGGACGATGACGCACGACCTCATCGTGCCAGGGTCGTTGATGCCTTCTTAGAGCAGGAGACAACTGCCCGCATGGAGTGATCAGTCTGGAAACCGGACCTCCACCCTATCGAACCCGTGTGCAACTAGCTGCAGATCGCCCTCTCACGACGCATGGCCCTGTCCTTCAGGAACTCGGCAATGCTCCTACTGAAGAGTGGTGCAATCTTCCATTGGCAACCATCCACACACTTCTTGGGAGACGGGGATCACATACGCACTAGTAGTGTTTTGGGACAATCAATTTGTTTTCATAATGTTTTGACGTTTCAGTTTTGGCCAGATACTCTCATTTATTGGTCCAATGTTCTTTGTTGGCATTGTGTTCGCACATGACAACGGTCTTTTGTTCATTAAACACGCCTTCATGCAATATTCTCTTTGCCTATTTCAACACATGCACACAATTTGACGTATTCCCTTTGAAAGTGGTGATCCTTAGCAAACTTTGAGTAGTATATTACATGCAACTGCACAAGTTAACACGTGACTATTGACGTTATGGTAACAGTTAACACGCTTTGAGGGGAACGAGAGCACCAGAATCACATCATACACGCTGACCAGAAGCACAACTTACACTGCATGTGTCCCCAATAAGCGGTATTCGTCCACATTAAATTTCGGTGAGTCGTTGTCATGAGCCTGAAGGAGACAAACGTGTATATATAAACAATGGGGGGCATGGATATGCTTTGGTGAAGTTATCTTCACTGAACATTATTATTTTTGCTTCATGATGATATTGTTTCTTGGTTTGTCAGCACCACACCTGTGCCCGTGGGTTTTACCGAAGTGGTAAACGTCTGAGACCTGCATCACTTCGGGCTTTCCTCCCACATTAAGCTGACACGCCGCGATATAACTGGAATACTGTTAAAAGCGGCGTTAAACCCAACTATAACAGCACCCAACTATATATATGCTACTTTGATATTATACATCTTCGGGAAACATAATTTAATACGTTTTTGGAAACACTTTTTAATGTTTGAAATGTACTTTGTTTGATTGGGTTTTTTTTGCTTGCGCAAGGTCATATGAGACATTTATTTCACTGCATGAAAATAACAACGGTCGCTTACCGCTACTTGCAAAATTGAATGACCAGCACTGGCGTTCTCGCAGACACTGCCGGCGTAGCTACTGTTGTCAAACACAGGAGCGTTATCGTTGGCATCGGTGATGGTCAAGACGATTGTCACGGTTGAATTCCTTGGGTTGGGAACTTTGGTTTCGTTGGCCATCAGCTGTAACACACCATGCCGATGTGGGTTATAGTGTGAGTGAGTCGGAATTTACGTCTTTGTTGTTATCGTTGGCCATCAGAAATGGACTCCCAATCTTGTGAATCGGACCCAGGCTTGCGGCATGACCAGGGAAAACTTTAACGAAAACACTTCCCTTCGCCCTGGTCATACTATGAACAAAACAGCAGTGTGTATGAACAAATGGTTTGTGATTCATTCCTCGCGGGCGACACGATGATTTAGTTTCATTCTGTAAAAATCGCCCTATTAATCCTTAGCAATAATCCAGTAACCTCAAGATAGATACATGCAGACACTTATACACGAGTGCAACACTGCAACGTAAAATGGGCTCCACATATTGTAGCCATGTGAGTTGAACCGGTGTCATCGGCATCGCGAGTAAACGCTGCAAACAACCAGCTGCGTACTCCTTCACCAAAGTCCTTTGTAGCCAACTTTCCAGCATTAATTTAGATTTGGATAATACACGATTCTGATTGGTAAGTCAGAGGTTTCAAAATAAAATAGCAAGTTCATTTGACCTTATCACCGCGGAAGCGCATATTATTGTTACATCATTGGCTACAGGGGCACGGGTGACCCAGTCGTCTGACGCAATTTGCTGTGCAGAGTCGCGGGCCTTGGGCACGCCAGAAACCTATGCTCGTGGTTTCGCATCCCGGTTCGCCCCGATTGTGTTTCTCTACAGTTTGTCAGTGCTTTGAAATGAAAAGAATTATCTGCCCTTGATTAGAGGCTGGTAAATAACATTGAGGTTGCAAGTTAAAACAACCGCATGTTAGTGGTCTGTGGATCATTGCAGTTCGCACAGGTATAGACGACAGGTCCCAAACAGTAAGCACCCAGTTCTGCCACGGTGACACCATTCAAGTCTGAACTAGGCAAACAGTGGCCGCTAGCATAGAAACCACCCACGCCGTCGGGAAACGATGGTACGCCTTCACAATCAGTCAAGTCACAGAAACTAACCTCTTGATCCATATATACATGGTTACGATTACTCTGAAGTAAAACATATTCTGTTCCCGTAACCCCACGAGGATATACTTTTATGAATAATTTTGGATTCAGACAGAACTAGGTGAGGATTGAGGTTACTGATTTAGTTAATGCTGTGCCTCAGGCGGAATTTAACACTTACAGTAAGGGTCATGTTCTTAATGGTTTCATAATCAAGCTGTGTTGAGTTTTTCACTCTGATGAGTACAGTAGCAGTGGACATTGCAACGCTGGGCACGACATCAAACACATCACTGTAGGTCTTCAGACTCAGGGAAAAGACGCTGTTAAGGTCCTTCATAAAATAATAAATAATAATTTGAACAGTAATGAATGAGGTTATGTCCGGCATGTATGTTACAATTTAAGTATCGTTGGATAAATACAAATAATAAATATGTAAAAATATCGGGCACAACAAAACGTTACTATAGAACATAATGACTCACAGGTATCGAAAAGAGATTCAAGGCTGACTTTAACACTGATAGTTCAATCACTTTAGTGAAGAGGGTAACACACTGTTAATATGCTTCTTAACTTCCTAATAACTTCCTAACCTTGTCTTTGTCCTCCACGGTGATGCTTGAAGGGGACTGGAGAGTGATGGGAATGCCGTGTTGGGAGTTCTCCTCTATAAATGCTGTGTACGTTTGGTCGTTAAATGATGGGTCGTTGTCGTCAACGTCAATCACCGACAACGTCAGTGTAGCTGTCGATCAATTATTGAATATACAGTTATGTGATCGATGTATCTATGTGAGTGAGTGAGTTTTAGCGCAGCTGTATTCCAGTATTGTATTCCAGTTATATCATGACGTGTCAGCTAAATGTGGGAGGAAAGGCCGATGTGAGACAGCCTAGGTGTACCACTTACGTAAAACCCACTAACATGGGTTTGGTGCCGACAAACCTAGAAACATAACCAGGACGAACCGGGATTCGAACCAATCATAGGTTTCCGGAGTGCCCAAGAGACGCATCTCAGCACAGCGAATTGTGGCTCCTTAGACGAATATAAGTGACAATCAAATTTTGTACAAGTGGTCTCTTAACGATGGCACGAAATGCTGATCATGACTTCGAATCTCATATTCACCCTAATCATAAAACAGTCCATTGGCACCATACCTGCACGAATCCTTCCACAATACATTGACACGCAGTGATACCTCTGATATATCATAAACCGCATTAAAGAGCAACTCTATCTGCCACATTTATTTCTTGATTTATGTACCCTACCACCCACCTCTAACAAACACAAGCCCACCTACCCGTTGCTGTCTGGGGTGTCCTTCGTTTACCGTTGGTGTCAATCACATGAAGCTTCAGCGTGATAAGTTCAATCTCCTCTCGGTCAAGGTCACTCTTTAGAACTATACCGCCGGTGGAATTATTAACTTTCAGTATTTCCTGTCAATAGGAACATAACATACGATTAATCATTACCAGATCGACAAAAAAATCCAATACAGTTTTTTTCAAAAAGATTAATATATGGACATGATAATTCACCTGTAATCTTGACCTATTAACAGGATTTAGATCTTCATCTGAGGCAGAGCTGTCGTTCCAGAAGATGGTGTAAACTAAGTTGGCGTCTTGATCATGATCTATCGCCGACATGGTGTACAGAATACTGCCAACGTTGTTTGTCTCCGGTACAGACTCGGACACTGTGGGTTGGCGGAACTTGGGAACATCATCATTGACGTCTGTAACGTTAATGATGACGGTGGCACTGCTACTGCGTGGAGGTGTGCCTCTGTCCATCGCCATGACCGTCAGGTTGTATTCAGCTTTGAACTCTCGATCCAAGGTAGCTGCCGTCGAGATGTTCCCAGAGGATCCATCAATCTGGAACTTGTAAGAACCTTCTCCCAAAAGTATGTAAAAGACGTCGCTGTTCTGGGCTGTGCCGTCACTGTCGGTGGCTTTCACTTGCAAGATGTGCTCACCTGGTGGACATTTATAGACAAATTATTATTCTTACTTATGACGGTACATATATGATATGTAAACACGGTTCATGAATCTCTGAACAAAGATAATATTTTTCAAAGTCAATGTGTTACAGCCCTTAAACTCACAAGTTAGCACCCATGTCTATTATATTCATACATCTAGAGAATACCAACGGGTAATTGTTTCCCCATTTGGACGGGGTACAAGGATATATGAATAACTGAAACGTCTTGTCTGGCTGCTGTATTTCATTTGGGTTTATGGTTCAATTAAATGTAAAGAATGATGTGAGCTCATAGCAATACTTAGTAAAAACAAAAAGCAAATACGAAAACAAACGAAAGATTCTCACCCGGGTTTCCAGCTTCCATCACATCACCGCTGAACTCAGTTTCATTAAACACAGGTGCGTTGTCATTTTCATCCTGTGATGTGCGAAAATATGTGTATCCTTATTATCAATATTATTATCACATGAATTAGAATAATATACTATACATGTCTATAAATAAAGGCAAACGCACTTGCAAACATGTTGTTACATCTATTTTTATTAAAGAGCTGTAATCTGGAGTTCCCTGGTATCTGCTTGATCTAAAAATAAACTACATAAGCTTTCTAATGATTTTTCACGAACGAAAATAAAACTTCTATTTCAATTTCTGACACGCAATCTTTCGTTAAACTTTTTATTTTCATTCCCCGTTGAAGGTGAAATACCATGACAAACACTTTCGTATATACATGTAGTAAATATCTTCATAGTTATTAATATTTGATAAGAAATATGTGTCAAAATGAATTATTTATAATATGTGAAAAGGTTTAGTTCCATGCTGATGTTCATGTCGCACCTAGCGAATAATGCTACCCACCTGTACGTTTATGCGGAGTGTAGCAGTAGAGGACAGAGTAGGAACGCCGCCATCAGTGGCAATAACAGTAAGAACAATGGTCCCGGAGAGGCTTGGTGGAAGCTTTTCATAGTCCAGTGGTCCCCTAGGGGAGATAACTCCACTCGATCCGTTTATCGAAAGATTACCCGCAAGTGCGTTGGACGAGTCAAGGCTGAAGGTTATCTGGCTATTAGGACTAGAACTTTCGTCAGCATCAGTCGCCTAAAATACAATAGTGTCCATGTTTTAACCCAGCATAGACACCGACGTGTTGAAGATGCACAGATAAACATTAGTGATAAGTGGATGGCTCGCATGCTTTGGACAATCCCAATATAGATGACAGGTACTGTGCAATTTGCTTATTCACAAACGTCCTATTGTTCTCCAATTGGGTTGAATATTATAGGTATACGGATTTCTTGTAATAGCCCATGGATTTTATATATCAAGTTCAGGTGATATTGTAAAATGTATATTGCCCTAGCTAGGGATTTTGCATTTGGATACAATGACCATGTGGAAATGAGCGGAACGGTGTAAAATCAAAGGAGACAGATGTTTTCTTCATATTTCAGTCGATCGAACTTCGTTTCAGAGGGGCTTATAAATCACAAAAATAAAGATTTTTTTTTCCAAGTATATCAAGTATATGTACGCCCGCAAGAGATAGTTTACACCCGTTTCCTAATGTTCATGGTAAGTATGTTTGAAACATAAAATTGTTCATACATGTAGTTTCAGATTTGTAAGACATTTGGACGCGTTTTATCCCACGCGCAATGTACACACCATGTGCTTGAAAAGGGAGGACTTCTTCCGTGCACATTGTCTCAGGTTGTTGGCATTACTCACAACGCTCTTGCTTAAATGTTGTTTGAGCCCGGTTATATTCTCCAAGGCCTCCGTAAAGCTTTCATTCTTTTTATGGTAGGCATTTGGATGAACTTTCTAAATTTGACGCATCAGCGACTACCATGCTGTCTGATGCAATTCCCTATTTTGTCACGTACCATATGTTCATTTTTTTTCAAGTGAATACTTGACATGTCTCTGAATGTATTTGTGACGGATTCCACCGACAGTGATTCATAAACACATGCTTATGATATAGTCGGAATCGTACAAAGGAATCTGATTTCAGCAGATGATGAAAAAGGATAGATTACATTCTAACCAAATCCATACATACATTTGGCCCGTGTCACTCATTAACACCAGTTTCGCCATATTTTATGTGGGTACAAGTACTCACCGATACTCTGACTTCGGAAGAAAAATTATTTTGATTTTCCTTGATGTTTCCGATGTATTCGCTTATTCTGAATTTTGGGCTCTTGTCGTTGACATCCGACAAGGTGACAGTGAGGGGAACTGTTTGTTTCCGACCGCCTTTGTCTTCAGCCGTCACGGTCATGATATACTGGCTCTTCAACTCTCTGTCCAGAATGGCAACAACCGTCACTTCACCAGTGGTATTGGCGATCAAAAACCTGGAAGACAGTGTTTACATGCATACGATCGGTCAAAATGCAACTAAAAACTATTAAAGATGGGTATCCCTATCCTTCACGGTGTGCAACGATTTAAGATGACAATGAATTAAGGAGATTAATATGTACATCATGTGTTTTAACATTTGCGGGTTTTATTGAGTTTTTGATACCCAGAAAGTTTATTTGGAACCTGCTAAATCGAAGTTGTTCTCATTAAAATATTGATCAAACATGATTTTGCATTGGTGTGGTATCCATATGTATTTTTCAAAGCCGCAAAATATAAATTTTGGTTGAGAAATATATTAAATACATCAAGAAAAATATAAGTAGGGAATGAAAAGTCTTAAAGATTCACGGGATCCTATAATTTCATTTAACAACGTATTCATTCATTCACAATGTCAATGATTCATATACGTCCATAAATATATAATCTTAACATATTTTGATTCAGTGACAGCTGCATATTGCGCAGTCTTACAATTTGTGACCATAATGCAATGGCATTTAAATTCAAATGCGATCTATAAATGTTTCAAAACCATGTCTATTGAAAGAATGGTATTCTATGGGTCCGTAAGAATTTAATCCTTCATATGCCAGTATGTTCGTGTTTGAAAAAGATGACATTTGATATTTTCATACAGTTGACCTGATAATAATTATTGTTGTTGTGATTGCATTTTAATATCAACCAATGGGTCAGTAAGTCAAGGCGCCATAATTCGCGGTGCAGAGTTACGTCCCTTAACTATACCAGGATTCGACGATCCAGGATTAAACCTGAAACTGGTAAACGTCTGCTGTCAGGGTCATTTTGTGTGTTTCTACTTTATTAAACTAACATGGCAGGAAATACACAGAGTTAAAACATGTCACACCGAACTCACAAGACAAGTCTAAATATAACTAATTATATGATACCTACAAGTTCTAATGTATGGCTCTAACAGTCCACTTATTCTTTCTCCATATTGTATTGACCATAAACAAACCCCAACCATAAACAATTACTTATCCAAACTATACACAGTTTAAATATACAGTTTAAATACTTCATTTATACGTCAAGATTTAAAACCAAAAGCCAAAGTTGAAAAACTCAAATTAATATTATTGTCCAAGGACAGAATCATTCGAGTGAAATTTAAGGGAGTCATTTAATCCAAGCACATAATCAATTATAAACAGTAAATGACGTAAACTATTGACATGATAATTAAAAAACCCCACCATAGCAATAGACAATAGAAGCATAGAATAGACTATGAATGTGTTTTACTTACTTGTTCTCACTCCCACTTAGTGTGTATGTTCCCATTGAGTATTGATCTGAATCCGGATCCGTGGCCTGCAAGAGGTTTGTTGTTAACTTAAATATAACGATGTCAAACTCATTTAAAGACATGCTACAGCCAAACCTCGTTATTATTAGGTTAAATTGGGAGGACGCCAAAAAACATAAAAAAGTGTGTATATTTTTTCGATTTTGCGAGATTTCGATGTATATATTCATCTAAAATTCAAATAATTGGTTATTAAAACGTTATTTAACTCAACCATTTTTCTAACGAGTTGTTTCAAAACGTGTCTTACGAGCAAAAGCAAGTAGATAAGTTCTGAAACGAGTTGCAACATACATTTTATCTGACAGACACGAGTGCAGTGTTTCTTACACACTACAAAATCGTACTATTTTGTCATCAAATCGATGCATTTTCTCGACATTGCTTTGGCGTATTAATACATAACACAACGGTCACGAGGGACGCCATCAGGTTACTACTTTCTACTTATACAGCGTGACCCTCAATACAAAAATGTTTCAGCCATATCTGTGGATTGTCAAGGCAATGATACTAATACAAGCGACATAAGATGAAAGAACATTTAATAACACTTTAAAACCATAAAGTTGTGACAGAGACGCAGGTACATTCGACTGAAGCATGATAAACGTATCATTGAACAACACTCAGGAAAGTATTACGTCAGAATATGACCTTTAGTCATCACCATGGTGGTCACGGACCAGGAATTGATACATGTTTGTTTAATACCAGATATCTCGTGTTGTTCGATTCCCGGCCGCGTCACGGTAAACTACATTAAAAGATGGTACTTGTTGTTACCCTGCCTGTCGCTCGGCATAAAGGAGCTAAAACAAGGACTGGTCGGATCGAAATTAGTATACCGTGTTTGACCGGGGTATTCATGTTAAATTGCGGTTTGGTATCTCTGTGGGCTAGCACTATTCAAAACTATTACAAACAAACAGCTACACACACACACACACACACACACACACACACACACACACACACACACACACACCTATCTCACCTATCTCAAATGGGTTTCACACTTACAGGTGTGTAAGAAAGATTGTTATTGCTGCTTCAGAAAACATCTGTTGTTCACCCTCACTATACGTCCTGCTTATGTTAACACTTACGGTTATATTGACAATACTGGTTGAACTGCTTTCATTCTCTGGTATAGTGACGCTGTAGGAAGTGTTCAGAAATGTTGGGCTGTTGTCGTTGGCGTCGAGAACATTAACATTGACCGTGGCTGTAGAACTTCGTTGAGAAAGTGTCTTTGTTTCTTTTGCAATCAGCTGCCAAAAGAAAAACAAGAGATTTAATATCGTCTTAAAAAACAGTGGGAACGATCAACTACATGTTGAGGAAAATATGGCTGAATAAATGAGAAGTGTCACTCTAACCCGTAGTGGTGATACGTACTCGGATCAAGTTACATCGACTCAAACGGAATATCAAGATAATGGAGACCCAACAAACAACGGTTAATGGTCTTTCTACACTGCTTGTATGCCAAATTTACCTTTCAGGCGTGTTTATATGTTTCTGCGACTCCATATGTTTCTATTTTTTAACACGTTTTGGTAAACTTAAAGACTCATATTATTCCTTGTTAAATGTAATAAATATAAAAACACACATATAAACACATATAAAACACATCTGCTGAAGATGTTTTACTTGTGAACGCCAATAAATAATATCCTCTTGCTACCTAAATACACAAGATCAAATACTATTGCTTATAACACGTGGTTGACCCCGAATATGTTTCTAAGTTTTCAGGACCATACCTCCCACACCATGAAGTAACGCCGTGATGTAACTGGAATACTGTTCAAAGCGGCGTTTAAAACCCTGCTCACTCACATATAACCTGTGATGATCAGGGCTAGAATTGATCTCCAGCAACCCATGCTTGTCGTAAGAGGCGACTAACGGGATCATGTGGTCAGGCTCCCTGACTTGGCTGATACAAGCCATCGCATCCCAATTGCTCATGATTACAATTACTGGATTGCCTGGTCCAGACTCGAATATTTACATACCGCCGCCACACATATGTTATATTTCTGAATTCGACGTTAAACAACAGAGAAACGTGAAAATATTGATGATATGGCTTATTATTAACAACCCCGTCGGTATTCTGGGTAAGAAGTGGTCCACAGCAAGAGTCGTAAGAGTCGATTAATGGATTGGGGGTCAGACTTGGTTGCTTGCGTGTCATTGTATTCCAACGGTGTGGATCGTACCTGATCATATCAGTCACTTATGTGTCTTGTCCAGACTCGATTACTTACCGACCGCCGTCATATAGATGGAAGTGCAACGTTTATCATAAACGAGCCACCCATGTTATCAACAACTCAACTTATTATATTTGCATGTGTATGGTTATTTTCTTAAGCTAATATTCTTATAATTGCAAGCAATCTAATACATATAAACGCTGCTGACAATCCCGCTAGATCGGACGATGTTTAAGTTGCAGAATAAAATCACAACCACTGAAACCTCACTGTAGCACTTTGTGTACTACTGAAGCATTTCACAAATACTGAAAATCAAGATGCAAGTATTAAGTTTAATCTTGAGGATAATATATTGAGTTTTAAAGATTCAGATTTAAACGGCCGTTATAGGCTGTCATGGCTTACGCATGCCCGATATCGACTATTTTAAGACAACACACCTTAATTCTGAAGCTATGGTGTTTTTCGTAGTCCAACCATGTTGAGTTGAGTACTCGGAGGATGACGGATGAGGAGGATCTGACTCTGTTTGGGACGGGGGTAAATACACCAGCCATTGCCCCGGCGATTGTCAGTTCAAACTCACTATTTGTCTCCTGAAAAAGAACATGTGTGCACATCGTATCATTGCTACATCAGCCATTGCCCCGACGATTGTCAGTTCAAACTCACTATTTGTCTCCTGAAAGAGAACATGTGTGCACACCGCATCATTGCATCGTGTGGACATTCTTCCTTTTGTGTTAAACTATATTGTGTAACATATTGTGTTTGGAGGGGACAAAAGCTGACCATGATGTGCAAGGCGGCACCATTCGTTGTTTTGATATGAGTCCCTTAGACGTGTCCCTTAAACGTATGATCCCAGGTTTGAATCCTACATGCGAACTGATTATGTTTCTTGGTTTCTAGATCACTAGACACGTACTAACACCTGCATCATTTCGGGTTTTCCTTGAACACCAAACTGACCCGCTGTCACATATTTGAGCTATTTGTCGCAGCGACGTTAACGCACTCAAAACAGGAAAGAATCACTCACTTCAAAGTAACGTGTATTTCAGATAAATTTAATGGATGTGGTTAGCAAATATTACCAATGAGGGCGCAGATATAGGTGAATATATTTCAGTAGTTCTCACTGAATATTTTAACAATTGTTTTTCATTTGAGTCGTCTTTGTGGGATCTTATCTTAGTAGAAAAGTCTTATAGTCTTATTAAGCGTTTTTGCCGCTTTTATTATCATTGCGAAGAAATCCATTAACGTGACGTCATAAGAACGCACAGCCGCAAATAATTGAAGATGATGACGTCATCTATAGTTCATGTCGATTGATGTGACGTCGTTCAAACAATAGAGTGAAAAAAGTAATATGATAATTTAAATAACATACTCGCACTTCGGAATACTGGATTTTCTGTCCCTTGTAAATTAATGTTGTATTATGCGTGCCAAGGCTCGGAAGAATTCATTCGTAATTTCTCGTTGCTCTTAGGTTATTCTCTAATAATATTTTCATGGCATTTCACTTCTTGAAACTATTCTTGTAACCAAGTACGTGCGATTGGTAGTAAAATCGTAAATATCTCACATAGTGTTGCCAACATCCATACAAGATTAATACCACGAGTGTATTGGTAATTTCTCTATGGATTGGGATTGATTTGATTGGAAAGAATGAGGTACTGCAGACACTTGGTGAAAAGATGGGACAAACACATGCACGTGAGAGCCTGGCGCTGAAACACACCAACATGACATGCACGTGCAACATCACTTGTTGGGGTATAGTAACCTTGGCTCATTTGCATGTCATCACAATCTTACAGCAAGTTAACAGCGAAAACATGCCACGACTTACGAAACCCCAGCGCTACAACGCCATCGGTCGACTGCAAACAGGAGAATCGTCTTCAGGTTAGCCAGGATTTACCACATAGCACGTGTACCAAGCACCATTACAAGACCGTGGAACCGTTATCAGACACACGGGACAACACATGACCTTTCCAGATCCGGTCGACCACGTATCACGGCTGGACCACAGGACAGATTCATACGGCTACGGCACTTGCGTGAAAGAACCACCACGACCACCTCTGCAGCTACGGCAATACCAGGATTGCGTAGGATATCAGCCCGGAGATTAAGAAACCATTTACGCGTTTACTGGTACAGCGCCCTGCAAGCAGAGTGGGTTAACATTCCCCAGGCCACAATTCGGGATCTGATTGCTTCCATGGGACGACGAAAATCTACTGTTCCATATGTGCCATATGGAACCTAGGTCAATGACTAAGATGTGTGCCAATAGTGAACAACCGATTGCCATCTGTTTATTATTTGTATGACATATAATATATATATAAAATCACTTTTACCTTTCTTATTTGGCAGAGTATATTAAATTTTAGTATATTACGAATCATACACACAAACTGACGTAATGCTCACATAATCGGCATCGGACACATTCATGTCAGTGGGCGTCGTGAAGGTTATTGGAGTGCCGTCTGGCATATTTTCCTGTATCTCGGCTGAGTAACTTGAGACGGAGAACACTGGAGAATTGTCGTCGACGTCCATCACTGTTATTGACAGAGTCCCTGAACAAAACACAAGGATCAAATTGTTCACTTCATTTGTTCAAAACCTGTAGGTAAAATTGGGAAAAAAGCAAGATAAACCTTCATTTCACAAATTATAAATTTGCGATTTCTAGACGTTCTAAAGTTATAACTGCGTTGACGGGCCGTAAACTATTTTGTTTCAGTATTTTCACCTACCCTCTTTTTGTAAACTTTATCTCATGATCAGGCATTCGCCATTGTAAGTCGTTACCTGTAGCAGTCTGTCCTGTAGTGTTGGCATTGGTGTCCGTTACAACGATGACCAGAGTGATTGCTACCAGTCGCTCTCTGTCCAAGATTCCAACAGTATTCACTTCTCCACTTGCCGAATTGATGCCAACAACACTCTAAAAGACAACAAACCAAATAATAGGCATGTGCAGTAAAGGTTGAAGTTGAATAGTATCTGGAAAATTATAATGTAGAAAAAGGGTTTTGAACCATCTTCCCGAGGCAAGAATGGAATTTCGTGGCTTGATAGAAGCGGCACCAGTGGCTATTATAAATTATGTCCTTTCTATGTCACAACACCAATTAGATTCCTCTTGTCATATTACTTTCATTGGCTTAAAAGAATGGAGGCGCATAGTTAAATCAAGCGATAATCAAGATCTATATTGTAATAAAACGGGTCTTACTAAGTGCTACAAGCTACTAGGGCACCTTGATTTAAGACATGAACAGATTTGGGAAATATCCGTCCACGCCGAGTTGACGGTACAAGTGTTTTGGAAATTCTGCAATGGACCGAAATCTGCCCGGCAGTTTACCAACCGGATGTCGATTTCGTTATGCGATTTTAAATAGGTTATGCCTGGACTAGTTAGTCCAGTCAAAATATAACGAAATTCCAGCGTAGCTCGGCAGGGGTCGAAAATTGACTTTCGTAGTCAGTTAACTCCCTTGCCTCGGAAAGACGGTTCTGAGCAGTCATTAACAACAGTACAAGAACTATCCCACACATATTTTGATTGAACTCGACTCTATGTTGGTTACCCCAATTCTCTCATGCAGCTGTAACGATACAATGCATCGTGATGGGGTAGGCCAGTGGTTAAGGGTTTTGACCTGTCACTGGGAGACCCCGGGTTGTTCCAAATATCAATTCCCATCATAATGTGACCTCAGGTCATCACCATGGAGTAACCAATCACGGACCTGGCATTATACCTCAGATATATGTCTGGTACCAATCTCAAATGGGTTTATCACCCATATGTGTGTAAGAAAATCGGACCAGCGCAGATTATGTATCACAAGCGACATACTAATACGAAATCTCCGCTAAAAACTATGTATGGCCGTAAATCTCTACAATGTCCTGAAATGAGTAGGTGTGGTTTAAGTTTGGTGAGCAATGTTTTAACCATATGACGATGACCTGTATACACTAGAAATCGAATCGACTCCAAACAGTGATTGAGTAATGGTTATCCAGTGGGTGTATGATGACACATTATCAGTCTGGTCATAGACAAGATGACTTCATTTTAGTCTGCACTTGGTGTGGTGGGTTTGCTGGGACCTATTCTGCCCAGGAGTTGCATTTATTCACACATACACTGAAACCACGTTATTTTGAAGTCCGAATATTTACATGGAGTTATCCAAGACAGAAGGACCATTGTGGACCAAATTAGATAAGAATTCAAACAGGACAATAATGTTAAAAATGAAATGTCTTTATGGTGTTACAAGGCTGTTGCCATTTGTCTTTGCAATTCAAAACGTTTGGGCGTGTGCCGTAATGAGATTTGTATGTAAAATGGGTTTTGTTAAAAGGAAATCACGTGGATTTATCACTGGGTATCTGAGATAATGTTCATAAGATCCATGTACCAGGTAAACAAGGCAACCAATTTTACATTACTATCGAATACATTATATACTGCGCATGATCTTAAACAAGTAAACACATTTATTTCGCTTTACTTTGCTTACTTGGCATGTTCAATTGTAATGGGAGCTTATGACGTCGTCAATAACAGTAAGACGTCACTACATCATGTTTATCTCAAAGCTATTTTAGTACGCTCGGTTTCCGGGTATGGACTACTTTAAGAACACCCGGTCACCTGAAAACCCAAAATGTTTATCTCCTAATTGAACACACCTGTAGATAGGATTCACTGACTACCCTCTGTTGATCATCTCGACCACTACTCTCATACCAGCTGATGATGTATGATAAACTAGAATCCGTGTCTTGGTCTGTGGCATTGAACGTATAAAAGGTCTCTTTCGATGAAGTCTCATTCACGTCGGTAAACTGTACATCCGGGGAAAACACTGGATTCTGGTCATTGACGTCAAGGATGATGATGGTTACACTGACAAAGGAAGAGAGAACCGGGGACCCCCTGTCCATGGCCTTCACACGAAGAGTATATTTCGAGGTTGTCTCTCTGTCCAAGTCACCAGCAACGGTTATCTCCCCTGATGAGCCATTGATCTTAAATGCGTCCGACGCTCCACTTTCTATGAGGTAGAAGACCTGATTGTTGGGAGCACTTCCGTCAGCATCAGTTGCTTGAACCGTAACAACTGGGGTATCTGGGGTATGAAAGAATAGATTCCTTCTGTCAGAAGACGTATATCATGCAATCATTCGTTGCTGTAAGAGATGAAATTTTAGTACAGCCAGTGACAAAGACCATGACAACACATACACGTGAGACGTGACATAGACCAAGCAAAAACAAAAGTTGAGAATGTTGTTCGATGCTACTAAGAGAAACTATGGTATGTTAATGGAATCATTCTGCCTTTATGGCCCTTTTAACATATATTAGTTTGGGGTATTTTCAACCATCTGAAGTTATTATGTAATTCATCTGTAAGTTAACCGTCAAAGGTTTCAGGTGTTAAATGAAAATTGTTTTTAGCTGTCATAAACCGTTTCCTAACAACATCCTTTGCCGTTTGTCTGTTAGTAGCATCGGTTGCAGAGTAAAACGGAGGGTTTGGTGATACAGCATAAGCAGGAATTGAGGATCCAGGATATTGTTCAAGGGGTTCCATGCCTTGGGATCGCATCGGTTTACACATATCAGGTCACCGATGAACACATGGTCCCCAACACAAGTGTGTTCATAAGCAGAGACGCCCTGGAAATTGGATCCGTGACTGGTAGGTAAATGTTGAAGTGGAGTTTATATACTGTAGAAGGGCAGAGCAGAGGGGAAGGAACAAATTTCAGTTACGAATACATCCTGTCGATGTATCAATACTTGCCTGAATTACACCAAACTGGAATGATATATATATATATAGTTTTTACATATAGCTCGATACCGACTGTCCACTGGGACAGCCTATCTGCAATCTTACCAAGACCGCTAGCTTCTGATATAGAGGAGCTGTAAGACGAATTCTTGAACGTTGGGCTGTTATCATTAATGTCCTGAAATAAAACACAGATGGAATGATACTATTTGGCTTATTGATATGAATACATCCTTGCCAATATATAATTCGAAAATATCATTTGGCACCACTATTTTGTCTTTTACGCCTAATGGAATCTGTTTTGTCAGAAAATCGAATACTCGATTACACTCTGGCCTTGACGTTTTATATTTAAGGTAAAGCTATGTTTTCGTGACCTACTTCAACAGTGATTGTGACAGTGACGTTTGATGACCTCGGCTTCGTTCCTCCATCAGTAGCGACGACCACCAGGACAATTGTACCATTACCTAAGGTGTCATAGTCAACGGGTTTGACAGGTTCAATCAAACCTGACGAACTATTGACACTAAAACTGGAGATAAGATTGGGATATGCTGAGTCGATCCTGTAGGCAATTCGGCTGTTTTGTGTGTTGGGTTCATCAGCATCAGTTGCCTAGGAAGAAGACTACAATGTCAGTTATTTCAATAGTGAGTGAGTTCTGTTTAATGCTGCCGTCAGCAATTATATTACTACTGCATCATCCCGGTTGATCCTTGCCCACATAGCAGGATCAGCCAAGAGACACCTGATCCTCATCAGTAACCTCTTAAGGCAAAGGATTCTAGCGACCTTCTACCCTGGAATCTAAATAGGGAACACTTTCGTGCTGCATATTTATGTGAATAAGGATATGGTTTGCTGTGGACATAAACGTAGCAAAAACGTTAGTTTGTGAATTGGGATTTAAGAAATGCTACTCCTATAACCTTGTGATGTTAAGTTTGACAGTTACAATAACATACGATTTAGTCAATTCTTTAGCAAACGTGAGGCGGGGTACTACTATTTTGTGTTTCAATTATGATTTATTCTAATTTTTTATTCATTCCAATTCGCAAAACATTTTTCAGTTTTGATAAAGGGGAGAACAATTATAAATTTGCTTCAAGGCTATATCGGGACAGCGCATCGGGGACGAAAACATGACTAAAATATTGTCTCAGCAAATGATGATCCACAGTTAGAGTGTCAGTATAATGCCATTTGGATAGGTATTGCAGTTACAATGTGGGAGAACAGAACCAAGTGACGGAGTGTTAAACGGTTTATCACTGATAGAACCTAAGATCAAGGTATGGTGCTGACTGATCGATCTGGACCAAGGATCATTATTGGGGTGAATTTGAGATTTGGAGCAGCGGATCGTATATGTTGACATATTTAAGATAGTCATCGAATCAAACTAAAAGACCTGAAGTAGCACGTGCCTTACAAACGTCCCTATCTGTACACGTTATCAATATATTTTGATCTTGCAAAACACAAAAATGAATTGAGTAAATATTTAGTATCTACACTAAAAAGTAAGCCGTTTGTGACACGGCAACGTTTACATTAGGAACCGGCCTGTACAAATATTGGTGGGATTTTCAAGGATAGACTAGAAAGGATTTACTGTGCGTAATAGTTCCAAACATTCTCAAACGTTGGGTTATAAATTCTTACCTGTACTTGTAGTGGTGTTATAAACGCAGTGGTGTTCTCTACCAGAACTGCTGAGTAATCGTTTCTTTGAAAAGTAGGAGTTTCATCATTCACGTCCGTGATGTTGACCGTCAGGGCGACCGACTGTGTACGCCCTCCGAGATCCGTGGCCAGCACAGTGATTGAGTATTCAGACTTTGTTTCTCGGTCTAGAGCACCTGTTACATACACCTCGCCACTTGTAGCGTTGATTGCAAACCTGTCAAAAGCATTACCATTGAAGAATACTTTTCCATGTCCCATGTAAACTTTAATATTATAATTATGTGTGCATTACACATTTTGACACACTTTTCATACAGGAAAGTACATACTATAAAATATATATGTACGTGTGTAGCTCAGATGCAAATGATTCCCAACAGTTATTGAGTAATTGAACGGTGTATCATTTTACTCATATGCATCTATGACATTAAATTATTGAGCATGGCAAACCATTGGTTAAAAGTAGGAACAGCGACCCCCCAAAAACCTCGTCTCCTGAGGTGTAGGGGCACATTTAACACTGTAATCCCAAAGACGTAATTGCCAATATCAAGTGATGTTTTAAGCTTGTTTTGTCATGTGAAAGAGTCACAAGAACTTACTTTTCTTCACTTCTCTGGAAGGAATAAGTCCCCATCCCAAATTTACTTGAATCAGCATCAGTCGCCTGCCAATGAGAAGTTGTGTTATACACCTGGTGAACAGTTATACTCATACCATTTGATACACGTGCGATATTATCCACATCATAAGTAGCCGTTCTTAAAGGGCACCAAGGCATACACAGGCCGTTCAGAAAAAGTGTATTTTGTTTGAAATCAATATTTTCAAAAGACTTGATTCTGACGAGGTAATACCGAAAGACTTTGAAATATATGTTTATAATAAGTTACTATGATGGTTCACACTATTTGATAACTGTGTGTTGATTTGAAATGAAGGATGTGATTTTGCAGAAAATGAAACGTGAATGTTTGACTATCAATTTCGTACAATCACGTTCTACATAATAGTTCATTCTGTCTGAAAGGTCAGTGGATCCAATCGCCGACTATCTGCGTAGTTGAGCTATGTGAGGAGTTGTAAGCACTACTCACATTTATGAGGATCACACTGGTTTCAATTCGGCTGTTTTCAGCGACGCTGGCTGTGTATGATGTTGAGCCAAACTTGGGATCGTGGTCGTTGACGTCATTGATGACAAGAGTGACACGTGCACTGCTACTGCGGTGCTCCGATGTCTGGGTCTCCCGGGCAATGATCTACGTAGTGTGAGTGAGTTGGATTTAACGCCCCTTTACAGTATTTCAATTTAAAAACGTGTAAGCTTAATGCAGCAGGTAAACAACATGATGGTATCGGGTAATTATCACTTGTGAGATATAAGGGTACATGATCTAGTCGAAACCCACATTAAAAACGAATTCAGGTTCAACTTGGTACTCAAATCTGCATAGCGAGTTCCGGTGCTTTAAACCACTGGTCCACCCGTATCCCTATCAATAAATAATAAATTATTCTCGTTTCCTTCGGTTTCTTTGAGAGGTAATTCCATACAGGCGTGATCATGTCGCCGTATGTTGATTTTGGAATTGCTTAAAACGGATGTGATAATCTATCTCTACATTACCAAACAGTATTTTCCGTATGACGCTGTTTAATGAGTGAGTGACTGAGTATTGTTTTACGCCGCTTTTAGCAATATTCCAGCAATATCACGGCGGGGGACACCAGAAATGGGCTTCACACATTGTACCCATGTCAGGAATCGAACCCGGGTCTTCGGCGTGACGAGCGAACGCTTTAACCACTAGGCTACCCGACCGCCCCCGCTGTTTAATGGGCATAATATACAAGGTTATAGGTATAATAGTGACGATACGGTATCCCAGCGCTAAAAGCGTTTGCTCGTCCCGCCGAAGGCCTTGGTTAGTTTCCCCACATAGGTACACAGTATAAAGCCCACTTCTTGTATTCCCAGCTCTGATCATGCTAGAATTGCTAAGAACTGCGCTAAGAAGAACTCAATCACGAACTGATAGGATGAACAATCGTACTATACTTACAGTAAATGATATACTGCTAGTTTTCTCGAAGTCCAGTATGGTGTTATTCGTGACCCTAACGAGTACTGAGGCTGATGACCTGACCAGCACAGGGACCAGCTCAAAGTTGTCAGTGTATCGAGATAAGCTCAGGTTGAAGACACTGTTTATGTCCTGAAAAGACAAACAGCCTTAATGTAACCTCAGTTCATGACCTCTATATCAACGGTATATATAACGGAGACATAATATCCTATGTCTATAGTGTGTTTGTGGGAAATGCATTATAACGTCAAAATCATAATGTTGGTTGTCGCCTATAACTACGTTTTACGTCTCCCTCTATTGTCACAGACATTGTGACAACACAAATACTGCCGTTGTGCGTCGCTTATAGTTTTTATTACATCTGAAAAGCCGTTGAACGGCAAAAGATGTATGCGCAAAGGAGTTTTGACAACCTCAAATATTTAAACTCTATTTTTGTTGTCGTATATCTGAGACTTATACACCTGCAGAAATCACTTGTTTATAATACATATTATCGTTACAGTGAATTATAATAAACAAATATTTCAATGAACACCCTATCAATAAATAATTCATGGATAATATCTAACCATTTTTTCATTTTGAATACTATATGTTAATGATATTTGCTCGAGTTTCAACCACAGGTATGTAACCGTAAGAATTTCAATTTATTAGGCATTTGCTGGTTGTATGAACGCAACCTAATTGAGTGGAGGTGAATCACCTTGTCCAGGTCACTGACTCCAAGAGCCAATGACTGACTGAAACTGATGGGCGTCCCAGGCTGGGCGTTCTCGTCGATGCTTGCATGTACGGTACTGTTGTCGAACTCCGGGTCGTTGTCATTCTCATCGAGGACGATGAATGTGATGGTTGCTTATGTATAACAATGAAAGATGATAAAGAAATCAAGAGTAAGAGTTATTTCAGTAAGTGATGGTTCAGTGTGGATATCTTATATACATATGGAGATCTGATCACTATTGGTGGTCATTAAGCAAACGATGTCTGGTAGTCATTCGAAACACTCCGCAAATCTCGATTAATGATTAATCCTTAATGGTTGTCACTGATGCCTCAGTCCCCAAAGGCAGCGCAATTTGCTGTCTAGAATTGCCTCCCCTTTTAGTGCAAGAACCTGCTAACTGTGGGTTTTAAACAAGATTCTTAGTAATGATCTTTGGTTTGTCAGCACCATATATGGATGTTATAACTGAGAAACGCCCATCACCTGTGCAGCATTTAAGGTGTAGGTCGCCATTGAACTTAATTATAGTTCAAAGCGATGTTAAACCTAAGATACTCAAGAGTTTACCTGTGGCTGTTTGTGGAGAGGGGTCTTGTGCATTTTCGTCTTCCACATGTATGGCGAGTCTGATGGTTTCTACCTGCTCTCTGTCCAGGGTTTGCTTCAGGAGGATTTCCCCAGTGCGGGAATCAACGCGGAGAAGACCCTTCAGGAAGACAGACACAAGTTCAAAGACGCATAAACACATCTGTCTTTTACATGAGATGATTATTCATTTGAGGAAATAAAGGCAATAGCCCACCACCACCCATTCAAGTTACATCGTTTTACGCTTCCTATGTTTCATACCCCATACCTATTTTATTTTAAATATATACCACGATTGTGTTTCCATAAAGACTATCAAGTATGATAGTAATGGTGTCTTAGTTCTTTTTTACGACCTTTATCCACGCATAAACAGTGAAACATCTTTAAGCCGGTAAAATAGTCCTGATTAACAGGTATCCCGATAAACAGGCCCTTTAAGGCATATTTGCATCCAGGGCAAGATGTTATTTTCAAAAGAGAACTATCTTTATAATTTGTATAGGCTTTTACTGATGAAGATATAAAAAAAATCTTCTTTATAAGATTAAAGAACCCTGGATACGGAGTAATGTCCCTTTGTATATACATACACACATGTTATCAACAGCTGAAGGGTTTCACTGTTCACAAAATGTAAAGCATTCAACTTGCCTGCAGGAAAGACGTGCCAAGCGAGGTTTGTTTGTCGTCAAATGCTTCACTTCCGCTCCAGACGACGGTGTAGTTCAGTAAAGCATCCTCGTCGTCATCCTTAGCAGATACTTTATACAATACTTGAGAGGCATTTTGGTTCTCCTCAACGCTGCGAGTGACTGATGTTTGTGCAAACACAGGTGTTTCATCATTGATGTTGATGATGTGTACTGTCACGGATGTCGTTCCTGAACGCGGTGGGTTACCTCTGTCTATGGCAACCACTGCCAGGCTGTATTGGGCCTCTGCCTCTCTGTCTAGACTCCCGCTGGTGACTATGTCGCCCGTCGTACTGTTGATGGTAAATTTATCTGAACTCCCGCTCTGGATCAGGTAGAATATTTCATTGTTCGGGGCGCTTCCGTCGCCATCCTGTGCTAAAACCTTGCCCACTTCAGAACCTGGTGAAAAGACAAGTTTGGATCGATAAAATATCAATGTTAAAAATAATGTGGAAACAGGGCGATGATGAAAAATCGCACATTTCCGAAAGATGCATTCTTAAAACATGTAACAGTGATATAATACTTTTATGCAACTTCAAAGTAATGTGGCGGTTGAGTGGCCCAGTGGCTAATCGTTCTCTCATCACTCGGTCTACCCGTGTTCGAGTCCCCACATGGCTACAATCATCTTCCCGAGGCAAGACCGCCCACTAGCCTTTTTAACCAAAGTCTTTTTTTCCACCCTTGCAACATAAAGCCCACTTTCGCACTTATCGATGGCCCAATCAGAAAACGTTTCACAAAATAACCATTCACGACTGGTACACTTTTGTCTGAAGGTGATTTACCGCTGCCTGTCTTTGTTGACACGTCTTTTTCATCTTAAACTCGTGATTTACACGAGGTGGCGCCAGGGTCGAGCCAAGAAAAGTGGCCTTGGTGTGGCAAAGGTATGAAACTAGGCTTTGATATAGGCTTGAGGACATGCTTGCCTCGGGAAGATGGGGTACAATGTGGGAAGCCCATTTCTGGTGTCCCCCGCTATGATATTGCGGGAATAAAATCACACTCACCCACTCACACAAAGTAAATGAAGATGAGTGTTAAGTCTTAAAACGTATACAGACAACTCGTGGGTATAATGACGACAATGACTTACTTATGTTTGAGTTTTCCGTGATATTGTACGTGTACGAGAAGCTGTCAAATACAGGGGTATTGTCATTCAAATCCTGGAACATGAAATATATATATAATAATATATATGTTAAAATGTTTGCCCTTAAAGCGGCATTAACACTTCGCATTGACTTGAACGTGAAGAATAAGGCAGATATGCTATGGAATATTTACATGAGATATTTCTCAGGGAAGGTGTTCTATGTAGTGGCGAGGCAAGGGTCGTCTACAAAGGCAAAATCTATATAATGATAGTGAAAGCGATTTCTCTTAGGATATGTTCTATTGAATGGCGATGCAAAAAGTTTCATCAGGTGCTTGTTCTATTTGATGGTGATGTGATGCAAGAGTGTTTTACTTGCATGTTTACAGGTTCTATGTTCATACAAGTCCAATTTGAACCCCCGGAAGTTTGAGATCATATGGCATTTGTTTGCACATTTACTATGTTCTGGCGATATCAAGATGCCCCCGGAAACAATTGTAAAATTTAAGATTGGCAACATGTACATATAAAACCGCTCTACTTTCAATAATAGAGAGGATTGGGGTCAATAGAATTCATTTACACAATGGTAGTCATTTGTCCGCATCTATGTAGGCAACATAATAAAGTATTTGTTTGTTTGTTGTTCAACGCCGCACTATTCCAGCTATATGGTGAATAATTATTTGAATAATTGAGCCTTGACCAGACAGCCCAGTGATTGATATCATGCGCAACGAGGTTGCTGTGAGCATCTTTCACCCGGAATCCCCATGGAGTACTTACACACGCTCATATATATGTGAGCTATGTCTTTAGGTGTTTTGCTTACCTGAACTTGAATAGATAGTGTCACATTAGATGACAGCGGAGGGTTTCCTTTATCCGTGGCAATCACCACGAGTTGGATTAGGCCACCGATCGAGCTGTTCAGGCGTTCGTAGTCTAACTCAGCTGTTGGAGTTATGTCCCCGGAAGTTGGGTCGATAGTAAAATTAGCACTATACGTTGAAGGGTTTAATGAGAATTGTATTTGACTGTTCATACCTTCATCAAGGTCCGTAGCCTGAATGAGAAAGAACTTTTGTTGAAACATATGCATTGTGGGTCATTTGTTAACTTTGTTTCTTGATCACATTTCTCAGGGAAAGAAAATATATAACTGCCAACACTCGCAACACTTCATACCATTATAAATAAAAAGACAAATAAACAGTATTCTTTAAATTTCAAATGTGTTAACAGATTCAAAAGCAATAGCCTCGATGGTCGAATAATAATTTTAATTCCATTAAAACTATAATTGACAAAGCAAAGGTTTCATTGTGATCTTATGTACGTACAAACAGAATAATGCTGCTTGTGAATACTACTTGCCTGTCTATATGGATTAATAACTGTTTTTATCTGACTCAGCAAAAATATACAAATCCCGATACGTTTCATTTTAGTTATGAGTTAACTGAAATTAGTCAGGACGATCAAGTTCGTCTGTCGAGATAGAGGGATTTAAGTTGAATTTTAAAGGATGATATTATACTACTCTGGTCGAACAACTACTCATCCGCACCTGAACTTTTACAGTCTTGTCAAACGCTGCATTGTTTTCTTTCAGCACAGCGTCATAGCCGTCCCTGATAAACAGTGGAGCGTTGTCGTTGTAATCGGTGACGTTGACCGTCAACTGCACGGTGGAACGACGTCCGCCTTTGTCGGTGGCGACCACGGTAAGGAAATACTGAGACTGACGCTCCCGGTCAAGTGTTCCATTGGCCACAGTCACCTCGCCCGTCGCATTGTTTATGTCGAAACTAAAGTAGAGAATGTAGAAAACACAAGTGCATAGTGGTGACACGTGGTCCAATATTCAATGCAGAGGTCGCAAATCGTGTTTCGTTCCTTTCCAAAACATCAAAGCATGTAAGATTTCGTTACTTAATATTTGTATCCGTTTAACCAGTACGGTGTACTGCATAATGCAGCTTGGGTTGTATACTCCCCAGGGAACTAAGGTACATTTGTGTGTTGTTTTACATGATAGAGTCTGGACCACACAATCTATTGTAAGCTGTGATCAAAACTCACTGATGATGTTTTTCGTTGAGAAAATAGACATTTCTTGTTTGATTGTTTTCTTTGTTGTTGTTTAACGCCGCACTCAGCAATATTCCAGCTATATGACGGCGGTCCGTAAATAATCGAGTCTGGACCAGACAATCCAGTGATTGATATCATGAGCATCGAGACATTTCTTGAAAAGCACACTTTGCAATTTGTGTGATTACTTAAAGTACTATTCATAATGGGCGGAATGACTTGTTTTCACCTTATAAGCATTAGCACACATGCAGTTATCTTCGTTAACTTAATTTTTGCAATGTTTCGTGATTCTATTTCAAGTGGCGAGGACTACAAATACATTCACATAAATATTCTCGTGATATTAGAATAAACTGGAGGTAAAGAGCGCGTCATTCAACCAGTAGCAGTTTAGAAAGTGCAGCGGTTAAACAGCTTGATATTTGATACTAGCACATGCCTTTGATCATGAATTGAACTACACTGTAGGGGCCGGGTTAAAATATGCATCAAGAATATTATTACACATGTATATTACTTTTGCTTTTCGTAAGAGGTGACACAAATGGGCCATGTGGTCATGTTTCTGACGTTAATTATACTATCAACCACTGGTTTGTCTGACAAGAAATGGTGTATTTAAAAGATGCCGTGTTAATATCAGTAAATTAGTGACTGACGATAAACAACAAACAACAAGCTAATGTCTAATTACAATGACAGTCTGTAAAACGTGGATGACGCCACAGTAGACTCATACCGATGCATCCATATACTGTGATGGTAATACTGACAATCTTAACATAAATCAACTGGTGCACACATTTGCGGGTATTACGGATATTTCAGAGTTGTATATGCATTTTGTGATATATGCAACAATACTAAGTCTTACAGATTTTGTCCTCCTTGTAGAGTGTACGCTCCCATACCAAATTCGGCAGAGTCCTCGTCCGTCGCCTATATCAAATAATATGAATATGAGAAAGAATAAGAATGACAATGAGAATGAGAATACATGTATGGATAAATAAATATATGAGTTAATAAATATATAAATAAATGAAACAATATATAAATGAATGAATGAATGAAAATATGAATTAATGAATGAAAAATGAATAAATGAATCAATCAATCAGTCAAGTAATAAATGAATGAATATATGAAAGAAATAATGTATGACTGTATGAATACACGAATGAATGAACATATGAACGAATGAATACATAAAAAAATATCTGAATTGATGAATGTGTAAATGAATAAATATATCAATGTGTCACTTGGGATTTAACGCAGCTTTGAACAGTATTCCAGTTATATCACGGCGTGTGAGCATAATATAGTAGGATAGCCCAAAGTGATACAGGCGTGCGAATTGTGGCGCCTTCGACGACTTGTCACCCGTGCCCCAATATATGAATGAATGAATGAATGAATGAACGAACGGACGCATGAATATCAACATGAATGAATTTGTGAATGAATGAATATATGAATGAATGAATGAATGAATGACAAAGTCCTTTCCAAAGGCAGATTCCATTGTATAAATTCCAACTATAGCATAAGCTTGTTGAAAACAAGTACCTGTGGCCCCCGGCCCATATGCAAGTCAAGTGTTCACCCTAGCAATCACGGGAACATATTGTAATGTCAGTTTTATCAGTGATATGTCAAGGTTAGAAATGTCCTCCACATTTCCATCATATTTTTATTAAGGCCTTAGCTTTACTAAGGCCTTGAATATTGTAAACATGGTTGAACAACTTTTAAGCAAAAGGCTTGTGATGCTCTTTGAGATCTTCGTTGAAAGAGCATGCTTGATGTTTCGTTAAAAGTTGTGAACTCAAAGACTGGAGCTGTTGGACCGTAGTTCGATATAAAGGGAAAGTTGACCGATGGAAAGTTGTGGTCATCCTTCTTGTCATACAAGATGCTGATTCAACAAGAAATGGCACTGAAATACTGTGGTGCTCAGGGATTACAGAATTTGTGGACTCAAGGTACATGTACGTACACCTTGTTCACGTTTTCATGTCAACTGTTTTGTATAAACCATATCACGGCCCTGTATACGTCCTTGTTTTAACTGCGCTGTAATACATACTGTATTCCAAGTGATGACTGTACATTTACAAGGTGAGCTAATAACGCACAGTTACCTAATGATTGAGCATATTCCATGTTCATTCACTCCAACTTACTGTGACGTTAACAACTCTCGTCCCCATGATTTTATCTTCACGAATCTCGGCCGTGTATTCTGTTTTTACGAACTTGGGATCGTTGTCATTGACGTCCAGAATATTAAGTTGAACAAACGCTGTTGTATTGAAGCCACTCCCATGCTGCTCTTTGGCCATAATCTGAAACAAAAATAGCTAAAGGTTAACAAAAGGTGTTTTTTTCATTCCCACAGTAACAGTAACATATATGAAATAATTAATTACCTATTGTTACGAATATAATACATTCCTGCATTTGATGAGTTCATGTACGTTGACACCTCATTAATCCTTACGATAAGTGAGTTAACATTTCACGTCGCATTATTTCAGCCATATAGGGACCCTTACAATAAGAGGCGGAAGGGTGGCCTATTGGGTAAAGCGTTCTCTCGTCCCAAGTTCGATTCTTCATGTGTGAAGCCCATTTGTGCTGTCCATCACCGTAATTTTGCTGGAATATTGCTAAAAGTGGCGTAAAACCATACTCACTCACTCACTCACTCCTCACTAATCCATACGATAACGTTTCCGGGTTTCTAGATTTCTTAATCAATTGTTCTGAGTTAAGTTCCTTTGTACACTAAGTTACATGTGGCACTAATGGGTTTCTAGTGAGATGTTACAAGATAAATGTGCTTGTCCATCACGAGATCGAAGGCATTGTTTCAGCCTTGTAGTCATTATGGTTCTGACTGGCAGTAGGTCTTCCCCGCAATTGTACCACGAGTGCATGGTTATGACACATAAAAGTACAGAGTCAACGGTGTAATTATACCGCCAGTATCAACACGATGCGAGACACGTATAAGGGCAATGTTATGATTATTCCACCACTATCAACACTATGGGAGACACGTATAAGGACAATGTTGTGATAATACCACCTCTAACAACACGATGCAAGACACGTACAAGGGCAATTGCAATGTTGTGATTATTCCAACACTATCAACACTATGGGAGACACGTATAAGGACAATGTTGTGATTATAATACCAGTATCAACACGACCAAAGACAGGCATGAGGGCAATGTTGTGATTATACCACCTCTATCAACACGATGCAAGACACGTATAAGGGCAATGTTGTGATTATAATACCAGTAACAACACGACCAAAGACACGTATGAGGGCAATGTTGTGATTATACCACCTCTATCAAAACGATGCAAGACACGTATAGGGGCAATGTTGTGATTATACTACTTCTATCAACACGATGCAAGACACGTATAAGTTGTGATTATTCCACCACTATCAATGCATGCAAGACACGTATAAAGGCAATGTTGTGATTATTCCACCACTACCAATACATGCAAGACACGTACGAGGGCAATGTTGTGATTATAATACCAGTATCAACACGACCAAAGACACGTATAAGGGCAATGTTGTGATTATAATACCAGTATCAACACGACCAAAGATACGTATAAGGGCAATGTTGTGGTTATAATACCAGTATCAACACGACCAAAGACACGTAAAGGGGCAATTGTGTGATTATTCTACCAGTTAATACATGCAAGGCACGTACAAGGGCAATATTGTATTTATACCACCACTATCAACACGATGCAAGCCACGTACAAGGGCAATGTTGTGATTATATCACCACCATCAGTAAATCGCTTTTGTTCTTACAGTGAAATTGACTGAATGTCTCAGTTCGTAGTCCAAGATGTCCGGATTCTTTACAGTGATGAGCACAGTAGCAGATGACCTGACGGCCTGGGGCACCGGGGTGAAGTCGTCACCCCCAACTAGACTCAGATCAAACATGCTGTTCTCACCCTGAAACACATGGATGTAGTGGAGAAGTCAATTGTTTACACAAAGTTCTATGGCTTACATCAAGGACATATGACACCAAAGGCTTAATTTTCAGGACCTTTTCAATCTGTATGACATACTGTGAATGGCGGGTGTTACCGGTAGACATGCTGACCCTTTTCGCGAACACCCGGTGTCATCACTGATCCATTCATATGATTTTCAAACTATTTTGCTCTTCACGTCAAATAGAATCTGTTTCGGTGGATAGCGTAGATGGTTATTCTCTTGCATTGACAATTTATATTTACAAGATAATGTAATTGCGTTAGAAACTATAAAAAGGAATAAAGAATGTCTTTCATTACTGTTCTTACTTCATTATTATTGTTATGGGAGATGTTGATCTGATAAAAATCTTCTCTACTCACGTTGTATAAATAGAGATAGTACTGTTACGACAGCAAATGTGAAAGTGATATTTTTGGTCGAACACTACCTTTTCCGAAGCATTCACCGTAATGACTCTATCTATTTCCTACCGATTCATAATGTTCGTTAGAAACTGTTAAGATGGCAGTAAATGTGATATATATAGTTTTATTGGTGTTGTTACCTTGTCTTTGTCAGAGACGGTCATGTTGTTAGGAATCTTGAAACTGATAGGGATTCCAGTTGCCATATTCTCCTTGATATCGGCAATGTATGTGTCGTTGTTGAACAATGGCTTATTGTCATCAACGTCGATTACATTGATGATCAGCGTCCCTTAAATATGTATATTAACATGTACCTTAATCAAGGGACATACAATTCTCTCAAGGGCATTGAGAGGGAGATAGAGAGAGAGTGAGAGAGAAAAAGAAAGAGAGAAGAGAAAGGGACACAGAGAGAGAGAAAGAAAGAGAGAAGAGTCAGAGAGAGAGAGAGAGAGAGAGAGAGAGAGAGAGAGAGAGAGAGAGAGAGAGTGTCCCTACCTGTTGCTGTCTGTGACGAGTCACCATTAGCATCCCTGACGTTAATGACCAACGTCACCAACTCCATGTCCTCACGGTCAAGGCTACTTCGAACACGCACATCTCCCCTGAGCTCGTCAATGCTGAACACAGTCTAGATATAAAGGTAAAATAAAGAACAACACAATAATGTACCTATTGTTAAGAACTACTGTATCATTTAACGCAAATTCGTATCCTACCTTAAGCGTTCTAATCGTGAACCACAAGCAAATACGTAATACTACTATCCTACCTTGAGTTTTCCGGTGGTAATACTTTTCTGTTCCCCATCCACAGCGGAGCTCCGTGACCACTCAATCGTGTAGGTCAGGTTAGCGTCATCATCGGGATCGTAAGCAGTAAAGATCACATCCATGCTTGTTGTCTCATTAACGTCCACTGACATAGATGATGGCTGAAATACCGGAGCCACATCATTGACATCTGTGACGGTTACGTTGACGATAGTAGAACTGGAGAGAGATGGAGTTCCTCTGTCCATGGCAACCACCACGAGACTGTAATAAGCCTCCTTCTCCTTATCTAGCTCACCAGCACGTAATATCTCACCAGATGAGCTATCTATTCGAAATTTTCCTAATCCTCCGCTCTCAATCATGTAGAAAATGTCCTTGTTTGGAGACGTTCTGTCGCCGTCTGTTGCACCAACTCTGGTTATATTTTGCCCTGGAGGAAACAATAAATTAAACAGTATTATCAGACGAGTTTTCCGTTGGTTCATTTAAGTAATGGAATGGCCTTTAATACTTTTCACGTTATTCCACTTTTCTATAATCGGCAGTGAAATACGCATATATTCATGTCGACATTTCCGTAGTCTAACACAAAAGGAATTCCGAAGACTGTTTCGAAGATTTTCGGTATCATAAAGATACATCTACTGAAACAAGACATCAAGTTAATGAAGTTCGAATGACACGGTAAAATATCAAAATAATCTGACATGTCGTAATAATTACCTTGTGAAATATCTTCTCTCACGCTTGCCGTATATATCGCTGAATGGAATGCTGGCGTGAAGTCATTAAAATCCTGCAGAAAATATAGGAGATGCATATAAGTGAATGTTATTAAAACAACAATAAGTGTCAGTGCAATTGTATTCTGTCACCCTAATCCAAGAGAATATATTTGAAAATGAATCCAGTTTAAGTCTAGAATGTTTTAGCAAGTCAAGATTTCATCAGCTCCGGAAATGAAGCATTGCTAAGCGCTCCATTTAGATTGTTTTTTGACTTTGAAGATATATATGTTTAATTAAGATAACTTATTTCGGGGTTTAAATGTCAGTCTGGTAGAATTGCAGCTGTATTCGTCGGCCTAATCGTGTCTGGGCCAGGCAACTCAGCGTTTGACTGCTTGCGTAATGATGCCTATTATACAAAAAGACGCAAAACCAGCCAAGGTGTACATTGTCACCACCTGACCTGCTCTCGCGACAAGAATGCGTACAGGGGCCGAACTCGGCCCCGGAATCCCCAATGAACACGTGGTGGTTTCTTTTGAAATAAGTAATACCTGAAACCCGCATTTGCTCTTTGTTTGTTTTATCATTAGATAAAGAATGCCATATGTATATAGTGTACGTACATAATGTACGACAACGTAATGACTGTACCTGGATTGAGATATTGACAACCACGCTTGATGACAAAACTGGAGAGCCTAGATCAGACGCTGTAACGTTGAAGGTTAGAGTATCGCTGATACTAGCATCAAGGCTCTCATAGTCAAACACACCAACCACCGTCATCACACCTGACTCCGGGTCCACGCTAAAGTTGTTTTGAAGACCTACTGGCGACTTGGTTATGCTGTACCGGACTCGGCTGTTATTGGTATTCGGTTCGTCGTCGTCGGTAGCCTGGTGTACAACCACATCACAATTTCTATGGTATTCTATAATCATATGAATGCATGTTAAATCGGTTTGGTTTGTCGTTTATGCTTTACGCCACACTCAGCAATATTCCAGTTGATCTGGACCAGACATTGTAGTGATTGATCTAATGTGTAACATGAAATGATAACAAGCAATCAACCAATTCCCCAAGCCTGACCACGAGCTTTATTTCGTGGTCTAGCAGAGGTTACAGGTCTTGCATCGACAAGCGTAGGTTACTGAGGCCCAATGTTAACCCGGAATCCCTACGGGATTAATATATAATGTTTAAAATGTGTTCTTCGGGAATCAAACCTCTCTGAGGTTGTGGTAATATTTGCGGTTATATAAACGCCAATATGCCCTCTCTTCAAAGTGTATTAAAACATTTTCCATTAAATAATGCGATTATAGCCATCACTGGTTACATAACATAATTAATGAAAAGGAAAATCGGTACTGGGCTATTTTGCTTTGGCAAAATATTTTAACTTTTACCACAAAATATGAGAATTGTAAGTGAAAAGGATATTGTTATAAACGTAATAGACATCATTAGTCAAAACAAAAACAGACTTTTAGAGGCTCTAATGTTCCTGATCCTATTAATGGGATTAACCTACCTTCAAAATGATTGGCCTAGTAAAGGCATCTTTTCCGTCGATAAGGTTGCCATCGTAATAGTCTCTTCTGAAGCTGGGAGCTTCGTCGTTGGCGTCGGTGATGTTAATTGTGAGCAACGTTGTTTGTCGTCGCCCTCCACCGTCGGTAGCCTGAACCGTCAGATAGTACGTGTCAGTTATCTCTCTGTCCAGGCCCCTCCCCCTCGTGTGCACCTGGCCACTGAAGGTGTCTATCCTGAAGCTGAAAGGGGATAATTGGATCATACTTCCAAACTTCAAAAAGTACGCTATTTAGATTGGTTATTCACAGGTTCCAAATTACAATAACATTCTCTGACTGAACAAGCCGATTTAAAAACCGATTTACCGCGGAAGCTGATATTCGTAGGAAAGTACTTCTTTGTCTGTCAATATCGGCAATCTGTTAAAAACGATGACATTACCAAAAATGTAGTTCTGTTGTTTCTTAAAATATTAAAGTATGTGTTGCAATTCATTTTGGATAGAAACCGCCATGCAAATGGACTTAAGGGTATAGAGACACACGAAAGCTTGAAAACGTCATATGTGTTGCGTCACAATACAAAATCAAAGTAACAATGGAAAAGGCAGAATGTGTATTGAGGTCATGCGGAAGCTGTCATGATGTGGCGATAGTATCTTCTTTACACGAATGCCTTGTTTACGTCATGTTGACATTGTTTTTGTCTTGACACGGCTTTCAGTATAGACATCATTTCGTCTTCTGTATAACCTATTGTGTTAATACTAATACTAATACTAATTGTTTCGTATGATTACTAATATTCGTATGCGTTTCATACTGGCAGTGTCAGCACCATACCCTTGCTCGTGGGTTTTTACCGAAGTGGTAAACGTCTGAGGCCGGCATTACTACAGGCTTTACTCCCACATTAAGCTGACACGCCGTGATATAACAGGAATGCTGTTAAAAGCGGCGTTAAACCCAACTCACTCACTCATACTGGCAGACTTACAACACCTGTGTACGAAAATCATCATGACATTATCCCATCTGTCCGACATTATATTTAGTGTGTTTATCATCAGTAACTTTAACACAAACTCTACATTATTTCCAGAAATGATGAATTGATGAAATGAATTATCAAAAATAAAATATATTTTTAGTTATTAAACTTGTCCTCATGTTAACAAAATGGTCCGGACATGCTGTAAGTTCTGAAACACAATGTGTCGTGGTTCTGTCTTAAACAAAAAATCTCTTAACATTAAACAGTCGATCCAAAAAAAAACTCACTATGTTTGGTCTCCCTGTAGGGTGTAGGTCACATTGCCCCCTGATCCCGTGTCTACATCGGTAGCCTGCAAGGGTAAAACGTGTCAAAGACATTCAACTTCGGGGATATTATTCAACTATATGCGGCTGTTCAGATATCAAACATGTTTGATAGGAAGGAATGTGATTAGGTTTATGTGGTATTTCAAACTGATTTCCTTGTGGATGCATCATTCAACTTGTTACCTATCTATCGGTGTATTAGAGACTTAAGATATAGTGGAATTATCATTCAAACTATTGCCTATCTATTACTTTATTACCTTATAGTGGCTGCATCAAATTCAAATTGTTATCCACATGTATCCATCACTATCATTGTATTACAGGCTCACGTAAATGTGGATGCATCATTTAACATAATACCTACCTATATATTACTGTATCACTCATCCAGTCATCGATCAGTTACCTCTATTAATGCCTCATACTGAAGGTGATGCATAGTTATCATATACTGACAATGGTAGCGAGAATGGGTATTGTTCGGTTCACTCACGTTCACGGTGTATACGAGTGTGTTGTCCGTAACGTTCTCCCTGACGTCAGCTGAGTAGGGAACTTTTTGGAACTCCGGGTCGTTGTCGTTGGCGTCGAGTATAGACAACGTAACAGTACAGCTGCTATTAAGGTGGTTACCCCCACGTGGCTCACTGGCAACTACCTGCATGGATGATCACAAGGTGGTCATTAGGGGACGATCATTCAATGTTCCTTCAGGGTGGGTGTGGGTGTGGGTGTGGGTGTGGGTGTGGGTGTGGGTGTGGATGTTTTTTACACAGAATACTTTGTCAGTCAGCGCTTCAAGGATACCTTTTCTCTGCTAGGAGTCACATCTTCCAGAATTCCTAGAAACAGATAATGTTTTCTCGGAACATCTCCAGCTCCACTACCACACACAAGTGTGTGTGTGTGTGTGCGCATATGTGTGTGTGTGCATATGTGTGTATCTGTGTTCCATACGAAGAACTTCAAGTGGCTTGCGTGCACCTGAGTATTTTTTATAAAACAGATTCTTATAAACTTACAGTCAGTGTTATTGACTGTCTCATTTCATAGTCCAGTATGGTCGAGTTGTCTACCCTGATTGACAGAGTCGCCGACGACTGCACCGTGTCCGGGGATATGGTGAAGTATCCAGCATATGTGCCAGACAAGGTCAAGGACAGGTAGCTGTTGTCCCTCTGCGGATAAGATAAGGCCTTTTAGCTTACATGGTATACTGACCCGCCATTTAAGGTGGGTATATTTGTGAAGAGAAATAATTTACTAGTAACTAAAAGAAATAACATATCTATGTATTTCGTTTTTGTTTCTCTATTTTACCGTAATTTAAATATAATCATTCAATCATTTTCAAGTGCATAACGCACCCAACGATTTCGTTGTTTTTTTTATATTCAAATATCCATCAACCATATAATAAAAGACTTTCAATATCAACCAGTATTTAAACATTGAATAATGATCGCTCCGCTTTGAAGTAACAACAATGGTAACGGACATTATAATATAATCCTACCAGGTCGATGTCAGAAACGTTCATAGAATCTGGTGTACTGAAGGTGATGGGTGTTCCCCGGTCCATGTTTTCTGTTATAGACGCACTGTAGGCGTTTTGATTAAACTTTGGGTCGTTGTCGTCGACGTCAAGTATATTGATGACGAGAGTTCCTAATAAGAAGTATATGACAGAAATATAAGACAAAGAGATCGTTACATATAAGAACCAGTTCAACAATTTGGTGCACAATGTAATATTGGTAAGTAATTCTTAACAAACAAAACAACATTGTCTCCATATGTATTTTCATTCGTATGAGTATTGTCAAGTTAACTTGGATTACAAGAACTCTATGACATACTCCTCTTCGCCCTTACAATACTAACTATGGAATCCTAGAAGGGACATTATCGCGCTGTCGCATTTGTCGCCATTACAAAAACAAGCACAACGTGTCAAAATTTACCAAAACGCGACAATGCAACCATTCAACATTTTGGCCATTTGTCGGATTGTCGCGTTTTGAATAATCAATTTTATTTTACCAAAGGGTGGCAATGAGACAACGCGACAATTTCAAGGTCAAAATAAGTCCCATTGTCGCCCCAAAAATATGTAAAAATGCGTTGAAATGCGCGACAATGCTACAAATGGCCAATATGTCGCTTTGTCGCATTTTGGTTAAAATTTGACCTGTTTTACTTTTTTTTGTAACGGCGAAAATGGGACAATGCGACAATGTCCCTTGTAGGATTTCATAACGAACAGACTGGGATCACACACAATTGAAATACAGCAAACCGTCTATAGTTCAATCTTAACTATTCTTAAAACTGCATACTTCCGTTTGACAAATCATGAACTGAAATAATTGCTTTATTTAGACGTACTTGACAATGATGATCATGGAGGTAGGCTTTCCCGAGGCCAGGACTGCAATGTTTCAATAGTGCAGAGATTGCACATTTATTGTTCAAACAGAAATTCCCTTAACGTCTACCTTATTCATAATGTTAGTTTGTATATGGTACAAACATGTTACCCAATCCAACGATGCACGTGTCAGTGGCGTGTTTAGCATATTAACATATTGGTTAAACCAATATGTTATGGTATACTAGTATGTAGAGGGTAATTCTATGATCACGTACATGTAGATTAATCAAAGCATCAAAGATCACTTCAAGATTCATGAAAGAGAGTTTAGCTAACCTGTATCGATTTGAGGTTGAAATCCAGCACTTGCATTTGTGTCATTCACTTGTAAACTAAGAGTGACCTGTTGAGCAGTTTCTCGATCAATGTTGCGAGAAGCACGGATTTCACCTGTTGACTTGTTAACGCTGAACCAGTCCTATAAAACAAAAGTGAAAATGTCATTGTGGCAATATAAGTGGTGTGTGTTTATTTTGTTCAAAATGTTAGGCCAGGCAACCGGACATTTGGCACATGCGATCAGTTTTTTTGTTCTGCAAATAGTTAAAAAATGTTAATAACTGCAATCAAATACATTCTGGATCAACTATTGTATTTCTTTACCAAATATGACACGTGTCAAATCACTAATAATCTTCAACATGCGAGTATTTAAGTTTACAAGCGTCGACTGTCTTTGTGCGTGAATGATAGTTTACATAATTGTTTTAACCCCACACAGACAACCCGATGTGTCTGCCAGAGAGATGCATGGTATTGGAAGATTCCGGGACTAGTCACCTGCGCCACCCTCATCCCCACCCCTTACCTCAATTAATCGTTGTGATAGCCCCGCAATGATGCGCAGAAATCGTGAGCTCGAATCCTTGACTTGCCCTTATTAATATCCATAGACTATGGTGAACGTCCACGACCAGAATCACTTGATCTTTCCTCTCTTGTGAGGCTTACCTATCGTGTCCTCGAAAATATTGTCAAAACCGGTGTAAAACCCGACTCCCCCACTCAAATAAAGCTGACACTCCGTGCAATATTAAAATACCACCCAAAGCTAGTAAACCCGCGTCTCTCACAAAAATTAAGCTGGCACACCGTGATGTAACAGATGTACTGAAATCGGCACTGAACCCGTCTCACTCACTCACTCAAATTAAGCAGAGACGCCGTGATATAAACTGAAATACTGTTCGGGCGCCATGATATGTTTACCTGTACTTGTGATGAAACGTCTTGCTGTTCCTCATTGATACCGGTGACTAGGGTAACGGTGTACTCAAGTCGTCTGTCGGGGTCGGCATCAGTAGCGCTGAAGTCTTCTACATGTTCATCCGTGGTGATGTTCTCATAAACACTGACAGTTTTATCACTGACATTAAATTTAGGCGTTTCATCATTGACATTAATGATGCTGATATTAACAGCTGCAGTTGAATTACGTTCAGGGGAGCCTCTGTCTTGAACCATTACGACCATGTTGTAAGCTGCCTTCGATTCATAGTCCAGGATGCCACTTGTAGATATTTGTCCACTGTTTGGGTTAATACGAAACCTACCATCATCTCCACTAACAATGGTGTAATAAATGACGTCATTCGGATCCGTTCCGTCATCATCCGTTGCAGATACTGTGATTACCGAGCTTCCTTTAAACATAGCACGTCATGGCGGATGAGGAATGCATGGTTGTTACACAGCATCATTTGCTTGACTCTAGATATACACAGATTCACCGTTATAAACATACTACTTGGTATAATGAAAAACACAGTAAAAAGCAAAAGCGAAGAGAGACAAAAACTCAACTAAGCAAACACAAACAACACAGAAACAGGTACATATATTTTGAAAACAAAACAATAACATAAACCAAGTATCGGTCAGCACACAACCTGATCCTCGTTTATCCAGCGTATTATTATTATGATAAGTATCCTAGACCTGTTTGCCACCGTAGTTTCGTGTCGTGGTTATAAACTATTATCATAATAACTTCGGAAACAATGTCTCTTGCTCATGAGCCTGAAATCAACAACCAATCAATTATATGAGTTTATTAGAATTTAACGTGAAAAATTGTGGCCGCTATATATTTAAAATATGGGAGTTTTTCTTAAACAAGGCAGGCTCATAGTTTGTATTCAGTGAACTATTAATTTGTTGACAATGAGTAACAACCCACGTTGATTGTTGATATGTTGTGTTTAGTGTCTAGAGTTGAGTTATCAAAATAGAAAATTTCTTCTGATGATATAAGTTCAACATTGTTATATTTAAATTGGTGGCCAGTGCACCAATAGGCGTTATCTACTCTTGCACTAATTGCTGTGCTGACCACTATGGTAGACAATAATCGAGAGGCAGAATTCGAATTTGAAATTTGAAGCTTTGTCCATGTTGGTTTGAATAACCATTAGTTTGTGTGTGTGTGTGTGTGTGTGTGTGTGTGTGTGTGTGTGTGTGTGTGTGTGTGTGTGTGTGTGCGTGTGTGTGTTTTGTGTGTGTCCAACAAGATGTTTCGTTATAATCAGCATCGTGTCAATAGATGTGGACGCGAAAATATGGTGGCGAATGGGTATCTATCACAACAAGCTGGAGATATAATACACTGGGTAATCGAGAATGGCATCAAACATACTAAGAGTTAATACTTAATTGGAATGTATATTATTCACTTTAATAATTTATGTTACTTGATTGTTTGTAGATAACACAATGTTTCAATGTAAAGCAACAACAATCAGACTGAATATACGCACGGCCCGAGCAGATCAACTTCTCAACATTCAGAGGGTAAAGACTTGTACATTACCTAAGCTGGTTCCTTCCTTAATTCCGTGGCTGTAGGGGTGTGCTTTGAATGTTGGAGTATTATCATTTTCGTCCTGTAATTCACCATTATTACATAATTACTATTACACTGCAAATTATACCACCTTTAGAGGCATGGTGAGTGGCGTAGAGGTATCTAAATTGCACGTACATGTTCACACCGTTCGTGTAATGTTATTTTCTTGTACACAATCGTGGGGATATATTAGCTGGACATGTTTAACTTTGTTTATAAAATTGATTATATTTACGTGAAATACACTAATTCCCGACACATATTATATTCAAAGTCTCTTCACTGCTCTTCATACCTGCACAGTAAGGGTCACATTAACATCTGAGTAGAGTGGTGGTATCCCTGAGTCCGTGGCTCTCACCGACACAGCAACCTGGCTACTGGTGAGGTTCTCGTAGTCCAGAACAGTGTGCACCGAGAGGTCACCTGTGACGCCGTCCACAGTGAAGTGGGAGTCCAGACCACGAGGGTAGGTGCCGTTGATGCTGTACCTCACTAGACCATTGACCCCTACATCAGCGTCTGTGGCCTGTGGGGTGACAACGTTGCTATATTTCCAGTGGTATCAACACTTATTCCATATTACTACATCTCCATGTATCTGATTTCTATTGTTGTTAATAGCATAACAGAATGGCGTCATACTACGTATGCACTGGATACACGAGGACGTTAATGAGTGGGGTTAACACAGGTTTCGTCTGTACTTCAGTTGTGTAGCATGTCAACTTATTGTGCGAAGAGGGGTTAACGCCGTTTTGAACAGTATTTCAGTTTTATGGCCTGACAGCTTGTGGGAAGAAACACCAAAGTGATGCAGATCTTAGACGTTTAGCACTTAAGGTTTGGTGAAACCCATCAGCACGACAATGGTGCTGACAGACCAAGGATCATAATCAGGGAGACTCTGGGATTCGAACAGATGATCCTGGGATCCTGGCACGCTTCAGAGACGCTAAGCGAAATGCGGCGCCTCTGGATATATTGTATATTATCAAACTTCTCGACCCTTTTTATCATTCTGGCAATAAAAATATGATATCAAAATCAAAATGCAGAGAAATGGAATGCAAGACACAATGATGAGTTCCATTGCTTTCTTCCTATATAAGAACTGCTGTCTTTCTGCATTCTGGCTTAAATCAATACAATTAAATTTGGGCAAGATTTGTTTATTTTCGATTCTTAAACAAATTCTCAACGTACATACATTGACGCTATTAATTTATTTTAAACCCCCTATGGGTCCATTCATGTCAGTAGTTATTATAGCTTATTTGGCATATTATGAGTACATGTTATCCCATTATGTTTGAAAGTCGCTCACGATGCCGTTGTTAAACAGACTTGAATCTTAACTAAAGTGTCAAATCTGTAGATCTTTTGGAAGTGTTTTGGTTACTTTGCCGTTTGTGATATATACAACTTGAATTTGCGTATGGTGACACCCATACAGTGAAGAGAAGAAGGATAATCACCTACAACTGTCGATGTCAACTGGTGATCAAAACAACATAATGCATGTATTTATGTTCATTATTATTCGGCTTAATATTATTTAAAAATATGTTTGCTATTTTACATTGAAGTTTTGTTTCGATGTAAAGTAAAAAAGTGGAACAACGATGCCATTAATTATGGGAACATGTTTGCAGCTTTGATGAGGAAAGACGCTGACAGACAACAGCCGACAAGGACGGACAAACAGGCTTCCAAACGAAACGCTTTGTCGAGGTGAGCTACATGTAAACCTTAAAATGCATGGCGGAGTAACCGACGATGCATAGAGCATTTCACATGCTACTTACCGAGACAGTAATGGGCCTACTAAAACTGTTGTCATTTTCTTTTAAATAACCGTCGTATTCTCTTCTGAATACCGGTGGATTGTCGTTGGCGTCCGTGATGTTGACAGTGAGCTGAGCGGTGTCCTTCAACAAACCGGGGTCTGTGGCCTCCACGGAGATATAGTACACAGACTTGGTCTCTCTGTCCAGCTTATTAGAGGCCACTGTCACCTCACCAGAGGAACTGATGGAGAACCTTGTATAGAGAAATACAGATATATTTTTGCACACACACACACACACACACACACACACACACACACACACACACACACACACACACACACACACACACACACACACACACACACACACACACACTTATTTAAACTAACATGGATACATGTTGGGTTCTTGACATAAATTGTGCTGATTATCATTTCGATGATATTACAGCTACTATAGTAGATAACGCCTAACGCCCAACAGTCTGCAGCATAATTAGTTTATCCAAACAAATCATTTTTATGTTTTTCGAAAAATCCCTGACCGTCCCCACCCCCTCAAAACATCAAATGCTCTGTCCCTTACGTATAAAAGAATGTCTTAAAGCGAACGTTTTGCTTACATTCCGTCGTCACCTCGTAACGCATAAGTGACAGTTCTGAAGGGTTCCAGATCGTCATCTACAGCCTGAAAAACAGTAACATTCACAGAAAACGCTTAGGTATGTGTCTACTATAGTTATATTAATGGTATAATTGTTGAAGGAATAGAGAATAATGTACGCCCTTTTGCTAACGATACATCAATATATCATAATAGATGATCCAGTTGCGGCAGCGACATTCATTAATAATAATTTGGTTAAAATTGGGCAAACAAATGGAAAGTAGGATTCATTCCCGATAAAACTGAAAGCATAACATTCACCCGTGACGCGGATCCCGGTAATAGGCACACACACACACACCGCAGTGACCTTGCGTAATAGGATAGCTTCCGGTTACCTCGTTTTAACGCACATTACCGTTAACAAGTACCGATTGCCCTGAGTCCTGAGTAGACTGAGGTAACAGACCTACCACGTCAATAATGACCTTGGAAGAAGCCCTGAAAACAATAGGCACTTAATCAAAGGGGCCGGGGGAATTCCCTGAATAGGTTTTCCTGGTATTGTCTTGACAAACATGACAAAGCTTACATACATCTTCTACATCACTGTACATCCCAGGGCGGAAATGATCAGAACTGGCCCGCTCATAGGTCTCATGCAGATCAGTCCTACGACGATGACCAGCAAACAAGCTCTCATGAGCCAAACTGAGAATACCATCTCTAAATGCCCATGGAACCACGACCTGCGTTCTAGAGCTCTCGTCTATCTCGGACTCGGGATGCCTTCTCATTAGAACACCTCGATAACCATAAACTTTCGCAGAATTCTGATCACCTGACGACACCTTAGACCACATATATCACCTTGGCTACCTCTACGGACCACGATTGTTTTGATTGAAATTGGGAAAACCCGCACTGTTGCGAGAAGAGCCTGATCCCTGTGAACAAGAACAATAATTATCTGACACCTCTGTCAACTTCACAACTTTCTGATCTGACAAGTGAAGTTTCAAAACAGGCGGCACACTATCCTTGACCTCATCTAACACAATTAGATCTCTTTGTTCAGAAAACATATTAATAGACTCTGAATTAGTCCCCTTATCAAGCAAATTGCCCTTTTTTTGCAATAAACTCAGCGAGACTGCAAATGTGGGCATCCTTTTCAAGATGCTTTACAATTTTTATCTACATGCAGACATTTATGCAAAAAAAATTATATTCATGGATATAACTTGAAACCAATTTAGTTACGTTATTAAGGAAAATCTTAAATCAGTCCATGATATTAATGTCAAAAGTAAAAGTTTCGAATAGTAGGCGTAAGTTGTAATAATCTGAATACCTTATGGATAAAATAATAAAACAGAGACACTGCATTCCTTTAAGCCTTTATACCAGTAGCTCAAACTTACAGTTACAGACTAATTTTATGTATATATTCAACATGAACATGCTTATATAAAAGTACGGTAATCTATTTTATTGTTTTGCTTGTTTACAAATCCAAATTTCATTTATGAAATAAAACTATGGGGAAGGCCACCAGTGAAGGGTCCACCTGGTCAGCCTCCGTTTGGGAAATGTATCATCAATTAAACGATCATTTTCTTTGTGTCACATCAGTGAAACCCACTTAATTGACAAGGCACTACATCATCAGTTTTACAGCTATTCGGTTCATTTCCTTTGTTATTTTTTGGGATGACATTGTAGATTATGAATCCACGTATAACTCAATACCGACCATGTGGACCCTTACTGGTAGCTTTCACACTAACAACTTCTGTTTTACATTTATTTCAAGTTGTACTCTATATCAAAATAAGGGGCAGAGGTGGCGCAGGGGTCAACGGCGCCTCATCTCACTGTGCCGTTGTGATCCCTTTCTCGTTCAAGGATCAGCTAATCGTGGGTTCAAATCAAAGTCAGCAAACATGCCGTGGTCGTGGGTTTTAAAAGGTGGTACGTTTTTGTCTGTGCGTTTGTTATGTCACACATCACTTGTGAATATTACAGCTGAGTGATGGTGGCATTTAACTAACAGAGCATTGACCAGTGAGTAAGGAAAAGAATTTATGGATGAACAACTTCTTTATTACAATTAAGAGCGACGTTTTGGTGTAGGTTCTAACACCGTTATCAAGCAAGTGATGAACCTAAACCGAAACGTCGCTCTTAACTGCAATAAAGAAGTTGTTCATCCATAAATTCTTATCCTTACTTAGTACTCCCAACTTCTAAATGCCTATCAAAGAAGTTATTGACCAGTGATTGATATTTTAGGCAACTTATCCCTTGGGCAGCCTTCCTTGAATCAATGTGGACGACGGTTTCAGTGTTACAAATACAGTGACGGTGATGACAGATATGGAGCCGCTACTACCCTCCTGAATAAAGGCGGCGTAGGCAGTGTGGGTGAAGTTACATGTTACATTCTTCCACATACCATGACGTCGATGACAGATGTGGACATTACCATTTTCTCCTGGACAGCTGCGGTGTCGCAGTCTGGGTGAAGTTACAGGTTACATTGTTACACATACCGTGACGGTGATGACAGATGTAGAGGCGTTACTATCCTCCTGGACTGATGCGCTATATTCTGAGTTGGTAAAGTTGGGACTGTTGTCATTCTGATTTGTAATATTAAGTTGAATGGTGGTAGATGCACTTTTTCTCTCTGGTGTGGACGTCTCGTTGGCCCAAACCTGGTCATTGACAGAGAAAAATACCAAAGTGCAACTGCCTGCGCACAGAATAACGATACTATAGTGTTTTGATGACATTGTATTTCAACGTCACCGCATGATGCATGAATGTAGATTCAGTGCAATACAGATAATTCATCCGGTCGAATGACTTTATTCTTAAGACAGGGACATATATTTTATTGTTACTTATATATTGTATTGTTTACTGATTGCACGAAGCACGTTAACGATGTCTCACTGATGAGCAATGATGCCACAGGTATGTTTGATTATGATCGATTACAACTGGAACCACGTATAAAACCGTTAAGGAAATAAATTCATTACCTAAATGTAGCTCTAACAATACGATCCCTAACTACCATGAAAAGGTAGATGATTTATAGACCTTCATGTATCTTTGTTCTATTTTATTTTAAATGTCCTTGTCCATGTGGCGAAATGAACGCAAATGTAGTTTCTAAAATTAACATATGATCACTAATAAATGCACCAAGGTGCTTGAAATATCATAAGCAGATATGTGTTCGTTGCGTTACCGTCAGTGAAATACTCTGTCTCTGTTCATAATCGAGGATGGTGTTATCCTTCACTCTGATCAGCAGAGTTGCCGATCCTTGGACAGTGGACGGGACAATCTCAAAGTATGTCGATGAATAAGAATCCAATGTCAGTGACAGCTTGGCGTTGTCAGCCTGCACAATAAGAAAGATGTTTGGAATAATTAACATACAATATTGTCCACATATTTACAGTAAACCAGTGTGATATTTCACTACATTTCGATTGGAAGCTGCTGTATTCCCCAATTATATTTATGCATTAAGACAAGCATTGTTTAAGCTGACGTGTTACAAAACATCCAGACTGTACCAATTATGGCATAATCATAACTGTAAATACACATTAAACGAAATAAATATCGTGGAAAAACATGTTTTCTACAGAAAAACTGATACAATAGGCACAAGTTAGTCAATTCTCTTCTGGCAAAATAGAAAACATATAAACTTTATATATTCTCTATACATAACGATCTAATTATTACACAATTACACTTTAGAAGTGAAAACTCAAAAACTTATTACTTGTATAAGTGAGTGAGTGAGTGAGTGAGTGAGTTGGGTTTAACGCCGCTTTTAACAGTATTCCAGTTTTATCACGGCGTGTCAGCTCAATGTCGAAGGAAAGCCCGACGTGATGCAGGTCTCAGACGTTTACCACTTTGGTGAAACCCACGAGCACTGGTATGGTGCTGACAAACCTAGAAACATAATCAGGGCGAACCGGGATTCGAACCCACAATCATAGGTTTCTGGCATGCCCAAGGGACGCAACTCTGCACAGCGAATCGCGTCGCCTTAGACGACTGGGCCACCCGTGCCCCTACTTAATGTAGTCAATACAACTCTACACAATTAGTTTACTGATGATATAATATATGCAAAAGATTTCGTACACACGAATGAACACATAAAAAAATAAATAAGTGAACGAAAATACAATCAATTATATATGTGTTTATCCAAACAAATTGTAAACTTCTGTTGGATTTCGTTGAAATGAAGATAGAATCATATTCCCCCAGTATCGCTGCAGGAGATAAACAGTGAAAAGGAAACACATGTTTCTCATTCAATACATTTCTTTTGCAAGGTAATCAGCTCTACTGATAGGTTCTGATACGTATTAGCTCTATACATGTCAATTTGTCAGGACTTTAACGTTCCATAGAATATGCCGCGGTGCACTGGCGACTTTACATACATTAGATTGGTATGTATAGAGGATATATAAAAAAGTTGTTATTCCAACAAGTTTATGTGTTTTCTATTTTGCCAAAGGAGAATTGACCAAGTTTTGCCTAACGTAAGCCTATGTAAAGTATGGGAGTTACGATCATCTTAGCACTAAGATCGCTTTGTGCATGTGGACCACGGTTTTACTTACTGAGACAAAACCATAAAAACCACCTGATCATAAGTCTGATGCTTAAAACTTTGTTTACATAACGTTATAGTAGTGCAAGGGGTAATGAGGATACTGTTAACTGTACTATCGAGTGTACTATACGTATAACATGCATAGGCATTGTGAATCATGGTGTCCTCAAACCTGGTCCTTGTCCTCCACATGTACTGTTTGAGTCGTGAAGGAGATGGGTATCCCCGTCGGCATGTTTTCCTGGATGGTAGCCTCGTAGTTGGAGCTGTTGAACCTGGGAGAGTTATCGTTCTTGTCCTGGATGGTCACGGTCACCGTGTCGCTGGCGTTATCACCGAATGTACCCGAAGACGTCACCTCTACAGCCTGAACACAGAAAAACGGAAGACAGTGAGTGAGAAGTGTTTTACGCCCCATGTATAATTCCAGCCCCACACCTCAAGGACATGAAGAACTGTCTTTGCGCATGATACCCACACATGGAATCGAAATCTAGTCTTCCGTGTAAACAAATTACTGACTCCACATCATGGCTACCCATCTGCCTTAAGACTGTATGAGACAATATCATAAATATAACTGAGTGGCCTTATTTCGAATGCCTTCATTGTACGTGTTAGTACGTTGCCCGAAGCCAACGTGCATGAGCTACTTGAAGACGCAACACATGCAACGAGGACATGGGTTCGTTATGCCCCTTTAAAGGTGGGCATAAAACAGCCAGTAAGACAGGTACATCTGTGAAAAGCAGGCCTCATGATCACCAAATAGGATACATTTATTTGAATTTGAGATTTCACCTGGACATCGATAACACATATCCCATTGTTCTGGAGAACTGTCCCACTGTCTCTGTCAGCAACCTTCATTAGGTCAATTGTTCCTTTTGTTGAGCTGATGTTGAAATATCCTGGACATGTGCCTACAATATATCAAGGGAACACCATGACACATACATTATGACAATATACACTTATCAAGCATTTCTTTTGTTCTCCTAAATGATGAATATGAAATATAAATACCGCCTGTGATCCTGTAGATGATGTTGTTGGGGTTGCCTCTGTCTCCATCCTGAGCCGAGATCGTCACGACGTTGCTGTTCTGAAATCGGCATTTGTTGATAATTTACAGTTATGTTCTGTGATACTTTGTAATAATATACTCATCTATCTATGACAAGTTGTTTAATTAGCAAAGCAGTCACTGATGTCAAATAAAAATATTCTCACCACAGTAAGATTCTCCCAGATATAAGGTAGGTAAGGCCTTCCAGTAAAGTATGGTGGTGTGTCCTGGACATCTGTTACAGTCACAAACAGCTGGGCCTCGCTGGTCAGACCTCCTCCGTCCTGGCAGGAGGATATACAGGATGTGAGAGTACGGTCCATTAACTTTGGTACATGTTCATAGGTTTACAATGACCGTGACATTATACTGTTAAACATTTATATATGGCTTCTGTATCATACTAATGATACAAAAAAGAGCAAGCGACGTGTAGTCCGACAAGATTTTCCGAGTGTACATAAAAACATGTCTCTGTGACAAACACAAAAAAAACCGCCGAAACAAAATGGTATCCCGCACTATAACACAACATATATACAATAACCTACACACGCGAATCCTTGTAAAGTTAGGTTACTATACATGTTCTGGTACTAAGAGGCGACTGAATAGATCTTGGTTAATTGCGTGTCTTCGAACCCCGACGGGGCTGCACGTTGTTCATATCAACCACTCGGATGTCTGGTTATAGAAGGCGCAGTCATATAGCTCGAATAGTTTGGTGTCAAGAATTAATGCCACCAGGTGTTGGCGAAATGGGTGAGCATGTCCGGCACTGCTGTTATCATTCACCGTGGATAATGTGCTGGTTTGGGTACCCCATCTAAATCTATAGGTGACCCCTGCTGCTCCACTATAAGTGTCAGGTTGAACTAGAAACAAAACTACGACCGTCTCGGTTCAGGAAATAGCTAGTGCTCCCTCAAGAGGTGTAAGAACTCACAAGGATACATTGGTAGATGTATCTTTGGATTGTTGGTAGTATACAAGAACAGCAATATGTATGGAAAAACATGAAAAGAATGAACATCCTAGAACTATCAAATACTTACTGTAGCAACAATTGTGAACTGATAGAAACTAAGGGTTTCATAGTCCAGGGGTCCAATCAGTGTGACGTTACCAGTCCTGGACACACGGAACTTGCTTCTGACAGCTGCCCTTGATGTCTGAACATGTAAAAAATGAGTGGATTGGTCATACAAGTATAAAACACACGAATATATAAAGTTAAAACTTGTAATATTGTATTTATTTACACACACACACACGCACGCGCGCACACACACGCACGCACGCACACACACACACACACACACACACACACACACACACACACACACACACACACACACACACACACACACACACACACACACACACACACACACACACACACACACTAACAATACCATACACTACTATCTGATGATATTGTTTTCTGAATTGATACCGCTATTACATGACAAAGTATGTACATCATATTATTGTCAGAAACGGTTAACCACTGATCTGACTTCATTGCACTTCTGTGTGTATTTATCTAAGGTTAACATGGTTTCACTGTATAGGCAATGTCATATTTAATTCATCCTGGCATTAATGTTTGAATTAACAGTGTTTAAACATAACATGAAAGACTTAAGAAGCATGTACCTTCATGGTGTAGTTGACTAAGCCCCCTATTCCTGTATCAGGGTCTGTGCTATTGGCGATGAAGATGACAGAGTTGATGCTGTGATTCTGAAATAAGGATACAAATGTATTATTTACAAATATAATTGGACTTGAACTCAGTTGCTTTGCAATGCCACCCCTGAGCTCACAGACTTCTTTATCTTGCATTCCTCTCATTAATCAGCATTTCTGGGCATCAAAATAAAGATTGTGGAAAAATAGTGCACATTGTTTAATTGCTATCTGTGCGAATTCCTTCATGCCGAGTTTTAAAAAAGACGAATGCACAATGAAAGTTATACAACCTCTGGGACGGAGACAGAGTAGGGCAGCCCGTGGAACTGTGGGTGAACATCATTGACGTCAGTGATGATGACAGTCACATCTTGACGGACTCCGTCCTTCACACCATGAAACATACATGTGTTAATATTGTAACACGTTGTTCAAAACGCTCGTCAATAGAGATCTTAATGTTCTGCTGAATATTACTCAACATCACTGTGAAATTACGGCGCTTACAACCACCGGTATATAAATCATAAAGTCTACCTTGATCGAATAGTCAATGGAAAAATATTATGAAGCTGACAAATGTACCTACCGGAGTTGATGGAACAGTGGATGGAAACAAGTTGCCATGAACCCGACAAGTCTACCTATCTGAGTTGAGGGATTAGTGGATGGAAACATGTTGTCATGAAGTTGACAAGTGTACTAACCAGAGTTGATGGATTAGTGGATGGTTCAAGTTGCCATGAACCCGACAAGTCTACCTGTCTGAGTTGACGGATTAGTGGTGAGAAACATGTAATTATGAAGCTGACAAATTTACCTACCAGACTTGATGGATTAGTGGATGGAAACATGTTGCCATGAACCCGACAAGTGTACTAACCAGAGTTGATGGATTGGTGGATGGAAACATGTTGTCGTGAAGTTGACAAGTGTACTTACCGGAGTTGATGGATTAGTTGCCGTAAAGACCAGTCCCAGCGAGCTGCCGTCCTGAATATATGAATGTATATCATCAGCAGAGATAGTTTCCAAAAGCAGAACATGAGGAACATTTGTCCATCACCTGTTATTTAGAGTATATTTCTAAAGCTGATCATGTATTTCAAAAGCACTCAGGTTCGTCAGTTAATACATTTTGACGTTTTGAGAGATATCGACTATACAATGCCAAAAAGGTAGGGGGTATTGGGGATCAGCTGGACAATATGGTATTGGCAAATGGAAATGTTAATAATGTGATCATATCTTCTGAGGAGTAGACGATCGGATCTATGGGTGGTGTTATGCGATGGGGGCGCTCTAGGTCGTCAGGGATCAAATTCGAAATTTGCATTCTGCAGCCAACGTCACTAAAACGTGGGTAAAACCACCTCTGTTCACGAAAGCAAAATCGAGCTCATTGAGAGTGCTGGGTGCATCTTGACGTTGCCGTACAGGGCTGCAAATGGCGGTCCAGACAAGTTCGGCGGCATGTAAACAATCTTACATCTAGAATATTTATTTAAACAGTACGCTTGCTCCATTTTATTGTGATAACTATTTTACATTTGTTATATTTTCTCGTTTCCCCACGAGATAGGACATTATGGTGAGCGATAGAAGACTGTAAGCATTTAACAGATAAGTCTGGCAAACATGAACAGGTTGTATTCCGTTTACCAAGCCGTGATAGACTCTGGAATATTGCTCAAATCGAGGTTTTAAATAGATATACTCATCCATTAATCATCATTTACCGGCCCATTATCGGCCCATAATGAGTGAGTGGGTGAGTGAATATTGTCAGCCACCAAATTCCTTCATCATTCGCTCGAGATAAGTCATCCTACCACAAGAGGAACTATTTACAGACACAATTGTATTGATCAAATACAAGTATATATTATTAAAACGCTTATATCCAGTCAGTATTCTCAAAGTGCATTACTGTCTGGGGCATTATCTACTGATATATAGATCAATCTTAACAATAACAAAGCAATGGGAAAGTGATGACAAAGTGATCAAGAAATCCTAATATACTACTGTAGAAAAGTGTTGAAAAAAGAAGTCGGTCCATTATGAATCTACAAGCCGTATCAAAGCACTAAAAATGTAGTACTTTAATAACAGGCCGAATGCAGAAATTATATTGAAACATTTGCATGTTTGGAAACTTGTCATATTATGTGTTTCATGTACGTACATCTTACGTGAGAGGCTGCTCTCTCCCCATACCCCCACCCCACCCCTCATCTCCCTCTCTCTCTGTCTCTCTGTCTCTCTCGCTCTCTCTTTGTCTAACTCTCTCCAATTCTGATAATTCAACGTACTCTGTGGAAGATATACAGGAAAGACTTACTGTTTCATAGTCCAGCTTTCTCTGTAGAACTATACTGGCGTTGTAAAATCCATTGATGCTAATATGCTGGTTTAGATACACGTTTTGTTGTGTTGTCGGTGACATTGTCAAGGTGATGTGGGAAGGGGTTGTATCTCTCACAGTCAGAACTCCGATAGCAGAACCTAGAACAGATTTGCCGATTCGTGGTGGTGAATTTATGTTCGGGGATGCTGTTCCTGAAGATCAGCAGTACATTAACTTTAAAAATGCAACAATTTGTTATCGTTTCCTGGAATCATACTTATGATGAACAATTGCTGAACCTACGACGCGTGTATGCTGATCAGTTGAACATAAGTTGTCGTACTGATACAGATCGTATGCTATTGAGTGAAGGTGCCTGCAATGTGTGTCTCGATTCGAGCTGTGGCGTTGTTCTATTACACTTATGACTACAACCCATAGCATCGGACATCTCCGTCAATATGGACACGTCTATGTGAGAATTTACCTGCTGCTGTGTCCTCAGGTATTTGTATTGTATTTATCGGATCAAATGTAGGCGGCAAACAAACCACAACTGTAAAGAAAAACAGAAGAAGTGTATCATCGATACGCCGAACAGGTGTAGGTTGAAGAACAGAAAGGGCTTACATAATACTTGCTCAAAATATACGATAATTTATTATTCAAATGAATATTCAAAATATCCAAAGGATGTTTTTTTGTTCGCATGTCCTGTCAGCTGCACGGACATGTGTCACTACCAAAGAGTAAGGGATATACACAAACTACCGTGACAAAATCATCATCACTCCGAATCTAAACGATGTTCATCGGAGTACCCTCCTTTTACTGCCTTAAATGCGTGACCAAGGGAAACCAAAGACAAGATAGTTAACGTATAAAAGTATTTGTAACCAGTATCCTCGATCTTAAAATGATAACGTATATACCATTAACATTCATGTAGCTTTGTCACATTAATATCGCAATATCGATCAATTGACGGTACACTGACATCCATTATAATCCGTCTGTTGACTTGAAAGATTATTTGGTTCCACACGTTCAAGTATGCATGGCTGTCATACGTCATAAATTACAATGATAAATGGTACACCGCGTGACTCACCCTTGCAGAGAGAAATAAGCAGGACAACTGCAGGTGTCCATTTGGGACCCGTCATCTCCGCGCAGTCGTGTTAAAAGCTAGAATTAAAAGAAAGAGGTATCTGAAAACGGGGCTACATGTATGCTCCACGATCTTGATACAGATATGTCCTAACCTGACATGCAATGATCTATGCAATACACCAACAACGATGTCTAAATATATGTTAACAATGATGTCTACAATACGGCAACAATGATGTCTAAAATAGGTCTACAATGATCTATGCAATACGTAAACAACGATGTCTAAAGTATGTTAACAATGATGTCCACAATACGGCAACAATGATGTCTAAAATAGGTCTACAATTGTCTAATGCAATACGTCAACAATGATCTATGCAATATACCAACAAGGATTTATGCTTTCCGTCTACCACGATCTCCGCAATATGTCAACAGTGATCTATGCAATGCGTTAACAATGGTGTCTACAATACGTTAACATTGTGCCATCAATATGTCAACAATGATGTCTACAGTATTTCTAAAATGATCTCTGCAATACGTCGTAAAATAATGTTGTCTACAATTATACGTCAACAATGATGTTTACAATACGTCAACACTGATGTTTACAATACGCCAACGATGATTTATGCATTACGTCAACAATGATGTATGCGTTACCGTAACAATACATAACACAATTTGAAAACGTATGTTTCGTTTGAAGTATTATCGACGCTTTTATTGGAACAATATGAATAATAAATGCGTTACCAATTAATGGATGCAAATAACTATCATGAAAACGGATTTGGTCGATCAAAACAGTCGTAGAGATGTTTTTTAAAGACAAAGATGTAAGTAGAATTATACAATTTGCTATATATATTCAAATATTTGCCATGGCATTCTTGTCATGATTTTGTTCTTACACTCTTACTCTTAAACCATCTGTGTTTAGAAGTTCCTGTGTTAAAGCGTGTTTAATTATTAAGCCTTGACAAAGCATTAGGCTACAACGCCTTATCTAAAATATGCCTCACATTCAACCCTAAATAAGTAAAAAAAATATATCATGTGACTATTGTCCCTTTTGCACACTTATTTGATCATGTTACAATGATCCAATAAACAAGTCTTACTAAACTAAGCGGCAAAAGAAAGTATAGGTTGGCAATTTGTAATTTTCCTAAAAACAGCGATAACTAGTGGAAAGTGGGTATTGGGAATATGACTGCCCAGGAACAGTACCAAAAACACCTCACCCGAACGCGTCACCTTTGACGGAGCTCGTGCGGTGACAAAGCAAATGGTGAAACAGGTTTCCCGCCTATGGCATAAACTGCACGTGCATGTTAGCTGTATAAATGCGTTCATCTGCAGGGTTTAACCACACGTGATGAAAGCATACACAAGAAATGCCACGACTGTCACAGGAGCAGAGGGAGAGAGAGCCATCGGTATGGCCGAAATGGGGGCAACACAGGTCCAAATTGCCAGAAGGTTTGGTTGTACACCATTGTTAGTAGCCAGGCTGATTCAACGGTACAGGCAGACAGGGAGGACACAGGACAGGCCTAGAACCGGACGACCCCGAGTGACAACACCACTGGAAGACACGGATACGGCTCATTCACCTGCGAAACAGATCGTAACGGCGACGGCGACGGCAGCAACAGCGTTTGGACATCCCACTAGCCAACGTAAGTACTACGACGACTACGTGCTGCTGGAATCCGAGCGTATCGTCCTTTCCGAGGAATGGTACTGACTGCCTGAGACTGCAAAGGCGAGGCAGGTTCGACGCTGGCAAGTGCAAAATTGGCGTCGAGTGCTGTTTACTGATGAAAGACGGTTTAACTTGTTTCGAAATGACGGCAGAGAACGAGTTTATCGACGCAGAGGGGAACGTTTGGCTCCTGCGTTTATTCGAGAGGTCCATCCATTCGGCGGGGGAGGTGTCATGGTGTGGGGCGGTATTTGTGGAGATCAGAAGACTGATTTGGTGATTATACAGGGAAACCTGAACGCTGTGCAGTACAGAGACCAAGTGTTGCAGCCAGTTGTGCTTTCGTTCTTACAAAACCAACAGCAGGGGACATTGTTTCAACACGACAGTACCAGGCCCCATACTGCAAGACTGACTCGGAACTTTCTAAACCAGCAGAACGTAGACGTTTTGCCCCGGCCTGCCCACTCAACCGATATGAATCCTATTGAATCCTGGGACCATATTGACAGACAGATTAGATCACGCCATCAGCCTCCCGTCAACAGACAAGAATTGCAGCAGGTCCTAAGAGACGAGTGGCAACGGACGTCATCGATGAGGCGGCGTATCACAGCATGCATCGAGGCAGCTGGAGGTCATACACGCTATTGAAGGCAACTGTGTCGACAATGAACTTGTAGTGTGTCAGACAATTGTTTGATGACATTTCAGACAACTTTTGAAAATGAAATTTCTTACCCCACCATTGTTTACCTTGAGCTTACATTACCTGTGATTGCACAATTTCATTCAAACTGTAGTTGATCAATCATTTGTTAGCCCTCCCTAGATTATATTATAATTCACAACAAAACCTCTTCTTGTTATTTTTTTATCGATCATGGAACTATACTTTCTTTTGCCGCCCAGTTTATAGGTGCCCACGATATGTGTAATGTGTAATCTTTCCTTTTGTACCCTATATCTTTGTTTACCGATGATCATGAGCGGCTACTGGGTCGGTCAGGATCCTCCAGTGGAGTGTATCATTCAACTTCAAATCGATATCTAACAAATTGTGTCCCTTAGCCATGGCATGAGCGGATGGTCGATGGTTCGAATCCCGGTTTCGGACAGAATAAGATCCTTGGTCTGTGAGATCTATAACGTGGTAAACGTGTCAACGAACTACCTTATGTAACCTTACTACCAGATAAAATTATACGCTGATATAACTGAAATATTTTTAATTGGAGAGTTAAGTCCATTGAATTCACGTTCCCTGTTGGATCTCGTATTTGCAACGATTATGTACTTAATTATAGAGTACATATACTTACATGTGCAAGATGAAAAACTCCAGGGTGACAAAAGTGAGATGAGGTGAGGTGAGGTCATATGGTGTTTAACCTTGCGTTGAAGATTACTGCATTTAAACATTATAACGTGTATGCGGCTGCTTGTTGTAGTCAAGACTTCTGTCGGTTATATATTGCTTGCCAGCTGAGATAACATGCCGCAGTTTAACATGGATACCCCACTCAGGCACTTTACACTGATTCAGAGCCCATCAGTCCTTGTTTTATCCCATGTCCAGGCAAGGACACAACAAGTACCATCTCTTGGTACGACGCGGCCACAGACCCGGTCAGTAACAAACATGCAAGTGACCGACATGAGGGTGTATCGAGTGATAGAACTATCGAAACATTGTATATGTTACTGTCCCTGTACCCAAACTTCTACATGCCAAATATTCTACCCATTAATACAACAGTCTGCACGATAGCTTGATAACCGTATAAGAATCTACATGCTATGTGCAATAAAGTTGTTTTATATATACGTTTTCTTAAGAAATTGCATGGTTCGGTGTACAACTAATCCCTAGCCTATTACCTTTGCATCAATGTGGTTTAATCTTGTCTTTACCAGTTAACAAGATAATGAGGATGAGGATTTGATTTATCATCCAAAACTGGCTCCCACAGGAGATATCGCTTGGGTGAGATCAAGCGATATCTACATTGTAGATATCGCTGCAATGAAATTGCATCACAATGCTTTGCAGACCATTGTGACGTCATTGGTTACCAACACGTCACAATCAAATGACATCACTAATGGTTCTGCTACTGAAGCTGTTAGTAGTACTTTTTTACACTTAAGACACCGCTTATTTTACTGTCTACAAACTGAAAAAGTTGGAAGAATGATGTTGGATGATAAATAAAATCACACCCTCGTAACTTTTGATATCAAATATATCAACACAAATTGATAAAAGTGGAAAACTTCTCGGCAAGCATCTGGTTTTTTCCCCACTTTTATCAACACTAGCTGATTTTCAAATAGCCAATTAAGATTAAACAGGGATAATTTTGTCTCTATGTAAACTTCCTGGTAAAAATTATCTATGATTGAGACAAGACAAATCCTATTATCATTTTGAGATATGTGTTGAGTAGATGCGTTATGTTATATTTGTCATCCATGGGTAGATATGAGAATTTATATTACTATCGACTTTGATAATTATATATATACCTTGGGATATCATTCATGAGTGAAATAAACTACCAGCAACTTCAACTGCAGTGAAACGACGTACTCAAGTTTCCTTAGATAGATACAAAGAAAAAAAGTAGTTTCTTATAGGCAGAAGAATGAAATGAACCCAAATCAATACTTCGGGTAATATAGGGTATCTTACAATTCACACCTTAAATCACATAGTCCTCAACTAAATCGTCTTTGCATATACAACAACTATATTTCTTAATAAATACACTCATACATATATAAAACATACGATTAACGAAGCGACATTTACAAAGACGATGACGATTATATGACTTCAACGAGCACGATTGTTTTAAGATAAGGATGAAAGTCCAGTTGCCAAAGCAAATCATATTCTACAGTAACTGTTACCTGCACCAATTGAATCGAGAGGAATGTTGGAGTATAACGTTTCCATTTGTTTGAATATATTTCAAACTCAGTATATCGTATTTCTGGTAAGAGCATTTATGTTCACAAAACAACTGAAAAATCTGATAGCATTATATAAGAAATCAGTATTTGTGGACTACAAAATATTTGTCAACTGATATCGAAATACTCTTACCTTCCAGTAATTTGAACTTTAAAGGGAAATATTATACCGTTATCAGATTGACAGTTTCTTCTCACTTCTTCAGCATGTATGACAGGCAATTACCTGACATCAGTGACATGCTTCATGTACAGTGATGGTATGGCTATAATTATAACGACAATTTGTTTCATGTACAAGTAGGATAAGGGTATAACGACAATTGTGAACGAATGACGAATGGGAATGTGTGGCTTCATCCGGAAGGACCTTCGCGCA